AAAAAAATATATGTTTGTAAGGTTGTAAGATTGCAAAATTGTAAGAAGAAAAAAGTTAACCTTTGCTTGTTACACGCATCCGTTGATTATAAGTCTTACCAGCTTTTCGTTTATTTGAGGAGGAACGTTCCTTTTTCGTAGTTACCACTTTATTCTGCTTTTTTTTTTCTTTTTTTCGTGTTTCCGCGTGTGTGCGGTGTGGAGTACAGCTGTTCCTTCCCAGGCGAAGGGGCACAATACAATAGTTACCCATTTGCTAGCATAGCACCACGTAAAGGAACAACGTCCCTTTCTGTGAAACGGGAGTGGTACATGGTTGCTCCAGGGATATAATTCCTCGATTGATTCGTTCAGTTGTCATGCCAAGAAGGGCTTTTTTGTTTTTTCCCCATCTTGGCTCTCTTTACGGCTTACCCTTTTTTTCCCTTCCACCCCCCCCTACGTGTGACATTATACAAACTTTAAGTGATACTGGGGAGTGGAGAGAACGGGGGAGCTGGTCTCTGCCAAAGCGATCACATACAATAGCAGCTAATCGGCGGCTAATCAGACGTTGCTGCCACCCCCAAACGGGTGTCCCCCTTACTTTTCTTCCCCCCTGCTACGATGGAGTACACACCAAATGAAGAAAAGAGGACAGACTACTTCGGCGTCATAACGAATTTATTAAATTACTTCTCACTGGGTACTATTACGTCATTTGTTCATTTGGAGAGCGACCTCGTCCCCGGAGTAGCGTCCTGAAATTAGACGCCAGGGGGATTTATCGAGTCTTCCTCACCCCCTGCAACCTATCTCATATCGCATTTTTTTCTTCTTTTTCGCTCAATCAAAGGCATTGATGATACGGTAAACCCACAGGTCAACTCGCCCGGCGTGCAAAAAGATGGCAGAGGAGCAACCCGTCACCGACGAAACAGCATACAACAAGTAGTTTACAATTTGAAGTTGAGGAGAGCATCCGACTTGAAGACCTCCACTCGGTTTGGCTTGGACGCCCCGGCGATGCACGACAGAAAGGGTACGTTCATGTGTGCAGTCACATTTGTGTCCGTTCTTGTTCCCCCTCTTGAACCGTTGCAACTTCCTTGGCGTTTACATTTCAGTTTATTCATTTGTTTCTCCACCCATTTGTCATCAATTCCGCATCGTAGGATTCGAGAAACAACGCCAAGAAGAAGACAACGCTTCGACTAACGTGCACCCCACGAAGTGCGAGCAGGCGCCAAACACAAGAGACAGCTCGGTGGAAAATTGCCTGAACGGATCAAGTGAAAGAAGAAAGAAAAAAAAAAAAAAGAAAAAAAATGCAAAAAATAGGGATAACCAGTACACTTCCAGTTTTGATCTTTCCGGGGGGGAATTCTTTCAACTGAAGGAGCAGAGTGGGGGGGAAGACTCCGAAGTGGAGAAACGTAAAGAGGAGCGGAAGAAAAAGCGTGAAAAGGGCAAGAAAAAGTCGAAGAAGAAAAGCAAGAGGAAGGAGGAAGAGGAAAAGACGAAGGAGAAGACCGCCGAAGCCGACGACACCGGCCACGACGCAGAAAACGCTGATCACTCTGAACTGGATCGGGGGATCGAGGGGAAAAAACGAAACGGAGTATGTGACAAAACGGGTGATGGTGATGAACCCCACTGGGAAGAGGAAGCAGTTAACATGGGAGAAGACGCAGGGGGAGGGGTGTGCGTGCTCGAAGAAACGAAGAAAACGAAGAAAATGAAGAGCGTGAAAAAGACGAAGAAGAAAAAGGCAAGGCGGGAAGAGATGCAGGTAGACGAGACGAACTCCATTGAAAATGACTCCGCTGAAAATGGCTCAGCTGATATGAAACCCGTGAGGCGTACGAGCGAACCGAGGAATCCATCAAACACAACAAAAGAAAAACATAACAATGTTCGCAAGAGGAGAAACACCACAGTAAGTAGCAGCTTCGTTCAACCGCCTCAAAGCAGCAACTCCGATGAGCCAAATTTCCTACACGGGGTTCACGAGGCCGAGTCACAAAAAAAAGATTTCGTAAAGGCGCAGGATAAAGTAGCCATAAATTACATTTCGGACAGCAAGAAGAGTTATATCAGCATACGGAGCAGTAATAGAGATAAGGATGATGTGATACAATTACCCAAGTTGAATTTATCAACGCGAGGGGGTGGGTCTTCATCGGGTGAGGAGAATGAGACGACGGACGAGGGGGATGTGCTCTCACTCCATTAGCGCAGCTGCATCAGTGAAAGCCAATAATTTGAGGAAAATTCCCCCTCTGTTGTTCTGTGTGCGGGAAAGAAGGTCATCGGAGGACATATATGAGCACACACGGTCCTACAATTTTATGCCCGGGAAAGAAGCCAATGAGTGCTTCATAAAAGTACAGAATGCGCATTGCAAACATGAGGATGCCACAAACAAATGTCGTTTTATTTTAAAATTTAAGTTTTTTTTCTGTTTTTTCCGTATAAAAATTAAGAAGCATAACTTTATGTTCAATTATTTTTTTCTTTGTGGAAAATGAGCTACACAGTGGGCACAACTTGGTCAAATTTTCCTTCCTCCCCCGCCCCCCAGAAAAAAAACAGAAAAAAAAATGAAAAGGGGGGCCCTTCAAGAAATGTTCCCGTTGCACATGTAACGACTGTGCATGGAGGTGAGCGACATAAATAAGGATACCCCTTTTGGGAAGGTATGCACATATGAGGGGGCCAAAAAAATAAAAGGCTGGGGGGAGGGGTACCGTAAAGAGAAGATGTTTCAACTTTTCTCCAAGTCGTTCCGATTCTGCGCGCAGTTGCCGATTACTTTCTCTATTCGTCGATGAAATTATATGGATGGCCTCTTTTCAACGTAAATTTATTTCTGCGCGTGGCGCCTCATGGAATGACAAGAAAAAAGAGTCAGTGAAGACAACTGTTCTCTTCTCTGTGCACCCCCATGCTTGTGTGTTAACGCCCCACCGACTTAACCAACCTGCCCCAATTTGGGCCCCCCTCCACCCCTCTCACACACTTAAATTATACCATGCTGTAGTTTCCGGCGAAACAAAATGAGAATACCTGAGTGTGTCCCTAGTGAGCTACCGAATGGGGGCGATATTTTATTCGAGTTGGCAAAGCGAAGAGATGAACGGGTTTACAGCCTTTTGGAACAAGACGGACGTCTACTAAACTGTCGTGACGGAAATGGTAAAGCGGAGAGTAGTGAAGCTTTGTAAATTTGTGAAGCTCTCTAAATATGTGAAACATGAGTGAGTCTCACTTGGCCAAAGGTGTGCGCTGTTCCCCCGTTGTTTTCATATCTACGTGTTTTTTTTTTTTTTTTCCCCCGTTCGAAACTTACAGGAAACAGCCTACTTCACTGGTCAGTCTTCTTAAATGACACATACCTGACGTGCTACTTGATCAAGAAGGGTAAGGGGAAAAAGGGACAAACGGAGGAGTTGCGAGGCAGGTTTAGGGAGCGTCTGAGCCACACGCTCAGCATCGCGATGCCCACTTATCACTCATTGCCTGCCATTTCCCCTCATTGTTTCTTATTCCCCCTCATTGTTTCTTATTCCCCCTCATTGTTGCTTATTCCCCCTCATTGCTACTCCTTCCTCCTCATTGCCGCTAATCCCCCCTCTTTTGATGCCACCCCCAAGGGGCGGACGTAAACGCCAAGGCGCACAACGCGCAGACGCCGCTTTTCTGGGCAGTCTCCGGAAGCAACCTTTACATGATTCACCTGCTGAGGAAGCACGGGGGAGACATATTTCAAATCGACGACAAGGGTTACAGTTGCTTAACCATAAGCACTCAATATGGGAACGTCTTATGCTTCCTCTATTTAATCCATTTGGGGGCATCATTGACACATAGAGACCTGAACAGCTGCTCCGTCGTTGACTGGGCAGCATACAACAACAATATATTTTTCCTTCGGCTGCTGTCGAGAGTTTCTCCTAACTTATTCTCCATCAATCTCAAGAATCCTGCGTCCACTCTGCACAAGGCCATCATTGGGAATGCATACGACGCGGTGGTCTTCCTGGTGCTCCACGGTCACCAGAATGTGCACGACATTGCCACGGAGGAAAACGTAAGCACAAGGGGTGGACAGAAATACACGAATGAACACAAAGATGCTAGTGACAAAAAAGACACGAGTGATCACAACCACGCGAGTGACCATTCCGGGTTCATGGCGCGTCCGCTTCTGAATCACGCATCTAAGTGACCCCCACATGGAGGTGCTCTAATTAGAAAAAAAAAAAAGAAAAAAAAGAAAAAAAAAAAGACGCAACTGAGTGACAACGCTAGACCATTTGCACCCCTTCACATTAAAGAAAACCGCTACCCAGTTTGTCGAAGAACATAAAGATAATGTGGACAGAAGAATCTACGAGTTTGTCACTTGCAGGAAGGTGCAGAAGCTGTGCAGGAGGCGAGGCAAGAAAGAGGATCCGACTTTGTATGAGCCCAGTGGGACGATCGGTCCCTACGCGATTTCGAGAAGGAAAAAGGTAATCGTGCGGAGCAGCAGTTGGTTCTCCTCACCGGAGGCATCACCTGAGTAGCCGCTTCCCTTCACCAGAGGCGTCACCTGAGTAGTCGCTTCACCCTACTTATGGTTGCTTCCCCCTCCCCCCCCGGTAGCTCTCCACCCTGCGCAAGATCCGCGATGTGTTCACCCAGAACAAGACCCTGCTACTCTACCCCGCCATGATCATCCTATCGCATGTGTACATGTCCTTGATACACTTTTTTTACGTGAGGAGAAAAATGCATAGGAAACGCGATCCTCATTTTTAAGACAAAAAGAGGGAGGATAAGAGGAGCAGCGAAAAAAAGATTGCACTGATTCGCATGAAACTCTCAGGGGGCGTTGCCAAAACGTGTGTCCTCTTACTGCCTCAGAATTGCCTATATTTTTTCCCTTCTTTTTGCAGACTAGAGGGGCGTTCCTGGGGGAGATCCCCCTGTGGGACGCCGCCCACCCAGTGCTACTCGTGCTTTACTACATGGTCGTTTCGAGCGACCCTGGCTATTTAGAGGGCGAGGGAGGAAGTGCCCCATGCGATATGAAAGGGGATAAAAAGGACCCATCGCACCCCCCCGAAGTGGACACCACCAGAAGCACAAATTTGACTTTTCAAAAAATTATACAAAATGTGAAAGAAGAAATAAAATCGTATGAAGAAAAAAATAAATTAATCTCATTTTGCGAAAAGGTAAAATGGGAAAACATCAGCCAAGTGAAAAATAGTTTGCAGATAAAGTTGGATGCACAGGGATTCGAAGTAACCTCATTTGACGTGAAGAAGTTGTGTCCTAGTTGCTTCCTCTTTAAGAACTTACGATCGAAGCATTGTCGTTTCTGTGGAAAGTGTATTGATATATATGACCATCACTGCATATTTACGCTAAACTGTATGAGTGTAGACAACGCAAAGGTCTTTTTAATATGGATCGTATCAAATCTTTTATTTCATTTTTGGAAAATATACCTACATATGTCTCTGTTTATGAGGCTGAATTTTTCATCTTCTCGATTGCTTTTCCGAGGAGTCACGCTATCGGTAGTCCTGATGAGTACGCTGCACTTATACTTCATGGGGGTCATTTTCCTAAGGTCGATGCTAAACATTTTAGAGAATATCACATCCAATGAGAAGTTTAAAATGTATTCCTCCAATACTTTTTTTTTGTACGAGTTGAAGAAAGACAAGAATAATGAACCCGTTGTCATCCGCAGATTCAAGAACCCGTTTGACCGAGGGGCGCTTTTTAATTTGATTCACTTTTTTACAAAGTCTAAAGATCATTTGTCCAGCCCGGAGAGACAATTCATTCGTGTGGACGAGAGTGTGCAGAGCGCGCCGGTGAGGGCCTTCGTGGAGAAACTGAATGTGGAGCTCCGTCGGGTTTATGCCAAGCGGTGATGCTAAGCCATATAAATCACTTCGCAGAATGCTGAACTGAGTTGACTCCCTCACCAGAGGAGAAAAAATTCAGACAAATGACGTCGGAAACATCCCGTATAGAGAAATCCTTCGTGAGGATACATATCCAGCAGGGTCCCCTGTCAGCACTGAATTGATCTGCAAGGTGAGCCAAGAAGCGCTCTACCGTTCGCTTCCTGAGCCTGTCCCTTCCCGTTTTGATCACATAGTAACTATTGTTAGTGTCCACCCCGCGGGCATATTCCCTTATAAGCCACTCTCCCTCTTGGCAGAGGGGTACCAACTTTTTATTTAAAAATGTAAAAGGAGAGCTCACTAGTTTATGCTCTCTGGGTACATCAATGACGTACTCCATTAAGGGCAGGTTGTTGGAGCCAATGAATTTTCCGCTCCAATTTAAATTAGCATCATATGTGTCCACTGAATAGAGAGTACCATCACTGTGGTGGTCCCTTTCCCACTCGATGCAGTACCTCCTCGTATTGCTTCTTCGATAGGAAGTCTCACTGGGAAGGAGCGAATCCCTCTCTTCTGAGTCGGCCAAGTCGTGAAGACCCTGTGTGGTTATAAGGATGTTGGGTAATTTCCTCTTTAGGCAAATTTTGGAAGACAGAATTGGCACTTGCTCATTCTGCATCGAATTTAATCTGAACAGAGACATGTGATGCTGCTGCGGGAGGCTTAACAAAGTGGTGTTCTCTCTTTGGGGATCCATACACAATGGCGTCAGTGCGTTTAGTGCGTTTCCCGCCTTTTCTTCGTCCTCCGGGCACACTCTCCACTGCTGCCGAGGGGGGCATAAACTGGCCTCTCCTTCGCGTGGAGAAGTTTCTCCTTCGTCGGGGCTTTTTTCTTCCTCTTCTTCTCCCCCGCTGTGGACGATCTTCGACGGGAGCAGCAAAGACATGTTATTAAAAACCCAGTTGCGAATTGCGAAGTGGTCAATGTCGAACTGGTACTTTCCCAAATTGAGAAGTCTTTCCCTTTCGTTAAGGAAGTAGAGCACTCGATATTTTTGGTCCCGTTCTTCGTGCTTGATCTCCCGGCGGAGGTACAGATACATGTACAGGTCTAGCAGTTGGGTGGCGTTATCGTCATTTTCGTCTTCGTTGTTATCGTCATCTTCCTTTTGATCGTCTTCCTTATCGCCATCTTCGTGATGCCCCCCCTGTGCATCTCCCCCTCCGCGCAGTAAAAATGAGAGGACCACTCTCTCCCTCTTATTGCCTAAAAGAAAAATGGCCACTTCTTCCAGGAGGTCACTAGCGCTGTATATGCAGCCATCTCCACATGCGAAATACAGATCACTTTTTCCTTCCTCTGTTTTGCACTCTTGGAGAACAACCATTTCGAGGTAGCGAACTCCTAAACACAGCCGTTCATATATGATCCCCTTCGCTTGACAGGGGGGGAAATTATTTTCACATTTTTGTGGGTCCTGTCCACTAAGCCCCTCACCCCCTGTTGTGTTGCGTATCCCGTGAATGCACAAGATTGACTCTTTCCCCTTTTTCCGCTCAGACAGGGAGGACATCCACTGCTTCAGGTGGACTACCCCTTGGTTCCTGTCCTCCCCCTCTGCGTCTTCTCCACTTTTTGTGCACTCCATCACTCTTCAGTCTGGAGGCTCTACGCGGTGTGCCTATTCTTTACTGCAAATTCCGCAGGCACTCCACTCGGCTTGCAGTTGGCTCTTTTGTCCCTTCACTCGCACGCCTCAAAGTTGGGGCGGGTATTCATATATATACACATGTGAGAGGTTAACTTGTATTTTTTTCTCTCTCTCTTTTTTTTTTTTTCCTATTTTTGTTACTTTCCAGTGGGTACCCCTCTTCGGCTTTCTCTCTTTTTTCAAATGTTTCGATTTAAAGGAGTTCACGCGGTGGTTGCCGGGGGGAATGAACAGAACAAGCCTCCTTCCCGTGCCCATGCGGGGGGAGAAAAAAGAAAAAAAAAACAAACACACAGGTGCCGCTTCGTAAAGTGCAACTAAGTAACACACCTGAGTAATACACATGCTCACAAATGCAGACACACTTATGGTGTGCGCTTCGCGAGGCCCATGTCAAATCCCCTCCGATTTACAAATTGAGGAACCCGCCCCCGTAGTGACTGGGAGGGGGGAAGACGTATACGCACGTTTGAATTTTTGAGAGGAAAAAAGAAAAAAAAAGGAATTCACATAAATTGGGAGACATAAAAAAAAAGAAGAAGAAAAAAAAGGAACAACAAACAGGAAACATTCGCAGGAGTTCATCTCGGGTAACCCATTTGAACCATCCTGGTGGGGGTGGAAAAAAAGAAGAAAAAAAAAAAGGAAAACTTTCCTTCACGCTCGTCCATACGACTTGTCACTTTTTTCGTCCCGTTTTTGACACACAGAGGCCCTCACGATTGCACTCCAATTTAGGTGTCTCCATTTCCCCCTCCAGGCTGCGGGGGGTCCGCTTCCGTCTGGGATGCTGCTGAGGGGGTTTCCACGTCAGGGTTGGGGCAACTTGGAGTTGCATCTATTGGGGGCATTGACCATCCTTGGTCACTGCTCACCCTGTTTTGACTTGATTCCCCACTATGCAGTTCGATTGGTTCGTCGCTTCTGTTCTGTTCACCCCCCTCTTCGGCGCCGCTGACCCCTGTTGCGACATCGGAAAGAATCAGAAAATCATCTATTTCTTTGTCGTGGAAACTGTACGAGTCGTCATGCTTGTGGTAAATGTCAATATACTTTTTGTTAATGCTGCTCTTTTTGGAGGTTCTCATTTTGAGGGAGCTTTCTTTATCCGGTGAGAGGTCATCCATGGGAGAGTTTTCTTCTTTCACGGGGGAGGCATGAATGGCTGCGACCCAATGTTCGTCCTCCTCCAGGCCGTCATCCCAGGTCTGTCCAGCTGCGCAATGGGGATGGTTCGCCTCGAGTGGATACTCCGCACTGTTCTCAGCCGTTTGGAAGTCCCCATTGTTCTCAGCCGTTTGGAAGTCCCCCTTCTTTTCAGCCGCTTGGCAGTCCTGGTAGCCCCCTTCCAGGGGGGAATCCGCCATACCGTGATCCCCATTATCCACTTGCACATTGTCAGACGCGATGTCCTCCCCTTCATCGAGCGACATCCCAACCTGATCCGTGTCAAACGGGTTGATCACACCGCTTGAGAGAGGGTCTATAATTAAAAAGTTTGGCAACGTATACATATTTTGGTCTCCTTCACCATAAAGTAATTTCCCTTTTTCTTCTTCATTAATAAATAGTAAGTTCCATGTTTTTTTTAAAATTTTAAAAAAAGAACTCTCATCAATTTGGTTTTTGTGGTTGACAAAGATGTCTCTGCTGTTCTTATCGTCACTCCACCGTTTGCAGCAATTTTTTAGTTTCCTCTTGGTGGCCATATTTTCCGTGTAGTACTCTTCCCCCTTGCTCTCCGCGGCTAGGTGGTTCGCGTCGAATTTGTTTAAGCAATCCATGGGGGGCGAAGCAGAAAGGGAGAAGCAAACAGGAGGAAGAAGAAAGGGGGAAAAGCAAAGTGGTAAGCAAAAATAAAGTAACCAATTGGTAGTCTTTACACCATAGAGAAATTCCTTTTCCTTCCTTTTAAGTTGTGAGAAAAAAAAAAACTGCTAAGATGTAACGTCAAACTGGTAGGGAACCAAAAGAAAAGAAAAAAAAAATTCAGAAAGGAATGCAAACGAGTGAACTACTTTCTCACCGGGGACGGCAAATTACATTCTCCGTTTTCCGTTCTTTTCCCTCCGATCTGTGTGCTGTGTACGTGGGTGGGAAAAAAACACAACCGGTTGAGCGGAAAAGAGGAACCAACGGCGCCGAACTGAACCACGTCGAAACTGTCCTAGCTGAACCGCTACCAGCTGAACAGAGCGGGGGCCTCCCAGTGGCCACTTCTCTTCCCGCATGCAGGGAGAAGGCACCCCCTTGGGGAGAATAAATGAGTGGGAATTTTTTCCAACCTGGTACTCCCTCCTTCCTATGGAAAGTTCGCCCCGCGTGAGGCAAAAACCCGTTGGGGCATAGAAGTTTCAGGCTAAGAGGTGGAGATTACTTAGTTCACCTTTAGTTAGGGCAACTCCCCTATCGTGAGAAGTCACGTACGTTTGGTTAGTCTACGTGTGCAGGGGGGGATGGAGTCTCCCTGACCTGACGTGTTCCCCGCCTTCCCGACGTAAACGAGTGTGCACATATGTATATGTCCCTTCAGTGGACGTGGGAAACTTGCGCATAGGTCGCTTCTGCGCTTTGAAAAATTTAAGTGTAAGCGGGGAGAGGGGGACACCTCCCTGGTGCGGCGTGAGGGGCAAGGGAACTCAGTCAATTCGAGGGTCTATGAAACACGTGCCAAACTGGACGGTATGCACAGTTTACGCGGGAAAACGGGGAAGGAAAAGACTGAAGGGGGAAAAAAAAGATTATTCATTTTTTTTCTCTACACAGAGTTCTGAGCGAAAAAATGCAAAAAGTGGCGGCACATAAAAGTGGATTTCACTGCGAAGAGTACACTTGGTCCTGTTTGGTCTGTTGTGGGTAGGATTAAGCAGAAGGCGATTTTTTTTTTTTTTTTGCCACTCTTCCAAGATGGGGTAACATATGAGTATTTTCTTTTTTTTTTACTCAACAAAATGGGTAAGCCAAAAGAGGGAGGAAAAGAAAAAAGAAAAAGATTTAGAAGAAAGCCAGTTCGTTTCTTTTTAACGTCCTTTTTGCAGAAACGGATAAGCTAAGAGAGGAAATTTAACATTTGTCACACTCTGTAAGGTGTTTTTTCTTTTGCCAGTTCGTGCGTTACACCAGGTTGGAAAACGACTGGGGAGGTACCTCTACTCAGTAGTCGCTTAAATAATAGCGTCCCTCCTAGGAACAACAAAAAGGAGAAGATGAAATAAAAAAAGCTGCTTTGCTTTGCTTCCATTTCGTGAGCGCATACAAAGAAGGACTGTGCTATTCTTCACCATAACAATCGCTTCACTTTTTTTTTCTTTTTTTTCCCCTTCAGAGAGACAGTATTTTCCTCTTTCCTTCCCCTGTGTGCCAAAATGATTAACTTTGTTCCGTTCACTTCATTTTTTAATTCCTTTCGTTATGAGAAATTACCCAAGCGGCTGATTGAGCATGTGATTAAGGCAGGGACCTTATGCCGGACCATGCTCCCCGTCTTCATCCCTCTATGTATGTATCAGTACATACGACAGGTACGGCCCCCAAAAGGGTTTTGAATTGTGGGCATTTCGACGCCTGCGGCAGTGGTTCCACCCCTACATGCGGACGTTCGAATGGATGTGTGTACTCTCAAAGGTTACTCCACCAGTCTACTCCTCCAGTTTACTCTACCCCTTTATTGCGCTGAGTCATTCCGCCGGATCCCCCCCCCCGCAGGTGGACAAAGAACGGTACGCAGAGGAACTGCTGTTCGAGTCAGCCCCAAGCAGTGACGTAAAGAGCTTTTACGACTCCTTAATGAAAAGCAGCGGAACGAAGAACTGGAAGATCCAGTATGACTTGTATCTCATAGATAAGGCAGTTAACTCGTGATATTTTTTTTTTTTTTTTGAGGGGAATGGAAAAAAAGGATTCATCTGATGCGTGGTGTTACTCACGTTTGACAGTATTTCGTCCACTTGGGTCAGGGCGACCAATATTCGGATGTGTCTATGCCAATATGTGTGCCCTCCCCCCGAATATTCGTCTATGGTAGATCCAGGGGGACGATATTTTACCCCTAGGAAAACGTGTCGCTGGAGCGTGGGTGAGCAGTTGCCAAATGCTGTTTTGCCCCCACCATCCATGATGCTCCATGTACATTTAATCACGTTTCGTCTTTTTTTTTTTTTTTTTTTTTCTCCCTTTTGCGCCATTCCATTTGCTACGTCCTTCTTGATTTACTCCCTGATGGGACGTTTTGCCGAGGCGACCAATAAGCCCGCTACTCAGGCACTACACTACACACAATGTGAATAACGCGTACTTCGGGGCAGGGTTTGTACGGTGGGAACGATTCGTTCCCGTCTTTCCCGTTTTCCTCTTTCAAAACGAATTCATTTGGAAGGGGTGGAGGGAGGAGCTATCCACGTGGACACCCCCTCACACCTCCATCAAAGGGTGACTCATTTGTGTAGGACAAAGAAAACACACCAGGGTTCATTTCCCCTTCCATTTTGGCTCTCTTGAAATGGTTAAGTTTGCTTCGGTGGGAAGCCAAAGAATAGACGACGGAAGGTGTACGTACAGGGGGGGGGGGGGGAGGTTGATACCTATGCATATCTATGCACCTCCGTGTGTGTAGGGAGGAAGCGAAGTAAGAGTTACATGGTGGCCAGCCCAGAACAGGTAACCCTCCAGGTGTCGGTTTGTTCAGCTTCGCAAAGTGTAACATCCACTCTGTTTCTCTCTACGTGAAGCAGTTTTATTCCTTTTTAGGAAAACATTCCCTCGTTGTGGCCCCCCATTTTGTCTGCACCAATTTTGACTTCAACTTCACTTCAATTTTGACTTTAATTTTTTCTTTCTGTTGACCCCTTCGTGCGCGCTTATCACCTGTTGGTCCTTCCTGTCATCACGATGAAGAGGCAAACGCAGGGACTGCTCCTGGTTTGCTTGCTCACCTTTTTGGAGGCGTCCTTTTGCCTGTCCTTGTTCAGCAAGAGCGTATTTCCGCGAGAGTGTAATCTGGGAAAAGGGAAAAATTAAAATAACGAAATGTGGGAAAATGGAAATGAGAAAATAGGAAAATGAGAAAATAGGAAAATGAGAAAATATGGAAAATGAGAAAATATGGAAAAATGGAAAAATGGGAAAAATGAAAAAATAGAAGAATGGAAAAATGAAAAAATGAAAAAATGGAAAAATGGAAAAATGGAAAAATGAAAAAATGGAAAAAATGGAGAAAGGAAATTTTCTCCCGAGGTACAACCCAGCTTCCCCCCCACCGTAGGAACATTTCCTCTTATGTGCTTGTCTTTCCCCCCCTTTTGCAATTCCGCACTTAGTTACTAAAGCCGTGGAGAGGCACCTTCTGGAGGACTACGGAGGTTTGGAAATGTCTACCTACGAGCGGTTCCCCTCTACGTGTCTTGCATCGCGCTATGATGTAAGCTTGGCATTCCAACACATCTGCACTTACCCCCCTCTGTGTACCTAATTAGACAGGGATGTCCAAGTGTTTAGGTTCGTATAAAGAGGGTGACAAGGAGGGCAACAGATAATGCTCCCAACTTATATGTGCACTTTCGCCCCACCCCCCGTCTTTTTTATCCACCTCCTGTCTGTTTTTCCCCTATCCATCAAAACAACTGATGACTAACCTTTTAGGGAAATCATACGGAATTACAAAAATGAGTAAGTCAGGGATGAAAAAAGAATGTACAACCCAATTGGCACATGCCTATCGTGACAACTTTTTTTTTTTTTTTTTTTTTTCCTTTTTTTTTTTACTACGTGCAGGGACACCCACATGACCCCAGCGGAGGAAGAAGATTTAAAGGTAACCCACAGTTTATTTGGAGAGCTCCCCACATGGGCATAAATGAGTAACAGATAGATGCAGACATGCCGTGGTGCATTTTGTCACTACACGTTTAATGACACAACATAATTGTGTTCCATGAGCATAGCCTTGATCTGTATGGATTTTTTTTTCCATTTCCTCCAGGTGGCAATGAAGAAGTACGCAGGGAATAGGTTCATTCAGGAATATGAAAGTTTGATGGACGATGTTAGTTCGTTTTCGTGCTTCTCTTTCTCGCTCATTTTTTGCGCTTCTTTTTCACGCATTTTTTTGTGTGCCCCCCCTTTTTTACACATCCACTTAGCGTTCACTTCGCACCCACTCCCGTACCGACAAACGCGCAGAACTCGAAGGACTCCAAAAAGGTTTTGGCCAAGTCGATGGTCAATTTGGTTAAGCAGCAATTCGCTAAGCTAAAAGAGATTGAGGCCCAGTATGTTACGCCAAACTTGGATCAGTACAAACAGCTCACGGAGTTGAAGCCCCAGCTGCTGGTAACTGAGACGTGTCTGTCTCTTTGTTAAGCACCTCGACTGGCGCTTTCTGTGTCCGTGCACATGACATAGGGGCACACGTTCATATGCATACGTCTACCGTTTGGATGCGTTCTCCGTTGTGTTTTTTGTCCCCATACACACACACACACACCGCATATATCTGCACTTGGAGAAACAAATATCATTTTTTTGCTTTATCGTCGTGGGCTTATTCCCATTGATGAATTCACCCCGTTTGGAAACTTCAAAGGATTTAAACGCAGGTATGACGCGCAAATTCGAATGCGACAGAAGTGTGCGAAGTTGCTGGAGAAGCATAGTTTTTTTTTTTTTTTTTTTTTTTTAAAGAGAGTGGACACATGCTTAAAATGACGCACTTGTACATAACAGCGTGGAATGATAAGAAGACGGGGAGCGTTCCCATGGTGGGAAGTCACGAGGCGCTCCTGACCGTCACGAGAAGTTTAACAAAAAGGACCTATTCAAATAGCTCCTCTGTGTTCACACCGCTTTTTTCGTTTATTTATTTATTTCCCCCCCCTTAACAGACACGCCATGCAACACCGAAGCGGAATGCAAAAAATTGGAGGTGATGAATAATTGCTTTTCCTTTTTGTGGACTTAGTCAAATGATTGTTTCCCCTCGAATGGTCATTTGAATTGGCGATGTCTTTTCCTTGGTGCCTCGCAGAACATGATGAACATCTGCACGTACGTTCGGGGAGGAGCAGACTTTGCCTACGACATTTTTTTGGTGACAACACACGTCGTAACTAGCATGATGGCCGTCCTGTGCGCCTGCATTTTTATTGGGCCCGTGCATGTTTGCGCTTTGAAGAATTTTCCGGTAAGGCCTGAGAAGCAGAAAAAAAAAAAAAAAGTAAATGGCTGACTGTGAGAGGACCACTCACGTCATTGCTTTTTTTGGCAGTGCGTTTACCACGTCGTCCACTACTTATCTTATTGAGTGTGCCTTTTTGCTTCCCCCATTTATTGACCCCCTTCACTCACCACCTTAGTACACGTGCAAACTGCCGTACCCCGTCTTTTCAACCCTGTTTATGGCCACTTCAGCCGTGTGGGAAGTGGTAATTGCTCAAAATAGGAAGAAGAGCTCTTCTTCTTCCTCTGCAAGCATTCGAGTTGGAGGCAATAAACAAGTGTCAGCGAATTCGGATAAATTGTAATTGTGAGCACTAGCTAGGGGGACAAACAGCTAGCCATTTTTTTTTTTTTTTTTTTCTGTTCAGGTAAAAGCTGCAACGGCGATGTGCAGGGTGTATGGTGGTAGGAAAAAAAAAAAATAAATAAAATAAACATGCATATGGATATGCGTATATATAAGCACATACACGCGCAAACGAATCGGCTGGCGTGCTCATTGGGACAGCTTCATTTGGAGATACAGTGGCCCATCCGTTCTTCTCCCCCTTTCTGCGCAGATCTGTCAGTGATGTCCAAAATGGCCTGAAGGGGCGAGATGATACTTTGTCCCCCCTGCTCGCCTTGCCGAGGTCTAGATTCTTAAACGAATTCGATTAAAATAATTGTTTCGCCTTTAACTGCCTCATCTTGCTAATGCGAAGGTCATTTCGGCAACCTTGAGAACGACGTGCCCGCCCACGTAGGCGCACCCCCGCAGTTTCGCGACCCCGAGGGTGGGCTTGAAGGAAATTTGCTCCACTTCCATTACGAGCGTGTCGCCTGAACAGTTCAGAAGAAAAAAAGTGGCGCGGTGTACGTGTAAAAATGGCAGCTGCAGTTTTGCTGCGCGGGAACACAACCGAGAAAGTTCCATCATCGCAACGTCTTAAGAATAAAGGAAAATTACTGATTGGTGCCCCCTCAAAGTTGCAACAAAACGGATGTGCACATATGACTGTTTCTTTTTTTTTTTTCTTACACGCAGTTATTCCCAAACTGCGATGCAGACAGGAATTGCACACACATCTGTATGCATGTACTGGAAGAGTAATTTAACCTGGAAGGACTGGCTTCTTCCAGCGGACGCCGTCCACCCCAGCGAATAAAAATAAATTGTCCCTCCGACGATTTTCTTCATCTGTGAGGCATAGTATCCCCCCCAATTGTGCTAAGGCTTCTACTTGTAAAACGCCTGGCATAATAGCCTTGGCAGGGAAATGGCCATTGAAAAATTGTTCATTAGCGGAGACTTGTTTGATGCCAATTATTTTTTTATTTCTTTCTACATGGATTACTCTGTCAACCAATAGGAATGGGTACCTATGTGGAAGTACAGTTTTTATTTCCTCAATGTTGATGGTGTCACCAGCATCGTATGACATGACAGACGAGATGTGTTTCCCATCGATTTGTTTATTCTCGTTTTCTTCCACTGCGGATAGCTTCTTATTTATATTTTTTCCCATTCCTTGGTTATATTTTTTCGCGCTTGCTCTTTTCTTGGGGGAGAACTCCACTCGGGGGGTTAAAAACTGGTACCCTTTGTGTTTCCCCACGTCAAGACATGATGTTCTTAATGCAACGGTTGCAAAGGGGTGGGATAGGAGCCACATGAGGCAGAGGAGATGCGAGAAGTACGCGCACTTCATCATGTCGTTCGACGTGCGGGGAGAAGTCTTTCCCTTTTCAACCCTCCGTGTGTTTTAAAGTTATTTTGCACAAATGGAGGGGGAGATATACGGTGAGTGGTGTGAGGTAAGGGGTAAGCCGTTATTCTGTTGTTTGGCTGTGCGGCTATTCGGTTGTTCCTTCATCGGATAATCCTATGTGCTGCAACCTGTTGTGAGTGATTTTCCACCACCAGAAGGGCGTTTCCCCCCGTTGGGCAAAATTTACACCGTGCGTGCAAACAAGGACGAAGGTTTCTTGGAGGAAAAATGGGAATATGCCTGCCAGTATTTCACAGGGAGGGGCAGTTACATGCAAAAAAAGAAAAAAAAATGCATGCGTTAGGATTGCACAATGTGGAGCATTTTCCTTCTCCGCTTCTTCGCTTCTCCCCCTCACGATCTTGGCGCTTTCCTATCAGTGCCCAAATGATATTCTATTTGGTGCGCGCAGCAGGGGGTGAAAAAAAAAAGTCTTTTTACAAGGAGGTAGAGTTGCGCAACAGGAGAGAAGCACCGCTTCTAACACCTCTTGGTGTAGTGCCTACCAGTTGAAGCTGCCCCGTTGTAGGTATTTGTCAAAAAGGTAGGAACCGGCTCGACCCCCTTTCCCGGGGTTACGACGCTGCATTCTTAACAAACCCACCATTGCGAATTTTCTCGCTCGTACTAGTTCATCATCCTTTGGAACACCGGTGGCGTACCACACTTAGCTGCACGTTTTTAAAATAAAAAATTGGAGTTCTACTTAGGGTTTAATTAAGAGGCGGGGTCAAAAAAGGTAGCACGTGCGTAGAGGCATGGGACAAGGCACGTGAAGCAATGCGTGTACGAAGGGTTAACGCAACGGCCAGACGAAAGGGTCATCACGAACATGTACACGCGGTGGACGTAGTAGTCGCGGCCAAGGCACTGGTCCGAAAACAAATCGTTGCCGCAGTAGGGATGACTTCTATATGTGCGCGCTGGAAAAGGGTTACTATCCACCCCAAACATACACACATCTGCTTCTATTCTCTACTCGTCCTTCTCAACAGTAGTAACCTCGGAGACATAAATTCCGTCGAGAAATTTTCGAATATCTTTATTTCTACACAAAACAGACTGATGAATTAAAGCTGCCGTGAGTGAGACATTCTCAATATCAGCACCACTGACATAGATTTCATCCTTGACGTTTGGCGACTTCTCAATGAGCACCCCAGGTAGAGCCTTCACAAATCGAACCCGTTTCTCTCCCAAATAATTTCTTATTTCGATAGACTTGTTGTTATCCACGATGTTGGAGTTAATAGGAAAGTGAGCGTGCACTAGTCTCATTTTGTACAGGAACTTTTTGGTGACTCCAGTAAACATATTCTTCAGATGTGTACATACGGTTCGAATGCATGCCAATCGGTCTGGGACTCCAAACCACATCACCACCTTGATGTACTTCTTTAGCTTATTCAGGCGCACATCGATGGGAAGATGTCGGAAGGACCTCTTCAGCGTGCCATACTTTCCCGTCACAGTTACCTTCCTGGAGTTTATCGCCACTTGGACTTTGGAAGAAGAGGGGTAGGTGCGGTTAGCGGTGGAGTGAGTATCGGAGCGGGGTGTGGCGCACTTCTTCACCGTACGCGAAGAACTCATGCATACGTACGTGCATGTAAGCATAGGGGGCGTACGGGCGCGAGTAACCCCGTGGGGCATCACTTGGCTAATTGTTCTCATGGGCACCCAATCCACGCGCTTCTAACTACTTTGGAGGGAGGGGAAGCTTTCTCCCTTTAGCTATTTTTTCCTGTTCTTACTCCCCTCCCTAACTTCTCTGCAATGAGAGGTTACGCTCCTGTTGTGTTGCGCCCCGCTCACCGTGATGGTGCCCCACCTCTGGCACAAAGGCGAAGGCGCAGGAGCCCCTTTCCCTCTCAATTCCTCATTCTGTTCGACTCGCTCTTCTTCTCTTACCTCCTTCGGGAATGATGACCTTCTGCGATGACACGATGGTTTTCATTTTGAAAAAACGTATCCAAAAAGATGGGAAAAAAAGGGTGATTCACAAGGGCAGCAGCAGAGTAGCAGCGGAGTAGCAGCGGAGTATCGGCAGAGTATCGGAACAGTATCCGCACGTTGTCAGCAGAATTTCACAGCAGAAAACGCCAGGTCTCCTATCCTTTTGGTTTTCCTTTTCGCATACGGTTTGGAAACGAAATTGGTAACAAAGTTTCTCTTCTGTTAATTTTCTCACTGTGGATTTTTTTTTTTCTTTTCCCAAAATTGTCGCCTCTATTTTATTGGTAATTTTTCCCGCATTCGTTTTGCTAAAATAGTCATCACATCGTGCGCCTTTCCCCTTTGTTAATGAATTTTTTTTTTTTACGTTGCTGTACTTGGACTGGGCGGAAAAAAAACGAGCGCACTCTTTGCCGTCATAGGTTCGGGTATTGCATATATTATATAGATATATCGAGGAGGCACAGAAACGTGACACCAGATCCATATCTACATGAAAGCTGCGAATCGGTATTATGAATTGTGGGTGGGTAGGGCAATGTGAACAGGGTGGGCAGTAGGGGCCCGCTCAAATTACCCATGCAAGGTAAAGCACTACGGGACTGGGAGTAGTATCATCTCATGTATGCTTGGGGGGTATAATACTATTGCTACTACTACATATATAATACCCATATTCGCAGTTTAATTACTTCGGCAAGAGAAAAGGCGAAGATCGTCTCGCCTTACTGCTTTTCCGCTGCCCAACCTCGGCATGGAGGCAAGCAGGAGGTAAACACCAGGATTTGTTTTAGCGGCCGGAACGGGGGCCCGCCTTGCAATCTAGTCAATTCCACCCCCTCATCTGCTACATATATTTTGTGCATTTTTTCGTAACCCCCATTTTACAGAAAAGAAAAAAAAAATTACAGAAGGTTTTTCATTATGTTGTAAAAATTTTCATGAGCGAAATTTCTCTTCATTTTTTACATACATTTTTGTTGATGTTTCCCGTTTGTGAATCCGCATGGCTGCTTTTTTTTTTTTTCTCTCTCTGCAAATGACGGCTCTCCTCCCCATGGCTCCCTTTTCCTATGCCCGCAAAGGGTATATATTCCATATGTAAGGATATTGTTGCTTTTTCCCACCCATGGGGAGCAGCACAACAAGGGCAGTATAGTTTGTACGTGGGGTCACTCACCTGGACAGTTGCCAGTGTTTACAAAGTGTAGGAACTGTACGGACCTGTTGGCTGATTATTACCCATTTGTGCCTTCTCCAGAATAAACATTTTTTTTTTTTCTTTTTGTTCCCACCCAGGAAAAGGCATACCTCCTCAGGGGGTTGATGACAAAAAAAGGGAAAAAAATGAACATTCGTAAAAAAGGGATAACAAAAAAAGGTGGGCGAGGATTCCGATGAACGGAGTGGAAAAGGGCTGCTTGCCCCGTTGCGGCGATTATGGGCTGCACCAAAATGTTTGCCTCCACGTGCAGGGGTGTGTTGAAATGCCTCCTCCACGCGCTCACTTGGGAATCTCACATGAGCGGAAGGTGGCAAAGGTCTATGTTCTTCCACTTTCCCCGTGACAGTCGACGCGTCTTCAGTTAATGCTGCTTAGTCCCATTTGCGTGACGCTCCAAAGGGGTGAAAGTACCCCACACACACTTATAGACTTCTAGTGGGGTTTCTCCCTTGGTCTTCCCAATTCAGGCAAAATTTCTCACGGGGAACATGTACATACATACGTCCATACATGCGCATCTGCTTTTCGCGTTTATCCATAGGGGAGGAGAACTCGATTGGTTCATCCCTGTCCCATGGGTGCTTCTCTCCTCTTAAGCACTTTCCCTCTGCAATGAATGTATACACGTGGTGACCAATTAAAGGGCTAACCTATGGGTACGTTAAAGCGACTTCTGCGTACAGTCTGGAATTGTCAGATCGACGGTGAAGACTTTATCGAAAACAAACTGAGCTACTTGTTCTTTGTTCTTTTTGAAGAGCTCCTTGTATTTTTTTATTTCTTCCTTTGTGTTCTGTTCAATTAGGGTTACGGCTTCGTCTTCGGCGGTGCTTTTCTGGGGGTTCGAAAAGAATGGGGGTTCCTCATGTGGGGGTGCAAGCGGAGGTGCAAGCGGAGGGGCAAGCGGAGGGGCAAGCGGAGGGGCAAGCGGAGGGGCAAGCGGAGGGGCAAGCGGAGGGGCAAGCGGAGGGGAAAGCGGAGGGGAAAGCGAAGGTGCGTTGTCACATGCAAATAATAACACAGGTGTAAATAGGGGGGAAAGTTACATTAGCCTAGATATATGCGACACACTCCTCCGTTGTTGGAACGTTCCACATGTGCGTGTTCCCACGCGCATTACCTCCTTGTGCCCCTTGTTCAGGCGCTCCTTCTCCTTGGCCCGGAAAATCTTCAATTCCTCCGTAGCAGTCGCCTCGGCCTCTTTCAGCATCTTGGCGCGCACTGAGGGGGGATGGCAGTGAAAAAAGGGGGGTAGTAATGACCACAAATGGGGATGTGTATATAATGCCTAACAACGGACAGATGAACCGTTGTGTTGCGAAAACAAATTTCTCAACGGTGCTTATCAGACTCCAGTTGTCTGTCTTCCCTCTTACACTTCAGTGCGCATTTGTCGACATGTGCCCCTCTCTTTTCTTACCATCTTTGGCTTTCTTAATCACCAAATCAGCTTCTTCCTCAGCCTTCAGCAGCTGCTGAATGAGTTGGTTGGATCCTTTGTTTTGTGCCATTTATAGAGGGGAAACAAATCAGGGGGATGGGAGGTGATCGAAGGATGCTTTTGCTGTTATGCACTTAAAGGGGGGCTTTCAATTGGAGGGAAGGCTTCAAACATAGGCATTTATGAGCTCGCATATGTCTCTGCACATATGTATTTGCATATATGTCTGTGTAAGATGATGCCTCGCTTCTGGACCATGGGAAGGTTCAACCTCTTCGCTGGTGCATTTCTCTCTTTCGGTCATTCAGTGCGTGGGCGAGGAAAGCGGTCAAAATGGGCAGAAGATGCCGAAAAATGTTGCGAACGTGCTACGAAAACGCTGCGATACTGCTCAAAACAGTTAAAACGCGTTAAAAGCTTCCTTAAATATACATTTTAAAATTCGCAAAGAATGGGAACTTGTTTCTTTTCCCACTATGAGACTGTCACATGATTATGTTTGCTTATCTTACCCCTTCAGTTTCACGTTATTTGCTTAAAAGGGGGGCGATGCACAGTTTTTTTTTTTTTTTTCCCGTTTGTACATGGGGGGCTGTAAAAATGCGCTGCTGCGATTGCTCTGCTGTGCCGACTATGCTTTGCTGTACTATGCTTATGCTATCCTGTGGCGCATTCCGCTACGTCCCCATGGAAGTGGTGCAAAAATGAACACTACTGTTTATTTTATGTGGGCACACTTTTGGCCTATGCACCCCTGCGTGGCCCACTGCATCGGGGAGGCTTCTTTTTCTCCTCCCTTGACGCGCCGGCCCCGCGGAATGTTCGCAGCGTGTATCAGTTTGGGGCAGGGGCAAAGAGGGTGAGGAGTGGGAAAAGAGGAAAAAAAAAAGAGAAAAAATAAAATAACAATAATAATAGAACAATAAAACAATAAAATAATAAAATAAAAATTGCTAAGGAAAACGTACCAACTAGAGTGCCCAATTAGTATCCCCCATTGGGACGCATCTCCAAGCTGACCTGTGTGAAGGGACACACGGAAAAGTGCGCGTGGACGCACCCAGGCTCGCTCATTAAGTGGCAGAGATTACGATGGTGATGTGCTCAGATAAGTGCAAAGCGAGAATTTAATTTACTCGCTTTTTTTCATTTTGTCACCACGCCAACGTGGCATCATTCACGCGGTTATCTGAGCCATGGACATTCTTTGCATCCCTCCCCCTTTATGCATCCTACAACGTCTGACTGATTAAGATTTTACTCTTCCTTTTTCCATTCGAAGATGTGCCCATTTGGAGTGGTCCCCCGTCTGGCTTGTCTCCCCCTTTATTGACCACTCATCTTTTCCAGAGGTTGAGGCGAAATCGTAAACTTGGCCCTTTAAACACGTTTATCAAGTTGGGTCTCATTTTTTTCTTTTTTCTCTCTCTTTGACACCAGGAGGGGTGAGTTACATCCCCATCGACTGTCTTCTGCCTCAATAGAGGAGAGTACACCATCATTTTTTCCTGTCGCAGTTTAGGTTTTCGCAGCTGGGAAGTGATGTTGGAGGGAGTGGTAGGGGGGGTGGAGAGAGTGAACTCCACGTGTGCGCGATGGAATTGTCCTCTTTTTGTTGTTTTCGTGGAAGGTATCCTTAGTTGAAAGGAGCTGACCAGACTGGGAAGTCTTTTTTTTTTTTTTCTTCTTTTTTCTCCTTCTCCAAATGAACAACGAAAGCGAAAAGAAAGCTTCCCAGTCGGACGTGGTCGTAACCACAGGGGGGAAGTCGTCCAAAATTAGGAACATCAGGAAGAGCATAGACAAGAAGGGGGGTCCCGAGAGGAAGAAGAAGGAGAATGTAAAGTACAATAATGGTGATCTAATCAGAGTAGTAAAAACTTGCAAACATAATGACAGCATCTTCGATTTTATCGATGGTAGTTATAGAAGGTATTTTTTGGTGAAGCGGGGGAATGGGGTGGCTCCACACACACAAGTGGGGCATGATCCGCCAAATGAGCAAGGCGCGCAAAGTACGCACCCCCCGTTTATCTTCTTCGAGTCGCTTAACGCCTTCGAACTGAAGAAGCATCCAGCGGGGGAAGCAATATTCACAACACTGTTTCATATGACCAAAGGGAACATGGAGCGCCTATACAATGAGAGCAACTTCTTAAGTCGTGGCTGGTCGGATGAGAAGAAATGGAAGGAGCTACGGAGCGACAAGTGCAAACTGATACTGGGGTTTGTAAAGAAAGCTGAGTCCAGTGAAGAAGGTATCACATCGGATGAGCAAAACGTCAGTGAGTCACTCCTCACGGGGAGCGAACCTAATTTGTCATTTCTTCAAAGGATACACACCAAAGGGAAGAATGAGAGTACGAAGGAGGTGGATGATTACCTGAACAAACACTCTCTGGTCTCCTTCGTCCACTACAGACTGACGGCAGATTACTCCCCCAATGCACACACAACTGTATGCTACCTTTACGAAATTCAGATCGTGCCAGAGTTTACCAAAATGGGGATCGGAAAGCACCTCATCGGTATGTTGGAGGCTCTGTGCAGAAGAATCAATGTGCGCAAAATTCTATGCACCGTGCTAAAGAGCAACATCAATGCCGTTTCGTTTTATAAAAATAAGTGTTCCTTCCAGATGGACGAAAGCTCGCCGGATAACTTCGCGTCGGAGGACTCGGAGGAATGCGAATACGAAATATTGAAGCGAGTCGTCTGCAGCTAGCTCTCAAAAGGGGGAGGTGGCTACGTCATGTCAAGCACGCGCATCGTTTCAGCGGCGCATGCCGTTTCACTGACGCAGATGGTTCCACCCACATTTGATACGAGTTAACACCACGCCCTCTTCAAGATGGTCATTTTTTTTTCCTAAATTTAATGTGTTTTTTTCTCCTCTTAAACTCTTTTTCGTTTTTTGTTTTTTTTTTTAAAAAATTGTGGATAGATTTCGCATAGCGCGTGCGAAGAGAGGTATAGGTGTTCCGCCGGATGACTCCCACCAAGGGGGTGTTAGCGACACCGCCGGCGTACTATGATCAACCCATGTGCTGTGCCATGGCTTATGCAGACGCAACATGTGTATGAAGAAGCCGATACGGAGTTATTCCCCCTCGTCAGTAGAAACTCCCTTCATTATAAAATTCCGATCTTGTTGGCTACCTCCAACGCGTCGTGGTCCTTTGACAGGCGCACGTATGCCTTCTTGTCTCCGTTCAGTCTGCAGGGGGGCGGCGCGGAAAATAAGAAAAGGTATTGTGTGCATGGCTTAGATATATGCGCACATACATGCGTGTTGAAATATATATGTAGAGGCGTGCACCCCCACAGATGCGCCTTGTCCTACGTTGCAGCGAGGGGTGGCCCTACCCAAATGGAAAAGGTGGTCTCTCTGCCACTCTCCCCCTCCCCCTTTGACCTACCTGTTCAACACATTGACCTTCTCGCAGTTAATGCCGAAGAGGTTTCTCACCGACTTCTTGATCTTCTTCTTGTCTGCCCTCTTGTCGCAAATAAAAACGAGGGTGTTTATTTCTTCAATCTTCTTCATGGCCTTTTCCGACGTCAGGGGGTATTTCAGAATTCCATATTTGTCCAGCGTCTTTTTGTAGCATGATTTGATGATTTTGGGGCACTTTGGGTTTTTGGGCAATTTCAGGGTTTTAGGTCTGCATGGAAGTGATGAAGAAATGGGGGTGATATATCAAAGATTGCACGAATGGACGAGAGGTGTTAGACTCCCTTTCGCCTGTTTTAGGTAGTGATATGGATCCCTTTCACCAGTGCTAAGCTGTGATAGCAAATTCCCTTCCTCTTGCTAAGAACTGATGGACGCTTTCCTCTTACCGCTTGAACCGAATGGACGTGATCATCTTCTTCTTCTTCTTCTTGGACTCCTCGGCGGCGCCTTTCTTCACCTGCTGGTTCTTTCCACCCACGTGTTTTCCCAAAGTCTTTTTAACCTTTCCCTTATACAGTTCCTTCTTCTCTTTGGCGGTTCCTTTCTTCTTGGCCATCTTATCATTTCCACCGGCTGCTGCCTTGGGGTTTCCCTTTACATTCTTGGCGTTCTTCTTGTTTTTACTATCCTGTTTTTTTTTATCCAGGGTGGTTTCTGCAAAGGGGGGGAAGAAGTCACAACGTGGGTAGAGTGCTTTGAGGGGACTTCCGTATATGATCCATTGGGCAGATCTCTACACGTTTGTCAACACACGTGGGATGGGGACGCGAGCACAGACGACTTCGCCATCACCACTATAGCGTGGAAGCGTTGTAGGGTTTGAAGGATTGCAGTGTTCCAGCGATACAGGGTTGAAGAGGCTGTTTTGTCACCCCAGTTTGACCACTCCACGCTGCCACTCCTCTTTTTCTTACTTTTATCATTAGTCCCCTCTACCATTTTGACGATGATGGATGAAATGAAAAAAAAAAAAAAATTCGAGTTGGATTTTTTTTCTATAAATAAATGGAATCCTCTCTTTAGGATGAACTTTTTCTTTTTTAAGTTTTTTATAAAAAAAAAAAATTCCTTCGGGGGAGAAGATCCCTTTTGCGCGTATGCATATAATTGTAAAAGATATAAGTAACTGCAGTTGTACATATACATGTATGAGTTGCTCCTTTGAAGAAAAGCCTCTTTTCCTCTTTGCGCTAGGTCGTTGAAGGGAATATTTTTTCGCGCCAACCGAGCGGGATGAAACGGGAAAAGAACCGGGGAGAACTGGATCGGGTTAAGTCCCTCTACGTCTTTAGCGACAGGGGAAGGAAGAGGAGGTGCTACTCCGTTTTGCCTCTTCAGAGGGATGCCCCTTGCAAGTGCGTGCTTAAAGTATACGCAGATAATTTTGCACATAAGAAGGAACACTTATATTATATTATATACAAAGGTAAAAAATATTATGACGCATGGCCAACCCTTGGACACTCTCCCCTCAGTGGTGCGAATTCACGAAGGGCACTTCTTGTTAAACTCGCCATGTGCACAATACATTTTACGTGCACAAGTGGTAGGTGCGGCGCCCCTATATAGGTACATATATGCTTCTTTTTTTTTTTCGCGAAACTGTGCCCAGGTGATGACCGTACTTAAGAACAGATTGGAATTGGGTTAGTTGCAATGTTGGCTACGTGTCACAAGAGAGAACAAGAAAAGAAGGCAAGGTATGTAAAAATGCATGCCATGCGCCGCTACCCCTTAGATATCGTGACGCCTCTCAGTTGTCCCCATTTGTTCACCCGGAAATGTACCATTTGGTGATGACGCGATTGGGAGGGGACTGAGTTGTTTTCCTTCTTCGCGCTCTTTTTCCGCTTTTCACATTTTTGTCGTGTTTTTTTTTACATTTTGCGTTGTTTCCCTTGTATTGTATTTTATCGTGTTGTATTGTTTTCCTTTTTTTTTTTTATTTTTTTCTCTTTCCAGCTAGCCAAAACTGGTTGATGGGGGGAGACATTTTGCCGCGATCGATGAGGACGAACAAATCCGGCACCGCGTAAAACAACGTGGCAACATAAAATCATTCGCCTCAGGCTAAGTAGGTGTTGTTTGGCCCAATCGAAAAAGGAAGTTATCGCGATGTTAGCATAGATATGTATATATTTATACATATATATAATATACATATAACTATAGACCAATATGTCGTATGCCGATTTAATTTCTTCGTGACCGTGCCAAGGCTTACACTTCACGTAAGCTGTGTTAATCTTTTTTTTTTCTCCTCTGAGATTGCCTTCCCCTCCTTGCGCAGTTTGTTCGTTCGTTTGTTTCTTTATTTGTTTATTTGTTTATTTCTTCATTTGTTTGTTTATTCGTTTGTTTGTTTGTTATTTTTTTTTTTCCTTTGATGTGACATACCAAATCAGCCTGACACATTTCAGTGATCGAATGCGGGAAAGGTGAACATATGAACAGAAATGGCATACACCCCCTTGGGTGGAAAAATTCTAAAGCTCTGATCGTGTGCTAAGTGAGCGAAGCTGGCCGTGACCGGATCTTTCAGCCGCAGTGTTTGCAATTCTGAGGAGTTGTCAAAAGTGTTGCCTTCCCATTCCTCTTTTTGCGCGCCGGAAAAGGTGAAACAAATAAGCAGAGCGAGTTGAAGGGAAGATTCGGCGATAAGTAGTCCCTGCGCACGGAGAAGCCACACAGACGGGAAAACACAACAGGGGGGGAAACAGTGCTGTCGCTTTCCATAACACGAGAAGGAAAAAAAGCTGGCAATGAAATTGTAAAGGAGGAAGCTGCAAAGGGTGAGGGCAGCACGTTCGATTTGCTTCGCCTCAGTCTGCTTATTTTATTTTTATTTTATTTTTTTACCCCTGGCGAGGTGACCATTATTGTATGCTCTCCGCATCTCACGTGAGAGTACACTATTCCCCCCCTGCGCCAACCCCGAATGAAGGGGAGAGCGCATGTCGGTGTCACCCCCTCCATTTTTGTTTCCCCCTTTTTCATGAGCGGAAAATTAATCCAAAGGAAGCCACTCCGCTCCTTTGGCACAGTCGTCCATAGTGACACACACGATCCTTGCGCTTCCCCCCCACCGCAAAGAAAAAAAAAAAAGCGATTGAAAGGGGAAAGTGGCCAATTGGCTGTCATACCAATTGGGTATTTTTGTAAACAGCTTAACGGCCAAGCAGTCACCGTCCGGATTTTTCCCTTTGCGTTTCGCGTGATAATTTTGGCCTCACAGTCTGGTCGCACATTCTGGCCTCACATTCTGACTTCACATTCCAGTCTCACATTCTGGGGACCATCTTCACCGTTCCTTTGAACCCTCAAGTTACACACCCAACCATTCGCGAAACGAACGCGATGCTGTAAAAGAAGAGCGGTACGTGACGTAACTGGCACCTAGCTGATTATAAAAAAAAAAAACAGAAAAAGAAATTTCCATGGTAACCGAACTGTTTGTGCAAAATAATTGAATGAACAGAGAGCAGCTTAAGCAGGCGCAGCGAGATGTACACGGAAAGGGGCCCTCTGCAGGAGCATATGTGCGTACCCACCTAGAGAAAGGGACCTTTTCCCATCTGGGTGCAGATCCTTTCATGAGATCGCACGATAGTGGCGTGTTGAATCTGAGGCAAGCACATGCATGTGGGAGGTGGCCGTTGATAGAAGAAATCTACGTGAGGAGGTGTACGCGTGAAGTAGCACATGAGGTGAGGAGGTCCACGCGCAAAGTAACAAATAAGATAAGCCATCCACCCGGAAGTCTTCCATTCGCTATTCTCCCTGGGGCGCCTCCCCCACGAATTCACACCACAGGCGCTGATTAAAAATGAAACCTTTCTTTGTGTACATATACATGTTGACGAGTGAAAAAAAAAAAAAAAAAACAAAGTCTAGGAGGACGCAGGAATAGCATAGTAGAACCGTCTGTTGCCCCCACGTAGTGGCTAACGCGTCGTTGGCTTCTCCTCACAAGGAATCGAAATTAGCAGAGGGGGAACCGCACGCGTGTACACGGGGATAGGGCTAACTGTTAGCGGGTAAACAGTTAGCAACACGGCTAATGCGCTTATCGCCTAAGTGTCGCCACCTTATTGGGCCCCCTTCAATTGTTGCTCCTTCGCCGACGCGCTGATTTTGTCACCCCTCAGAGGAAGCCCGCGGAACGGAAGAAAAGGGCAAAAAAGAAGAAAAAAAAATGGGGGCAGGCAGCTTTGGGAACCCCGGTTGCGGCTCCCTTTCCCGTATCATCCTTCTAGTCATCTGTGTGTTAGCCCTCTGTGCGTTGAATGCAGGGTGCAAGAGCAATCCAGTGGAGAATCGAAGCAAAGACCTTCTATATAAGTATAAGCTATATGGAGATATTGACGAGTATGCATACTACTTTCTCGACGTAGATATTGGAACCCCGGAGCAGAGGATTTCTTTGATCCTAGACACGGGATCATCCTCGTTGAGCTTCCCATGTGCAGGGTGCAAAAACTGTGGGGTCCACATGGAAAACCCCTTTAACCTGAATAACTCCAGAACGTCATCCATTTTGTATTGTGAAAATGAGGAGTGTCCTTTTAATCTCAACTGTGTTAAGGGGAAGTGTGAATACATGCAATCCTACTGCGAAGGTTCGCAGATCAGTGGATTCTATTTCTCAGATGTAGTTAGCGTGGTGTCGTATAACAATGAGAAGATAAGCTTTAGGAAGCTTATGGGGTGCCACATGCACGAGGAGAGCCTCTTCCTCTACCAGCAGGCCACCGGCGTTTTAGGCATGAGTCTTTCTAAACCGCAGGGCATCCCGACGTTTATCAATTTGCTGTTTGGGAACGCTCCACAGCTGAGGAAGGCGTTCACTATTTGTATCTCCGAAAATGGCGGCGAGCTGATCGTGGGGGGGCACGACCCGGCCTACATCGTGCGCAAGGGGAGGGACAAGAAGGAGGGACCGAAGCAAGGACAGAACCAACCACAGGAGGCTAAGCCTAATCGATTGGAGGGTTCATCCATACCGGGAGAAGACCCACAATTGGCATTACGCGATGCAGAAAAAATCGTATGGGAAAATGTCACAAGGAAGTACTACTACTACATAAAGGTCAGGGGTATAGACCTTTTTGGAACGAATATAATGAGCTCAAGCAAGGGGATCGAGATGTTGGTAGATTCAGGAAGCACATTTACACACGTCCCAGAGGATCTTTACAATAAATTGAACTACTTCTTGGATATCCTCTGCATTCAAGATATGAATAACGTGTATGATGTAAACAAGCGTCTGAAGATGACAAACGAATCGTTTAGTCATCCTTTGGTCGAATTCGACGATTTCAAGAGGTCTCTAAAAAGTATCATCTCCAAGGAGAACATGTGCGTTAAGATCGTAGAAGGAGTGCAGTGTTGGAAATATCTGGAGGGGTTACCCGATCTGTTTGTAACTTTATCGAAGAACTACAAAATGAAGTGGCAACCACATTCGTATCTCTATAAGAAGGAGAGCTTCTGGTGTAAGGGCATAGAGAAACAGGTAAATAATAAGCCCATATTAGGGTTAACTTTTTTTAAGAACAGACAAGTTATTTTCGACATTGAGAAGAATCGGATCGGTTTTGTCGATGCCAATTGTCCATCTCATCCGACTAATACCAGACCTAGGACTTATAATGAGTACAAAAGGAAGGACAACATATTTTTAAAGATCCCATTTTTTTACTTGTATAGCCTCTTTGTCGTCTTCGCCCTGTGCATATTGCTATCCCTCCTGTTATACGTCAAGCGGCTGTACGACATGGAGTACAATCCGCTCCCCTACGAGGGGAAGGCACCGGCGGAGACGTAGCGGTGGGAAGCGGCACGGAGCGGCACGAAGAGGCAAGAGGCAGCGAGTTCGTCACAGAGCGTGGAGTTTCCCCCCCATAGCTTCACTTCCTCCACGGCTGCCCACTTTTGCCTGTCTCACCATGAGAGGCCGGGCACCTACGTCTGCATGCGTGTATGTGCACCCCACGGTGCGTGCTCCCCCGCTTCTTCGTCTTCTCCCTTTCTGCTTCTTTTTTTTTAAGTCTGCAATTTTTTTCAGTTTTTAATTGCCCCAATTAATCCTCTGCTCATTTTCAAGCCAACTCAGTTCATTCCTTCGTCTTCTTAAATTTTTCCAAGGCGTTAAAAAGGCGAGCGGGGTAGTCCCTCCAAGTGCCGCTAAACTGGGCCGTCACAACTGTGGCCATTGGGCAGGGGCACTCCGCCCCTTCATTTGTGCCAAAATGGGCAAGAACAATTGAGGAGGTTCAGCGAGGTGGGGTGGGCTGCTGCAACGTGCGTTTGTTGTTTTCCCATGACTGTTGGAAGCGGTGATGGATGCGGCGAAGGAAGTAGAATGCCATTTTCTCCACACCCTGGCGAACGTCACGACTTCAGGTAGACGTTTCCATCGCTGCTCCCCCAACCGGTGTGTGTCCCATTACGTAACGACGAAGTGGCCTATTTGGGGAGGAAAAACAACACAGGAGGGGGAACATACCAGGGAATGCTACGAATGCGATGCAAGTTAACGCAGCGCCTCAGAGAGGAGATAAAACGTTCAGCGGCATACCGGGGCGAGAGAAAGCGAAACCATGTTGGCTCCATTGAGGGCCAAACGGAAAAGGAAAAACCTAAAACGAACAACGACCCTCAGATAATTTCACCCGACCGGGGTGCAGTCAAGAAAATAAAATAAAAATAACCCACGCTTCCCATTAAAGGCCCTGCTCTCCCACATTCCTACCTCCGCGATGAGCTGGCGAAAAAAGGAACCCAAGGAGTGATGCAATGCTGGGCGCTTCTTCCAAGTTTTTTTTTTTTTTTTTTTTTTTTTTTTTCGCTCTACAGAGAATAAGCCGTCGCTCCCATCTCGTTTGTGAATTTTTTCAAGCCGTTGTCCGCGTGCACATTTTCCACGCGTTGTTATAAATGCATTGGAGGGAAGAAACGAACGCATCTGGGCTCGGTACGACATGAAAGGTGCGTGCCTCCTGTTCCGCTTGTGCATCTGCTGGCTGCTGCTGCTGAAGGTTTTGCTATCCCTCGTGGGGACCGACGCCAAGAGAAACACGCTACCGAGCGAGAGGCACAGAAGCATCTTAGCGAATGAATCTTACATCGTTGGGAATAACAGAGGCGGTGGAATCCCCCCCCTGAGTGGGCATAGAGAAGCGCGCAGGAAGAACTGGGGGAGCAGGGCGCACTCATATGGCTACCTCTCCAGGAGGGGCATTTCCAAACCGTGTAGGAATGGAAGCCCCCGGGCAGGAAGAAAGGAGGAGGAGCAGCAGAAGAAGGAGAAAAACACACTATACGCAGAGAACTACAAAATAAACTTGACGGACAAACCAATCATCGAAGAGGTGCCTCGAAATGTGAAGGGCAGAATCAACGAGTGGATACCAGAATTTGACGAAGATAACAAATTAGGATTTTTCCCTATCCTGTTGGAGGAAATGTCCAATGAGCCCTCGCCACTACAAGTAGGGTTCGAAGACTATATGCAATTCAATGGAGAAAATGTAGAAGACATTTTTAAAAACATGACTAGAGAGGTAACCCTAAATGGAAGTAAAAAGAAAATCTTTGGCATGTGTTTTTTTAATCACAAAACAGGAGTCCTAGCCCCGTTAGCAGTCTATGCAGAAATTAAGGACGTTACCAAAGTGGGAAAAAATTTAGCTGTTAAGGGTGTAGTAAGGGGTCGTATTATAATTGACGATATTGTTTCCCAGGAGCCATGTATTCTAGGGAAGATATCACCCATTGAAGATAAAAAGGGACTGTCAGATGCAGAGGAGAGCTTAAAAATGGTGGATGAAATTATTCGAATCCATTCACAGTGCACAACTATGGAGTCTCAACTGATGGAGCAACTTGATCAGTCTTTTGCATCTATGAATATTAAGTTAAGAAATGACTTAAAAGAATCCATAGATGCAAAACTGGAGAAATTTCAAGTGGATCCTTCTGATCCTGAACAAAGACAAGCTTTCGTCCAGATTGCTTCCTTTGCGGCTTTCGATTTTCACCTTATGATTGTCGACAGGTATGATGCCTTGATGTTGCAGAATTCGGAGGATAGACTCAGATTCGTTAGAGATAAAATTAGACAGAAGCAGAAGCAGCTAGCCATTATTAAGAACACGCCAAAGGAGAAGCTCCAGGAGATTCTTGAGCAAGTGCAGACTCTGAAGAATCAGGGCGCAGCGGGCGCACTAGGCGCACCAGGCACCAATTATCCGTCGCCCCCGGGATAGACACCTAGGAGAGGCGGCTTATGAGGATGTGCCCCCCAGAGGAAGAGGTAAATAATCCCGGGTGAAGTATTACTCTGCATGCTATATACCCAGGTGGGTTGATCAGGGGCGAGGCAGCACGTGTCCGGGCTAGAGAAAACTTCAGAATAGCGATCTACCTAGGCATATGTTAACAATGCGCATATACATTTTTATCCTTATTCGTTATGCTTCTCCCCCTGTTGGAGCACGTGCAACCTGTGTGATCACCATCTCTTTCGGTTGGTCCCCCCGTTCATCCTTAGTAGCCGTCCTGGAAGTATCCTTTCTTCCCATTTTTTGTTACCCCAACTTTTTGGCATTTTTTTTTAAGTTTCACTTTGTTAACTTGTTGTGTGTGCCCCAAGGAGCTGCATATATAGGACCAAGTCACAGTCGTATGCACTCTACTTAACCGTATGTGTGAACAGGGGAACTGTGTTCCCCCAAAGGGAAAGGGAAGATATCGCCGCGTCGACTATTAGCATAAACACATTTTATACGGCTGCTACTGATCAGCCGTTTTGGCGGTGTACCAATAAGGATAGGTACACTCTTACATGTTTCTGCGGTAGCTAACGTGAAAACGGTGGGGCTGTACCCCTGCACAGATAGGCAGTTACATATATGAGGTGGGATGCTGCTTAACTTGGTCACAGAAGAGGAAGCAACGAAGGACACTTGGGTAAATCTTTGCAGTTTGGCGAGGGGCATCTCGTTATTGATCCTTTCGACGCTGCTTTTTTTTTTTTTTTTTGTTTTCCCAAATGGGAAGTACAGAGGTGCAATCCGGTTAGCACAATTTTGACTTCGCCCCAAAGGAAAGAAAGTACTCCTCCCTCCACCGATCAGACCAAGTGCCAAATGGAAGAACCTTCCTGTGGATGGTAACCCTGTCCAGATTTGGATTTTCCTCACCAAGCGTCATAACCTTCCCCATTGCACACAAAGGAATTTGCTACATGTCTTGAGGCAGCCGTGCACAGAACACGGGGAGAAATTGGTCATTTTTTTTTTTTTTTTTTTTTTTCTTTCCTATGCAAAGTCTTGCTCTGCAACCACGCCAGAGTGCAGTGGCGCGATCTCAGTTCACTGAAATTTCAAATTGGGCATGTAGACGTGTGCGCACAGGCTGCTTACAAGAAGATGCTTTCTTCACGTTTCGATTGTAGAAATTGGTCATTTTTTTTTTTTTTTTTTTTTTTCTTTCCTGTGGAAAGTGCCAGGATCCAATTTCTGCTTCCACATAATTGTAGATACGTGGACTCACGAGGTCGCCTCTTGACGTCGGAGGTAGAAATAAGACGGTGGTGACTCACTGTCCAGTTGTGTACTTCACTGACGAGTTGTGCACAACGCAGGGGGGGAGAGAAGTGGCATCATTCATTCCGCTTTATTTCGCACATGTGGCGCACCTCTGCTGCATACCCCGAAAATCGTCACAGAGGAAGGCTAATTCACCGCAGAGCAAAGCAACTTCACGACGCAGAAAACCATTTGTGCAAAGCAATGGAAATTCCTTAGCGCATTCGCTAACCGTTGCTTCGAAGGTGTGTACCGGCAAGGGCACGTATGTATGTAAGCACGCGTTGGTGTGTATGCATACACGTACATGTGCAAGGGCGCATTTGCGGGGAAGACACTTTTTGCATTACTTGGGAGGGAGTCACCATTTGGTTTCCCCTCAACTGTACCAGCGGCGTAGGATAACCCTTCAATATGTACGTCACTGCAAAATCGCCTGCACATGTAGATATTTTTTCCCCTTAAAAAAAAAAAAAATCCATAAAGGTAAACTAGCGCTACATTGTGTGTACATGGAAATTTATGGCAAAAAAAAAAAAAAAAAAAAAAAAAAAAAAAAACGCGGAATGGACAAACGTACAGATAATGCTAATCTACCTTTTGCGTACTTCTTTTTCATCTTCTTTTTCGCTTTGACGTCCGAATGAAGCATTTGCTTGTTTCCACTTCCGCCCCCGCGTTTGTAAAACCATTCCGCATGTTCCATTGTTTAACCCAATGTTTGAATGAAGAAAATTGGCAAACCGAGTTAACTGCACGCGTAACACACGAACGTGCGTAATTCAGCGTGAGATTTTTTTGAATTAAAAAAAAAAAATTGACTCAGTGAGCAACTGTGCTGACGTGGACGCTAATCGTGGCACGCACGAATGCCTCCCTTTGCTCGCGTACGTATACACGCGCGCACACACGTAACTACGTCTGCTATACGCACTGTACCCTTGAACGGATGAAATAGCGTTTCTCCGTCCCTGCAACTGCATACGTGTGACAAAAAAAAATTGTTTGTCTGAAGGGAGTATTTGGGACTGCTTAGTTGTACAGTGCGAATTGTCCAGCGTGATTTATCCAGTGTGATCTATCCAGCGCCATTTGTCCAGTGCAATTTGTCCAGTGCAATTTGTCCGGTGCGATTTGTCCAGCGTGATTTGTCCAGTACGCATTGGCTCCCCGTTTTTCGCAGGCGTACACCACATACACAACGTACACCACGTATACAGACGCACGTCCGCGCGCATTTACAGTCTCCGCACCACTGCCCCCGTTTAGCCGAAACGCGGATAGAGCGAACAGAACGAAGCAAAGACAATAGCAACAGGCACAGCTGCGCAAAGGCGAACGGTGAACGCATGCACAACACCCTCAACACATGCGCAAAGAACGCAGAAGGTGAGGCAGCCATTTAGACAGGAGACCAGCTCTTCGGCCCGCACGACGGACGTCAGACAAGTGGAAGAAGTACGACAGGTGTTAGAAGTGAAAGACCTGCCATAAGTACACGAACCTAGCAACCACCCTCCAATCCAGCCAAACTTCCACCCCCCGAAAAATGTTTTTCACGTATGTCGTTCGCCCGGGGGAAGCCCCAGAAGGCCGAGGGCCCCAGTTTGAACCATTTTGGGACTTCTTCATGAACTTCAACTTACGAGTAGGATTCCTCATTCAGTTGATTTCGTACATCTTGTTGGTCTGCTCTATAACATTAATTGGGAAGAACCCGTTTGGCATTTTAAATTTTCTGAGGGCACTACCAGGAGGTGTCGGGAATGCGCCAATGCCTTTGGTTTTTTTTAGTATTGGAGGTTTTCTCCTGGGCACGCTGCTGATCATGTCATTTTTGCAGTTGACTGAAGATGATAGCAGGTAGGCTCTTCCACCATGAAGAGGGAGATTATTCCCCCGTGGGTGGCTCTCCCCCTACTGTGCATGGGAATGTGTAGACAGTCCTTTAGGATGTTCGTATTTCTCCTTCGTGTTGATCCCACCCCAGTGCATAATTGAAAAATGACTCCACCAACTCCTTTCACACACACCTCCCCCTTTTTTAGCATCAAGCAATCGAGAGGATACCGAGCCGGGACGAAGTTTCTGCTACAGGCCACGTCCATGGGTAGGGAGGGAGCAACGGAGTGGCGATGAAAGCAACCTGGGGGATGCTGCTTTCCTGGAAGGCGACGCTTCATTTCTCTGACCCCTGTCAACATGGTTGCATATTCCCATTTGGTATGCATTAAGAACATGTCCTATTTCTTCGTCCTTCTGTTCCTGTTAGGCACCGTGTCTTGGAGTTTGTCTCTAATCTGTTTGATGGCCTCTTCCTACTACTTTGATGACCCTTGGATGGAGGAGAAAATCGGAGCCGGTTCATCATGGATTCTATACTTCAGTTCAAGACTGATAGATGCCTTCTCTCTATTTCTGTACGGATCTGGTTGTTTCTTTTTGGAGGTGTACCATTCAGAGGGGGCTGGAGAAGCTTGGGGATGGATATGTGGTGTCTGTTACTTAGCGACAGCCTTTGTGGAAGTGTTATCATTAACCCTATTTAACAGTGCCTTGTTTGAATCTCTAGATTGGTTTTATGCCCTATTCCTTGGAATGAGTCTCTTCTTCAGTGTGGTTTGGGGTCTTCTCTTTGAGCCAATAAGTCACAGATACGATGTGAAATTAACCCAGAGTGCCATGCGTAATGAGTATTACAAGTCAAGGAACGCCATGGCTTACTACGGCCCTGCTGTTGTGACGGCGAATGGAGAGCTCGACATTGAAGCGTCGACTGAAAATGTAACGTCGTGTAAGCAGTGTTAGTGTTGGCTAGCCACGAAGGGAGAGAAGCGGGACAGACGACCTTTCCTTCGTTGAGACCGTTGAGACCGTTGAGACTGTTTAGACCGTTGAGACTGTTTAGACCGTTGAGACCGTTTTGCCGCTTTTCCAAATTGTGGCGAACCATCTGGACTCCGCTTACATAGATGCAGCTGTGTTGGTGTGTCTCCTGCGAAGCCCCTTGGTGCGTGCCTGGATCGGTATGAACCTCGGAGGGGCTGCTGTTGTGGCTGCGGCGTCAAAATGAACAGAGTCCATGTTGCGAAACGAATTGGCATAATTCACTGTAGACTATATATAGTAGCGGCGCTCACTCCGCGGGGGGGATGAATCAACGTGCGCGCAGTGCCAGAGTTAAAACGACAGACATCAGTGAGCGAGCATTGAACCAACATTGAAACAGCAGTTAGACATCACTGAGTCAGCATTGAGGCACCACTTAAACAGTACTCTCCTCATCATCACCTTCTTTTTTTTTTTCTTCCCCTTTTTTGGTAATGCATCTTTCACTGAACGTGTACACACACCGAGGTGTATTTTTATGCGTCCGCTTTCGCATGACAGTTATGGCTGGTCGACCGCGTTGTGCGACTCCGAATTTGTACATTTTTGCCGTCGTGATGTGCCTTGCGATACATTTGGTTTCCCTTTCTTTTTTTTTTTCACGTGGCCACGTTGCTTTTTCCTTTTTCCTCCTCCACGTATATCTTCTTTCCCCCTTTTGTATTATGCCGATTAAATTTTCCGATCAGTAAATTTTAATATTTTATTAATAAGTGTTTGGTGAGGTGGTCGGTAAGGAGGTAAGAAGCGAGACAAAAATGCGAAAAAATGTGGACAGATGGGGGAGAAACGTTCAAGCGTGTGTGTGTGTGTGTGGGGGGGGGCATTACCCCATGGGGAGGTTACTATGGCCGCTCCGTTGGAATGCCTCTCTTTCATGGGCCTTGCCCTAGGAGTCCCCTCTCCCACCGCCTACGGGTTTATCCCCCCCTTTGCGTCCTTCTTAATCTGCACGAGGACGACATCAACGGAGGGCAGGCTCTCAACGCAGGGGGGTGGCTGGACGCGAGCGAAGAACCCCTTGAGCAGCTGATGGAATCTAGTGAAGTATAACAGAATCTGTGTGTTCAGCATTTTTAGTATTTGTGCGGAAGTGTCCGTGTGGGGAAAGGAGAGGGTAACTTCTTGTTTGATGTTTTTAAAAAGGTCTTTCCAATTTTTGGTAAACTGAATTGCCACAGATTCCATTAATTTTGCATCTACTTCAGATGTGAAATCACTGGGACAGTAGCCATCTTTCTTTAACTTGTCTACTATCTGTTCATGCTTAGAGACAAACAGAATCAAATCCGTCGCATAGTGGTTCAGCTGGAATTCTACGTACGCATTCATTTCTTTCTTTAACAGTTGGTCGAAGCGGTCGATCTTGTCTTCTTCAATTCTGTTGTTCCTCATGACGTGTATCATGTGGCAATAGTTATTAATAAGAAAGAGGAGCTGATCCCTAGTGTGTGGAAACTGGTTCTTATGGACGGCTAAAACGTCTATTATGTTTTCTTCTAACCTTCCGATGAGATCATTTAGGTGGCTGTATTTTTTTTCAATGGGGTGATCCTGATCTCCTTTCGTTTGCTGAGCTGTTTTGGCGGATTCCTTCCGTGAGTGTTCCGGGTCTTCTCCCTGTTTACTCTCCTCGCATTGCTTCGGCGTCCGTTCCGGGTCATGTCCTTCTTTCCCCTCGTTGCATTCCTTCATCGTGCGTTCCCCCCCACCGTCAGTTAACCCAATTGGGCTATCCGTCTCATCACTTCTGCTTTTCACGTTTATGTTTCGTTTCGCTTCTTGCAGGTCACCACCCGGGTTGTCACTCCCGTTTGGACTGTCACTCGAATTGGCTCCTTTGCCTGTACGCTGGTCTCCTGGGAGGGGTTCTCCCCTATTTGACATCTCTTCCCTGGAGTGAGCCCCCAAGGTGGTAGAAGGGGGGGTCTTCTTTTTTGGTGGGCTTCCCCTCTCACCGGAGGAGACCACCCCGCAACACATTTTCACATGGTGCTCTTTCTCTAAATGGAGAGATAGTTTGGTTAGAACCACTAGGGAGCAGTAGAAGTCTGAAAATCGTTTAACTACGGGATGTGCGTGACGGTACGGAGGAGCGCCATCTCCTTGGGTATGTCTGCTCCATTGGCTAATCCCCTCTTGAGACGAGGCACATTGTAGAGGAGCAATTCGCGTGATGGTTGCCTCTTCTGCTTCCCCCTGGTCCATCGGACCCAAATGGGTTGCTGACGACGTGGTGAAGACCCCATTGGGAGGGGTGCTCCTCACAGTAGTACTACTGCCCCCGTGCAGTGCATACCCATTGGACGGAGTGAGGCAGCCACTATTTAGGTATGTACTCCCCGTCTGGGCACTGTTAAGGTGGAATAAATTGTATAAGCTGCTTTTCTGGTGTGGATGGTTAAGGGGGATGTTGCGCTGCTCCGCCATCTCGATGTGCCTTCTTTCCATGCGGCTCGTCTCCCCATGGTGAACCGTCACCGACCTGACGTTCTCACTAACGATGTAGTCGATTCTGTTCCAAATGAGGTTCTGAATCCGATGGATAAATTCATACAAGGGGGCGATACCCCTCCGTTTAGTCAGGCATCCGTTATTAAGATTAATCATGTAGATGCAAAAGAGCGCAATGAAGTCGAAGGTCTCGCTGAGGTAGTAATAGAGGAAATCGAAGTGAAGAGACAGCGTCTTCGCGTACACGTAGAGGAACAAGAAGTCATGATTCTCGTAGTTGCGGAAAAAGTTTGAGAGGAAAAGATACTCCGCCGTTCCTGTGTCTACGAAGAGCTTGCTGATGGATTTGTAGATGGCCTCGAAGAAGTGTGGGCGGCTGTCCGTGGTGAAGATGATGGGTAAGGCGGCAGCAGTGGGGAGGGCGGCAGTGTCCGCTTTTACAGTGTCCGCTTCTTCAGTGGCCGCCTCTAGAGTGACCGCTTCCCCGATGTCACTCCCTCCCCCTGGGTAGTAGGCCAAGTCTAGGAGAACGCTGGTCCGCTTGCTCAGCGGGAAGAGACTTTCCTTCCTGTCTTGGGAGGCCACCCCCCCCTTGGAGCCGAAGCCCAGCATGTTCATCATTTTATTCTTCGCGGAGAGAAGACTGAGGTTGGCGTTTATCCCCGGTACGAGAGAGTCGCTCTGTGATGTGGTCCCTTCACCGTGCGGGTTTGCGAAGTTGGCTCGGTTGCTCTGCCAGTTGGAGGGGTCACTCAGCGGGTCGTTTCTCCCCATGCGGAAGTCACTGCCCCCGGTGGAGGAGTCGACGTGGTTGCCAGTCCAACCTATAGTCAACTCTCCATTGAACTCGACTTTCTTTTTCTCCAAATCGTGCATGTAGCTCCGGAATAGGTTGTAATATGTTCGATTCATAATGGTAACATATTCCTTCACCAGATAAGTGTACGCCTCTTTGCAGTTATTGTAGAGAAATGAATTCAGCTCGTAAAACCTTCCTAAGTGTTGCTGTACGAAGTGGACATTACTCCTTTTACTCTCTATATCGTGAATACTGTTACGAAAAAATCGATGAATTCGATCGATGGCTTTATTCTTCAATTTCTGTAATTCGACATAGGAGGAGCGAATACTCGGGTAGGAGTCAAACAAGCAGTGCTCACAGTTCTCCAACTTCTTTGTCAGTATCTTCACGTTTTCAACAAACTGCTCATTTATGTTTCCATTACAGATATCACATATTAACTGTGGTGTGACTAAAATGATCTTAATGTATGTGTTTAGTAACTCGAGAGTGACTCTCCTATTTTTCAGTTTGTGTGTCATCGTCTCTGTGATGGTCTGTATTTCGTTAATGTCGCTTGAGATGTATGTGAGTTCGTTTTTGTGGTTAGTTAGCACCGTGTCTACCTCCTGACATAGTGTGCTACACTGGTCGATCTGGCTGTATAATTTCGCCAATTGCTCATCGTTTTCGCTAAATCGGTTTAGCGTCTCATCTGTGTAGTGGTATAGCGTTTTATTCACGATCTGGATGATGCCCTGAAGTTTGGCGTCTTCTTCTCCACTTCGTTCAGCGGCGTGTTTTCCGCTTCCTTCATCAGGGTCCTTCCCACTCGCTTCATCCGGACTGCCTTCCCCCCTCGCGCGCCTCCGCCTCTCCACGTCCTCCACGCGCACGCTCCTGTACGCCTTGCACCTGTTCAGGGCGTATATCTTCCCATAGGCCCTCAGAACATATTTGTCCTCCTGGAATTGCTTCACCAGGGCCTGTACGCGCTCGTACTGCATGGTTGGGGGGGGAGGGGTACTGACAAAGTGGGAAGACTTACCAAAAGAAAAAATGTGCCTCCCACGGTTCGTTACGTTTTTTCCGCTTCTGCGAGTATGCTTCTACTTACGCTTGTTCCTCTCCTCTCCCTTCGCTTCTTAACTTTATTTTTTTTTTCCTTGCCCGGTCAGCTAACATGGTAGCCCATTTAGACGAATCTCCATGCTGTGTTCTCAAAGGGGGGAAAAAGGGCACCCCACCCATGCGTAGCTCTCACGGCAGTGTGTTGTTAAGTGCACGCTTTGTTTCGTTCGTTCATGTTGTTCCATTTCGTTTCTGTTCTTTCCTGTTCTTTCCCGTTCCTTCGTGTTGCTCGATTTCGGAGAAGGGACGACTATGCGCAACCTGCCTTGACCTTTCCGCGGCGGTGCCGAGGGAAAAAAAAAAAAAAAAAAAAACGCCGCCCCAAATTTTCTCCTCCCGCAACGGGGGATTATGCAGAGAGGACAAATAAACTGGAGGACGTACATGAAGCAAAGCGCCCTCGAACTAGGAGCAGTTATTTTTAAAATATACTCCAAAGGTAGGCGCTGATCATAAACGTGCTATTCGCGCGAATGGGCTGTGGAAGCACCACGTGGGAAGAGAGGAGGATATCCTATTCTGTATGTCGGAATAGCCACTCGTACAGGCGCAGCGCGGGGAGGTCACAGAAATGAGGAGAGCCTCCCCAATCGGAGAAGAAAGAGTGACGCACGAAGTGGTGAAGCTGGGTGGTAACCACAACCCTATCTCCCCCCGACCCCCCCATATCGCTGCCTATCCTCATAACAAGATGGCAAAGCAGGAGGAGGGCGGCTCGGAAGGAGAGTCAAGCCAAGGCAGTGACCCCCTGCAGAGTCGCATTGACGATAAAACAACCCCCCACAGTGAAGTTAAAAAGAAGAGAGACAACAAACTGAAGAATGGGAAAGCAAGCCACCCCCCCGGTGGGAGAAACGGGGTGGAGAAAAAGGAACCTCGGAAGGGGGTAAAAAAATTCGATGCCAAAAAAGGGAGAAAAAGGAAGATGATCAGACGGAAGGAGAGGCTTAAGAGGAAGAGGAAGGCGAAGGAGCGGGGAGAGGGGAACCAGGACGAGGATTGCGAACAGGACAGCCAGGAGGAGAGCGGGGAGGACCACCTCGTCGTCGACTTCGAACTGATAGACCCCACTGATAAATACAAAGACAACGTCAGGATCCTCTTAAGGAGTACGGAGCTCTATTCCAATCTGAAGTGCACCGAGGAGTTAGTAAGCATCATATGCGACCAGCAGAACATCGGCAAGTTCCTCTGCGTAGTGAATGGGGCGAGAGATGGAGAGAAAGAAGCTTCTTTTGAGGATCCAGCCGATGGCACTGTAGATGACACAGCAGATGGCACGGAAGGTGACACAGCACATGGCAGAGGAGCCCCCTCCAATGGTATTGACCACAATATGGTGGGGTTCCAAACCATAATCAACCTAAATCAGTACGGAGAAATCGCCCCGTTAAAGGAACTCCTTCTGCAGAAGGTGAAAAAAGTTAACACCCCGGATTATGTGGAGAGCGCAAAGAAGATCACTTCACTACTCTCCTCCAACGAAACGAAAAATATAGGTCTCCTAATTGGCCATCGCATCCTAAACACACCGATGACGTTAGTCCCCCTGATTCATAAGAATATCATTGAAGATGTCTACTGGTCTCAAGGGATTGAAGATCTGGACCAGAGTGAAAAGAAGTTCTACTTCTTTGACTACCTTTTATTCTATACGAAGATCTATAACAACGCGGAAGGAGAGAACATCTTCGCCAACTACGAGGAGGAGTACTTTTTTCGACACAAGACGGACCATGTGGTCTGGAACAACAACAATGTGAAGAAGTTCTATGAGGTCGTGAATGGCAAGAATAGGGAAGTGACTTACAAAGAATGCGTCACAGTCTTTGTCGTCCCCTTTGCCAAGGTGGACGAGGCCCTCGGGCAGATGCAGAGGGGGGTTGCACATGTTGGCGGTGTTAGCGGTGTTAGCGGTATTAGAGGTATTAGCGGCGGTGGTGCTTCTTCAGCTGCTGGACGTGGCTAACCCTCTCAATTTTTTCGAGGTGAAAAATCTGGCCCAGGGGGGACTCTCGCCACGGGTGTAAAGCGGCCCCTGCGGTCAGTGGCAACCCCGGGAAGCCGCCACAACGGTCAACAGAAGCCGCGCCCCACCAACGGAGACCCTCTCCCCCACCTTTCTGGGCACGAATCGCTGCTCTCCTCAGGAGAGGAGGGTGTACCTGTCTGTGCCCTTTTTTTTGTCACTCGGGAGGAGCCGTTTGCAAGAAGCGTGGCGCTGCTCCGACTCCACCTCCTCCGGGGCCACTTCCCCATCTGTAGCAACCGCCCCACCTGTGAGCTTCCCCCCCTGATGGGAGATCCACTCCCGCAGGTAGATCTGCACGTTCTTCGATTTGGAGCCGAACTGAATAGCTTTTTTTTTGAAAAACATCACCTCTTTGCACTTTGAGAAGAAGATTGCCATGCGTAGAACCCATTTGCTAACTCGATGGGTTCTAATGAATTCATACAGGCGGGAACATTCGTCGAGATTTTCTGATAAACATCGCACTGAGCATGGCATTGAGCATCGCATTAAGCATCGCCCGTTTGAGGGTCCTCCGTTTGCCACACTCTTCGGAAAGCCGCACCCTCCTTGCGTCTGTGCCGATCCCCCAAGGGGAGCCTCTATCATGTAAAATGATACCAGAAAGAGGAAATCCACGAGGGTCATATCCAAGTATGGATAAAAAAGGACCTTAGCAGAAAGGCTAGTAAAACTTAATATACGATCATCTCGATACAGATTTCGGTTCCAGATTCTTCTCATGTCTTTTATCATTTCCTTTCTCTTAAAATGTGTTGTCTCTTTGGATTTGCCTCTTGCCAAATGTACGTTGTTCTGGCGGTAGTAGCCTCCAAACAACTCATCGGCTCCACTACCTATGATTAGTAGCTGGTGGAGGCACTGATACGAACTCTGTTGTGCCATTCCGTGGGAGCCACTGCCACTATGGTATAGGTCTCTCTTGAGATAATTCAATGTCTCCTCTTTCTTGGGAGACTCTTCTATGAATAGTTTTGCCTTTCGTTGCTGCTTCATAGTAATCCCATTATGTTCCTTCCTTTTCGACTTAACGTAGAAGAGGCTCTTTATTTGTTCAAATTTCAGGGGATCGTTTTCCGCGTGTTTGGCGACAAACTGGTCGATGAAGTCGGTATAGGATGTGTCTCTAAACATCTCGGCGCGCCCAGGTGCACTGCCGTTTGGTTGTCCTTCCTCGTACAGCTCCGTGCCAGGCTCCTTATTAGGAAGCACCCCCTTATGAAGCTGTCTCTTATCAATCTCCTTGTTGAAATCCCTGAAGAGCGAGTCGATCCGATCATAATCGTACATCCTCTCCTTGTGCGCGGGGCACTCAGGAAAGAGCTCAAAGTTAATTAGGACCTTTTTCTTCTTCACAATGAGATAGAGGGATCTCTCGCTATGGTTCCGTTCGACGTTTCTCTTCTCGTTTGTGTCGCGTTCCGTTTGGTACATGTCGCCACTCTGTGGTGCCTCCTCGTAGGGGCGCTCCTGAGATGGCACCCCCTTGGAAAATTCTCTCCGGTAGACGTACCGAAGCTTCCTGCAGCAGGCGGAGCAGCATCTGTGCACGCACTTCCTGCTCATGACGAAGTCGCACTGCCTGCATTTGGACTTTGTGGCGGCTACCTCCGTCGCGGTTGCTTCCCTCGCAGTGGCTTCTCCCACGTTGAGCACGCGGGAGGCCCACCCCCTTATGTAGGCCCACTCCGGGCGCTGAAAAAAGGAACGCGGAAAAAGGACCCCCCTCCCCAAATTGGCGAAAAAGAAGGCAGCAGATATGTTGAAATCCATAGTAGTGCTGTTTGGGGACATTAACGAGAAAATAAGCCGCTCGTATTTGAGTAAGTCCTCTGCGGAGACGTCAACAAAGACTAACCTGATGTCGTAGTGGGGGTGCAACTTTATAATCTGTTCATACGATATTAGGGAGGTGTACCGGTCAACCGCATTGTCGTCAAAGCAGACATTTATGAGCTCGACGTAGCCATCTCTATACCGACTGAAGTACGCCCTTATCGTCGTTAACGCGAGCAGGGTTGAGTCTATCCCTCCCGAGAAAAGGATCCCCACTGATTTGACTTTCCCCTCGACGTCGTCGCGTTGAACTTTGAATGGGACGTTCTCGACAACACACTTCTCTGTTTCTTTTTTTTTTTCATTTTCACCGTCACCGTTCAGGCGATTTGTCCCTACTATGGATTTGTCTTTCCAGTTGGAGAGAAGTTGCTCGATCTTCCTCTCGATGACTCCACTTAGCAATTTCATATAGAGATGAACAAAACTGTTGTTTAGCACCGTCTGGGCGTCCCTCCGTTGGTCTGCGTCCCCATGAACATACTTCTTCACCCATTCCTGAATGGTACATTTTAGGAGAGTCCACTCCTCCTCTGGATAGCCACAGTGTGTGGAGTCATTCCTCTCAACAAAGTTGCAGATACGATTAAAATTCTCTTCAACGGAGAGGTGATCACCACTCCACTCGGTATACTTGGTGTAGATGCTATTCCTTTTAGCGATCCTGTTTAGAGTTACTTTCTTTTTTTGAAATACGTTTAAGCTGTACATGTGATATGGGCTTATCTGTATTCCTACGTTCTCGTTGATGACACTTTGGAGGGTCAGATCTCCTCCTTCGCGTTGGGGACACCTTGTGGGGGACCCACTCCACGCAGGAAGAACCTTATCGTTTCGTCGAAACACCCCATCGTGGTGAATCAAGTTGAGTTGTTCCTCAACAGAGGAGCTATCAAACAAGTAATTGACTCCATTTCTTTTGATAAAATTAAAATCGTAGTGAATGAACAGTCCATATGAATTTGTTACCACGATAGATGACTCCTCGTAGAAGAAGATGACTGATTTCATCCCCCACGCGTCATTAAAGAAGTACATCTTTGCGTGCCCGTCTGAATAATGGACATAGAGGAGGAAGAAACTTCCTTCAAGTCTGTTCAGCGCGCTTTCTATGTCCCCTTTGTTCTGGTTAATATAGTCATATAAGCCTTTTACGTTGTTGCTTCCTGGACAGCAGTCCCCGTCGGGGTAGCTGCAGATGCCGTGAACCAGGAGCACATCCCTGTTTTTTATCTTGTACTCTCGGAAGTGCTTCCCCTGCTGATCTGTCTTCTCGCGGAAGTTCTCCGCCTCCATGTCTTCGAAGTAGATGTGCGACGCGCAAAGATGCAGCAGCAGTGGTCGCTGATCAGTCTCGGCGCCACTGGAGCCTTTGCCGCTACTAGTGGGGGTCACATGGTTAGCGGTGCTGTCGTCGTTAACCGTGGAGACCTCGTTAACCGTGGAGACCTCGTTAACCGTGGAGACCTCGTTAACCGTGGAGACCTCGTTAACCGTGGAGACCTCGTTAGCGGTGGTGTCCTCGTTAGCGGTGGTGTCCTCGTTAGCGGTGGTGTCCTCCTTAACCGTGGAGACCTCGTTAGCGGTGGTGTCCTCCTTAACCGCGCTCGCCCCCCGCCGCACGTCCAGCTGACAAACCACGCAGTGATAGGGACCCCCCTCGTCACTTTTAATCAAAAACGGAGTCAAATATGTGTCAACGTAACTCTCGGTGAGAACATACCTTGGCACTTCCTCCCATTGTTGGCAATCGTGTGGCGCCTGTTTGGGAGGGTTGCCCGAAAAAAAGTTCTGAGCGAATTGGTTGTGAAGTTCATCTCTAATTTGGTCGTCGTCCGTTTGGACCCTCACCAGGAAGTTGTTCATCGTGGCTAGTTGGAATTTCTTTCGGGAGGGGCGAGCGATATAATTTTGCTTCCAAGCGTTGGCAACTGCCTTTTAAGCCTGTGGCCCTACGGCCGATGGCGTGATCGATCCTATTCTACAGATCTATTCAGAAAATCTATTCAGCAAATGGTAATGAGGTTGCCAAAGGAAAACCTCGATTTGGTGTCTCTTTCCATTTTTGTGACGGAGGCATAAACGGGGGAAGGCCGCTTTTATTTGCCAAGGCAAGAAGGACGGAGCCAGCTTCTTCCCCCTTTTTCCTGCACTTAACAAGGAGCACTAAACGTAGGGAAGCCCCAAACAGTGTTATGCGCTGCTCAAAAGGGGCGAAGCGTCTTGAAACATGAGAAACAAGAAAAAGGGAAAATTTTCCTGCGCTTCGTTGCATATCTGAGTCCGAGCCAACCACGGGGCAACGCAGAAGCAGCGTCACAACTTTGGCTCTGCTCCGGTTCCCCTTGCAGTATCATGTGCTGCCTCATTTTATTTCTCATCCTTTTGGCGCGTTCGAAACATCTGGGGGAGTGTGCTTCCCACTTCGAATCATTTAATCAATGCGTATTTTCTGCATAAAAGGTGCCGCACATAAGTAAACAGAAGAGTGCATACCTTATAGGCACCGTTGCTTTTTTTTTTTTTTTTTTTGCCCCTTTTCCACGTAGGCAGCAATATGTCAGAGTTTGTGCCCCGTCTGATTAGGCCTCGTCTCCTTTGTGCACCCTAAGCAAAGTAGTCAGGGACTACCCCCAAATGGGAGACAATTGTTTCCTTTTCGAATTTGCCCCCTTCACTGTTGTCGTGAGAGGGAGACGACGTGGTTTACAACACATAGGTTAAAACGTATCTGCCCAATCTGTACATAGAAAGGGCTCCTAAAAAAATGTACACTGTGGGGTGATGTACCCCCCCGAGGAATTTACTGTTTGGAGCCCCGAATGTTTCATATGCCTATGTAATGCATTCACAGATGGACATAACAAGGGAGAGGTGGTCTTGGGCGAAGTTATCGTGCTTTCCCCCCCCTTTTATTTTTATTTCTTTTACTTTCACTAGCATAATACGTCGCTGTAATTGTATGAGCGTTCTCTGGAATTTCACATAACGGTGAGATGTTCATCCCTTTTTCCTTCCCTTTCCTGCGTTGTACACACACTTTTTCTTTTCTGGGTGGGCCCCTTGGCATGACATATCAGCTAAATCGACAATGGGATTAAAAAGAATAATATTTCGCCGTCTCTGTTTAGCACCTTGCGTGATCGTTCGAACGGGAGAATGTCACACAAGTTGGAGAAGACCCTCCCCCTCAGATGAGTCTGCTTTCCCTTTCGCGCAATTGCCTGTTGACCCAAACGCAATGTGTTCATTCCAATGTGATCCTTTTTGCTGGTTGGTCGTTGGCATGCACAAATAATTTACCTCCCCCCTTTACGATTAACTGTGACAAATAGTTCATTTGACACTTTCCCTCCGCTTATGTAGCGCGTTTCCCCAAGGGGACTCCCAAACTGGTGACACGTCCCTCGAATGTATTAGAACAAAGGGAGGCACAAAAAATGGGAAACGCCTCGGTAGTTAGCAACGTGCCTACAGGCGAAGTACCCACTGACGTCATGCCATTCAGCGTCACACATTTCAACATTGTGTGCTTTTTTAAAAGGAATAAGCTTTTTCTTTTGCTCCCCAAAAGTTGTATGAACAGGTCATACAGTTTTGAAATTACACAGCGGTATATATTTTTTTTTTTTTTTTTTTCCCAAAAGTTTATGAACAGGTCATACATTTTTAAAGCCAAAAAGGGTAATTTTTTTTTTCTTTTGAAAAGTTGCATAAACCGGTCACACATTTTCGAAGTGAACGAGTAAACTGTTTTTGCAGAAGCGTATTCGCTTCTTATTGCGGCAGGAAGTAGTAAAAGTACATGTAGCGTTGTGCCTGTGGGTGGGAGAAGGGATGCTCCGCCCGTTGTTGCGCCAACATGGAGTCTCCGAAACGCGGCAACGCAGCTTGTGCAGAATAGCAGCGAAAGAGGCGAAGAGGCGCGCACATATACCTACCATCGGTGTGCACGCTTCGAGCCTGCAACTGATGAGCATTTTGGCCCCCCGCTCAGGTGAATAACGCGGCCGCAGGTAATGCGGCGTAGGAGCACTGGAGAAGTTACCAAGCTGCAAAGAAAGAGGTAATGGAGCCGAGCGGCTGTTCTTTCTTCTCATTTGACACAGGGAAGGGAGATGGAAAACGAAAGGCGACGTAGCCCCTACAACCTGTGACGCTTCTCGATCCGGTGGGGATCATGACCCTTTTCGCGATTGCTTATGACTTGTTGCGCTGATTCGTAATTTCGTGTGTTTTTTTTTTTTTACACACTCGAGTCATTGCTACGATCACCCAATCGCGTTTCCCCTCAACCGCCTCACCCATTTCCCTCCATCGACACATCTAACGTGAAGAGGAAGATGCCGCCGTCAAATTCTCATGCTCAGTGGGCTGATTTTTTTTTTGTTTCGTACTTCACTTATTTGCGAATAACGTTTATGTAACGAGTTGGCAAAGAGGAGAAGCGGAAAGGATGTGTACTCTCAGGGAAGGATGAAACATGTGGGCTTTTTTTTTTTTTTTTCGAGTCGTCCACTCACAGGCATGGGCGAATTGCACGAGGGGAAGCACTGATCGAGAAGTCGTTCATCCATAAGTATAAATAAATATGCCTTTACATACCTGCACATATATTTTCCCTCTTTTTCACCCTAGACAAATTTGAGTCCACCTCTTTCCCCTTGGTATATTCGTAAATTGCCTCCCCTTGTGGGGGGGCACTTTTCTCAACGTCCAATTTTTCTAAATTAAACCAACTCAGGGAAGAGGAGTCGAACGAGGAGCAAGCAGAGGTACCCCTTCAAATGAACTCTGTCCCCAGTTAGACATTGCAAAAACTTGTGCATCTGTGCAGCGATGTAATTTTGACACGTTTATAAACTGAGTTTCGTTTCTGCGAAAGATTGCCACGTGTGTTGATGCGCCGATGTGTTGATGCTGCATAATCTGTACTGACTAGTCCCACCATAGAGCGCCCAGGGCTACGCACGCAGTTCACTCCTTTCCATGGGGACGCATTTTCCGCTGTCAGCTTCTTACTCTTCCCATAGCAGCTGTATGCGTTTCGGTGTGGATGTGCCAGCGCATCGGCAGTCCCCTACTCCCTTCCCTTCCAAAGTCCCCTTTCGAGGTTGCACAAAAGTGGGGGCTTCATTTTCGTTTTGCTTCGCTTTGTTCTGCGTTTATTTGGCGCCATTCTGCGGCAGTCTGTGTCATTCCCCTTTGTTTTCTTTTGCTTCCTTTTGCTTCATTTCGCTTCATTTCGCTTCATTTTTATCATTTTATTTTTTTTTATTATTTTTTTTCTTTTTTTGTCCCCCGGGAAACGCCCATTTCGAGGAACCCCAACGCGCGCCCCGTTCACGCACCACGAGGGTGGCCCTCTGATGCGGAAAAGTAAAGTGCCTGCCTAATTGGCATTTTGTATGTGTGAGTTCTGGGCCTTCCGCGAATGCTTCCGTGTTTGCCCCTTTTGGCACTTTTCCCCTTTTGGCACTTTGCTCATTTTCACACTTCGCCCATTTTGACACACTGCCCATTTTTGCTCCCCTCAAATATTTTCCCTGCACATCCGGAAGCACCTTATGCAGTGTCCCACCTGACCATGTGAACACTGTATGCTCATTTTTGGATCTGTTCCTTGCGGCCCCAACCTTCTTTTCCGTGTGGCAATATCACCTAAGGATGTAACATACGTATATATGTACATTGGATATGTATCATACTTGCGAGCGCAGTGTGGGGGAGTTGCATGGTTTTCGTATCTTTCCCCACGTCCCCCCCCAGAATATAGCGGCCATTAGGAGCGTCGCAAGGCTGCGTTCGTGAGTAGAATAACCGTTCGATGGGTCCATCCGTTTATTAAGTCAGCCCTCTCACTAAACCGACCCATTCACTACGCCAACTCGTTTGGTGCACTAACCCGCTGACTCCTCTTTTCACCCCAAACAGGACGCTACACAGAGAAGCCTTGCCTGCTTACGGGTTAGCCGCCAGTCTTGTGGTGGCAGCCGGGCGCGCAAAGACACGTCTGAAGGGCGCGTGTCCATCCGGAAAGGGGGGAAATTGTCCAACTGGGGAGTTGGCGGTGGTTCGACGGCCAGGCAGCCATTGGAAAAAGGGCCACACCTCTACACAGCTAGTGGGCTAACTTCCCGACGGTGTATAAACGGAAGGAAGCCATCCACCCAGGGAGCACACTCAAGACACACTCACTCGACGCTGCGTCTGCCTCCACCGCTAACCCCTCCAGAGGAAGCCACAAAATGGTGAAGGTGAAAGCGGGCGAAGGGGAGAAAGATGCGCGGAAGGGAATCGTGAAGAAATCCATCGAGAAGAAGTACGAGAGGAGCAGGATAGCCGCGGAAGGCGACAAGAAGTTGTCGGTCAGGAAGAAGTTCGGGCAGAACAAGGAATTGAGCGCCATGGGCGAGTCGCAGTGCGGGATAGGCGGCGGCGTAGGCGGCGAAATGGTCAGCGGAATGGGCACCGGGGTTGACAGCGGCGTGTCCGACGAACTGGGGCGAACCCTACAGGGAGACCAACTGCACGGACGCGCGCGGGACGGAGAGGAAAGCAAGCAGGGCGAGCAAATGGACTACGAAGTGGTGCGGAACATCAGCAGAAACCTCAACCGGCAGCTGAGCAAAGGCGTGGGCGACGAGTGTGTGAAGAACTTAGTGACGCAAGTCAGTTATAGCCACCTCTTCACGCTTCTAAAGAATATATTAACATACCTGCCATTTTCTATAAATGACTACCTAATAGGAACGTTGGAACTGAAAGAAATCATAGACAACAAATACAACACCTGCTTCCAGCTATACGAGAAAGAAGGACTGATGAAGCACATTTACGAAAATGAATCAAAAAATTTAGTCGACAACAAGGTCTTTAATTTATTTCTCAAGTATAGAATAATGCAAAATAAAAAGGGGCCACTGAACCACATGCACGTGGTAAATTTTCAAGAAAGTGGAAAAGAACCCACCCTGGAAAACATCCTAATTGAGAAGTCTCGAATCTTTATGTACAAAATACATTCCTTTATCGAAGGGAGAGATTTAAACCTTTCATACATATACGAGATTTGTCACGGGCTCGGATACAAAACGGAGACTTTCCTCCTATCTGTGTTCATCTTCGACTCATACATGCATAGTATTAACAAAATGACGGAAAAAAATCATTACAGGAAAATTAAGCTTCTGGTCATTATCTGCTCCATTTTACTAGCGCTGATAAAGACACAGACTTTTAACGGTTCCAGCATTATGTACCTAAATGATATCCTCTACCTTGTGAATAAGCTTCGACATGAAAAAGTCAATTACACCTGTATCGAAATTGCCAACAAACAGATGGAAATAATCAAATTTCTTCCACTTAACTATAATAACTATTGGACCTACTCAGAGCTGACTTATGTTTATTTAATTAATTTAAAAAGCTGTTCGAAGAAATATCCGGCGATTAAGATTTATTACATTTTTCTGGAACACTTTGGATTTCTTTACTTCCTCTTTGACGTCATTTACGCCTACTCTATGTACATCACGGCGGTCGGTTCGTACAAGGTGATTCCTCCGAGCAGAGTTGTCTCCACGATCATTTTGTATTTCACCAACGCCTTTTACAACAGGATGAGCAACAGCTTGCTCTTCCAGGAGAACTTTTGTCAGGAGGTTTTTCATCTCCCCTTTGCCAACGATCTGTTTATGTGGTCCTACCTGCTGCTGAACAATTTTATTTACTTCTTCGAACACTGCGTCCTTCCGAACAAGAACTACTCCTCCATTTACTCCATCTTTTATGAGACGGGCCGCATGCTCAACATCCGCACGGTTTTCTGAGAGGGGTAGAGGGGGGGTAGCCTCTTGGCGGCCTACTAGTGGATTAGCTAGCTGGCTAGCTATTTTATCACCAGTTTATGAATAATTTTTTTTTTTTTTTTCCCCTTTTTTGACGTTTTTTCACCTGACCGGTGCATGCACATTTCGCGCTTTCCCCGTCGGCCGCTAGTAAACCTCGTGTGCAAAGGGGGGGGTGAAGGGACGAAATGGCAAAAAGGCGAAGTACCGAAAGGACGACGGGCATACGCGCCCGGCAAAGCGACTTAACTTTCTTTTTTTTCATGTTTCTAAATTTTGAACTTTTTAAACGGAGCGAAGTTGTGACACTTGAAAAAAAAAGGGGGAGCTGCTCACAGGCTGGGAGCGGCATAGCGAAGCAGAAAAGAAAAAAAAGGATATGCGCAACAAATGGGTGTGCAACGGGATAGGCACAACTGGGAAGGGCGTCCCCTTAGGGATAAGTTACCTTGCAGTAACCGTCCACCACTTCGAACCGCTTCCAACCGCTACCCTTTCCGGTAGGTGGGGCGGTCGAACAGGTCCTCCTTGCGGCGGGCGCGGCGGTCCTCCATGTCCCGGTTCGCCCACAAAGAGTCCTTCCTGGAGGTGTCGTTGTCGAGCAAGTGGGTGTACTTGCTTTGGCCCTGCTTGCCGAAGTTCCCCCTCCTGACGCGAAGCACTTTGGGCAAATTCTCCTTGTCGACTCTGTCCTCGTACACAGGCTCGTTGTAATCACGCGTGTAAATTTCCTCCTTGCCTTCTTCAAAGAGGTCCTGAAAGAATCCTCCCCTATGGTAGTACTTTTGCATAAACAGCATCTTCTTTTTCTTCTTCTTCTCCTTATGTGGAAGCAATTTATTTTGTTCCATTATCTCCCTGTCTGTCATTTTCCTCCTTTCGCTAATTTCGTCCTGTACAAGTTCATGCTTTCTCCTGTCCAGTTCGTCCCTCTTTAATCTATTAAGGTGGCGAATCTTCCACAGTTCGTATTCTTTTTCATTTGGTTCCTCCTCATCATTGTCGTCGTCATCGAAATTTTCGTCCGATGAGAACAAGTTATTTTCTTGGTTCTTCATTTGTTCCATCATTATGTCGTTGTGTATCGTTTCCTCTATTGCCTTTTCCTTTTTCTCCACTTCAATTTTTTTTTTTTCGGTCTCCTCATCTTTTAGAAGCTGCTTCTGGCTTTCCTCCTTTTCGAAGGTCTCCAGTAGCGTCTTCCTTCTCGTTTTAGACACGTACTCGTGTTTCATCGGGGCACTTCCGTCCTCTCCGTTCATGTAATGTTCATCATCCGACTGGTCATCTGATTGGTCATCAGAGGAGTTGCTAAGTTGGTCATCATCCTCCGCGTCGTCATCCTCTGCGTCGGCTTCTTCCTCTTCCTGTCCTACGGGAAAGTAGTTCTCATAATTGTCTGCCTCTTCTTCTTCTCTCGATTTTGGGAGCTCTTCTTCCTTCCCCTCCTCTGGGTGGCTGATAACCTTCACTTCTCGAACCCGCCTGGTGATTCTTTCCCGTTCGTCTCCCTTGATGCCTGTGGGGGGTAGTCACCATCATTATATGGAGTGGGTTACTTCTGCGATGGGGGTCGTCACTATGGAGTGCTCTTCGGCTAACCCGTTGGGGTCTCGCTCGTGGTGACAGGAGAGCGGCTGCCACAGAGAAGTCAAACTATGCAGCCAGGTGACAGACATACACCAAGAGAAGACACAGCGCATATATGCTCTCCTCCTTTCCGATGAGCTTACTTTTATTTTTGAGTCTCTCATATCTGGAGTCAACATGGCCACGGCTACTGGGCAGGTCACTCCGAGCCTCCCTATTCGTATCGCCCCTCCTTTGTGTGCGGCCATGTTTCTGTACATATTCCGTCACGGCATCGTTACGCGCGAAGAGGGTGTCATCCTCCTCATCATCTTCGCCGCCCTCCTCCTCATCCTCCTCCTTGGCGTCTTTCGCGTAGTGGGGTTTCTGCGGGCGGGGAAGAAGTTAATCAGAGCATTGGGACGGAAAGAAGCGGTGTGGTGAAAAGAAGCGTTATAACGAAAGGAACCGCTGTGGTGAAAGGAAGCGGTAGGAGAAATCCGCACAGCCCGCGTTGCATAGCTGGGCGGTTCATTGGTTACCTTTCCGGGGAAGTATCTGCGCACGACTGCCTTCTCGTTTTCCTTCTGTCTCTCCCTGTCGAGCAGCTCGGCCCGTGACTTGGCTCCATCTCCGCCCCTGGCCACATCGCTCTTATCGTCATTAACGGCAAAGTAGTTTAATAGCTCATTGACAGAGCTCATTTTTTTTCGACAGACATCTCTTCCCTTTGTGGCCCCCCTCTGTTCCTTTGGTTCATTTTATTTTGTATTTTTCATCTACGGGGAAGAGGCGGCAGTTGCCAGGCCGGATTTGTCACTTTAACCTGGCGCGTTTTATTTGCGCTTCATTTTGGTGACCTCCCAGGGGGGGTGGCTGATTACTACACGGGGATGCTTCTGCTGTTTATTTTTTTCCTCATCGGGGAAGCATTCCACGTTCAGATTTCTTCGCAACGAGTTTACCTTTACCTTGATGTTCTTTCTTTTTTTTTTCTTCTTTTTTTGAAAGTCTCCCCTGTTGTGCGTACTGGATTGATTGACTGTGCCTGTTCCTCCCCGCGTGGAGATCCCGTTCTCCGATTTAGTTTCCTTCACTGAGGGGTCAAATGCGGCACTCGTAATGACGTTACGAAGAAGTTGATTTTTTCTACCCTTGGGGACGACTACCAACGTGGGGCAATTTTTACAAAATGGTGTTATGCATAAGGGAGGAAAAAAAAAGAAACAAAAAAAAAAAGGACAGTACGGCACAGCATAGGAGGGACGGCGTAAATCAAAGTTGTGGGCGCATGACTGGAGGGTCGGAACTTACTCAAATGAATGTACACATGAATATGCCTATGAATGTGCCCCCCTGGGTGGCGCGGTAAAGCAGCATATTTGTGCAGAGTGTGGGCGGGAAGGGAGTCCTCTGCCGTCAGAGCGCTGATTGGTCACACCGCTCATTGGTCTCAGCGCTGCTGCTCGGGTGACGACTGGCACATGTCGAAGAGCAGGCCGCGCATGTTGAAGTAGAAGCGCGACAGATGGGCGAGGGAAGAAAGGGAAAAGAAGACCTTCTGATGCCCCTCGAAAATGGTGACAAACGAATTGACGTTCTTCCTCGGGGGGGCATCACCCCTCCCTTTGAGAAGTTTTACCTTCCGATTGTAATTATGGATGAAGTAAAACATGTAATAAAGGAAGTAGACGATTTTGTTTAGTTTCTTTCTTATCCTTTGTATCAGTCTTTTTTTTTCTCTCTTGAAGAGGACGTCGAAGTAGAAGCCGAGGAAATTGTCTTTGTTCTTCTTTATGATATTTCTCAGATTCATAATTAAGCTTTTGTCTCGATAGAATGTGAAATTGAAGTGGACGCAGGTTATCTCAATCTTGACGATGTTCTCCTTCCGCACGATGGTCCTGCTGTTTCGGTGGAACCGCACCAGGTATTCGTCACAGAAGAGGAGCAAGTTGCGCTCCTGCTTGTCGTGCAGATAATCCAGCACAACTAGGTTGCGTCTGCCAAGGGGTGGGAACAGAAAAGGGACAGCATGGGGGGTGCATGAGGAGGGCATGGCGAAATCGTGCAGATGCGCTGCTCTCTCGATTCGCTCGTCTCCCTCGAGGTACTCTCTGCACAGCTCCTTGCTCCGACGTGGGGGCCCTACATGAAACGGCGGTCCACTGAGCTGCACACCCGAGGGACGTATTCATCGTGCACAATTCTGCTCCTTCGGTAGAGGGAAAGATACGCGGGGATCTCCTCGTCCGTCTGGGTTGGGAGCGGGAAAGGGGAAGAGATAAGTGCACATGCACACATGTAAGGTTACGTGGTCCATGAGACAATGCACTGTGTAAGGAAGCCACACGGAGAGACAGTTGGTTGATCGCTCCCCTGCGGCGCTTCCTCATTACCTTAGTGGTGATCTCTGCACCTGCTGGCGGCTCCGGCCGGTTCTCCAAAAAGTGCTTCAGTATGTGCATCTTTTCAGTTTTAAAGAAGGTTGCCCCGTCTGCCTGATGTGATTTCCCCTGTTCGACTCCCGCCCCGCTGGGAGTAACCGCTCCAGGGGTAGCCCCATCATACAGGTAATAGTTAATGCTGGACATGATGTCCTTCCCCAGCGTCTTCAGCGTGTTGTTAAGTAGGCTGAAGTTGTCCGATTGTGCCACCTCAGCACTTTTGTGTTCTTCGCTCTCTCTGTAGGTACTCTCCACAGCGATGCAGTTTCTCTCTGCATTTTCTTCAAACAGGGACATCCTCCTATCATTCTTTAGGTAGAATAGGTGTTTATTTAGTTTTTTTAGAACTTCCCTCTTCTTTGTTCTGACGTAAAAGCTAGAGTCGCTGTGGACGTCTCTGTGGTGTTCTAGTTGGAAGTGCGAATTGTCCTGTCCCCTTCCTCTGAGACACGCGCCCGTCAGACTGGTGTGCCGTCTTGCGGTGCCGTTGCTTCTATTATGTATGTGCTCTGGATGGGTGTTTTCGCAATTTGGGGGGGTTCCACTCACATCGCTGACCCCGGCAACACCGCTAATCCCGCTACCCCCCGCGGAGAGGTCCATGTTAAAAATGGAGCTGTCCATGAGCACGTGAAAAAAACTGTAGTAGTTATTTATATACTTGTTCAGCAGATTCATCCTCGTGAGGTAGAAGAAGAGGCCCTTGTAGAGCTCCTTGATGTAGAAGTCGAAGAGGTAGTTAAGAAAATCTCGCGGGTCCTTTTCGCTGACCCTAGTTAGGCAGAGAGGACTAATCGTCACATCGGCATCCTCCAGGTCATTCAGATAACTCAAACGAGCTGCTAACTTGCACGGCCCTTTACTTTTATATTGATATATGCTGCAGGTATTTTCCTTGTGGAAGGACAAATGGATGCTCAAATTGGAAATTTGAAAGCTTCCTACTTTGAGTTTTTTCTTTTTTCCCTCCAGGGCGCTACGGTAAATGGAGGTGTGATTGATGGCCCTGTTCAGGTCGGCGCCTCCGTTTAGGCTACGAGGAAGACCCACATGGGTCAGTAAACCCAGCGGTGGGACAGTCTCTCCAGAAACCTTCCTACACGTGGTGGGAAAATAAAACTGGAAGGCATCCTTTGCGATATTTCTCCTGCTTCTCCTCTGTGTTTCTCCCTTCCAGAACTTCTCATAGCAATAAGCAAAGTTTTCCACTACGTCTAAAGTTACCTGAACATGTACAGGCAAAATGGCTAACTCCAACTTCTTAATGTTCCACTCGTTGGAGCAAATTTGGTACTCCATGTGTAGGCGTGCCAAACAGTTGTTACTACTTAGGTGCTCCGTATGGACCCTGTCACCCCTCGCCAGGTTTGTGTCTCGCTCTCCACTGGGTAGACCCCCCTTCACGTCATACCTGCAAAGTACTCTCTTCATGTCGGCGGATGCGAATTCTATGATGATGGCATCTCCAAGGGAGAAGAGAATTACGTTCGGCTTCTCTTTGTGCAACCCCACCAACATGTTTGTCTCTCTCAACATGAGGGTGCACAGATGAGAGTTTTTTTTTTTTTTAAACAGCTCCCTCTGAGAGGAGTCAGCCATGATGTGTAGTCTCCCATCATTCGATATTCCTCCCATTGTTCCCTTCCCCTTCTGGCCGCTCCCCAGAGATGACTTCCCCTCTCCATGTCCCTCCACCAAGATGGTCGAAAAGACATTTATTCGGATGGCCTTCGCGATGCTCACATAGAGGTGTAGACTATCCTCCGGTGTCTCCTTCCCCCTGTTGGTGAAAATGAACTTATATCTGTTCCTGCTCTCAACGAGGGTGACGTTTTTATTCTTAAAGTGGCAATACGTGGGAGGGGCATTTCTCCCTTCTTCGGTTCTGATCCTTTGGAGTGCTTCCTTATCTTCCCTTTTTTGTAATCTCTTTGGGTATGCTCCCCTGTTGGATGTTCCTCCGAGGTGGGGCTCTCCCACGTGTTTTGCCCCCTTGACAGAATGGAGGTGCCTTATCACCCTTCGTTTCCTCTGCGCGGAGGCCCCCACAACAGTTGCATACCTTTGGGGGAGATTTATTCGCTCACTAGCGTGCCTGCTATATGGATCGCTTCCCCTTTCAGTTGCTCTTTCGAGATGGTGTGGAGCAGGCAAAGGCTCCGCAGCAGCGTTGGTGACCCCACCTTGTGTTAACTCCTCCCTCGAGGGGGTACCTAGGCCCGGATTGAAAAAAGTATTCATATTGACCTTCCCACGAATGTGCACAATATTATCGACGTGTTGGGAGATCTTCACGAGGATTTTCTCCTTCCCCTTCCTGCTCAGAATGAATGTCTCGAGGATGACGACAAGGGGGGGATCAGCCATGTTGCCACTTCGATATCCGCGCGGGAAGCTCAGCACATGCTTTTTCCTCTTCAGGGAAAACTTCACAATTTGGTACATCTTTGCATGGCGCCACGGATACACCACTAGGAAGGAGTTCTTCACATTTTTGTTCTTCCGAAGGGGGAACAAACGTATGCTCTTTCTTCCTATTCGTCGGAGTTGTCTCAGGTTGACTTGGACAAATGTCTTCAGCTGCTTCACATGGTTTGAAATGTAGCTAGCGTCTTGCTTAGTCAGCTTGGCCGTGTCATAACTCCCCTGCTGTTCTCTTTCAATCATCTCATCTGCACTGGAGTTATCGCTACTTTCGATGAGGAAGATATTTTTGAAGAAGCTTTCCTTTGCCCGGTTGTTTCTCACTTGGGATGTACAACGATCGGCTGTTCCTTTCTGTCCATACGATTTCTCGCTTCTGTCCTGGTTTGCAGTACACTTTCCATCAATCCTTGTACATGCGCTGCTCTCCTCTCCCACCACTTTCTTAATCATGTGTACAAACTCAGTGAAGTGGAAGACATCAAAGATGAGATCTATGTCCATGTCATTGTACACGTAGACTTTTTTTACTTGTTCTTCTTCTTTAATAAAATGATATATGTGCATTAGGGTGTTCTTCTCTTCATTGCTTTCCATGGAGTGCATCAAAACATTGGGGGCGTTAACTCTGGTGAGATATTTTTTCAGCTTCTTCTTCTTCGTTCTATGATTGGAGATAATTACGAAGAGGCAGTTGGATCCCCAGTGGATTCCACTCTGCTCCTTTAACTTACTCCCTTGTATTATTCTTATTTTGAGGTGAACAAATGGAGTTTTTTTTTTTTCACTTTTTCCTGACTTGTGCAGGTGATTTTTATCTCCATTTTGAGGGAAGTTGTTCAGATTGGTTGACGAAGATGCCCCGTTTGTGAAGCACAAAATGTAGGATCCTTCCTTGGTGATGTCTATTCCGCCACTCATAAGGAGATAATCGTTACTTAGGTTATATTTCCCAATTCGAAAGAAAAAGCTCCGTTTTTCATTCTCCAAGAGGTTGATAACAGATCGAGACCTCCGCTCAAATGTGTACACAATGGAATCGCTACTGCAGGAGGAGGACATGACGACATTGAAGTTGGTTCGATTCAGCATGACAAATCGAGGGTATACAATCAGCAGGGAGCTGACTCTGCTGTAGCGATTATGGCTGCCAAGTGAGCCATTCTTTCTGTACTCCACTGCGTAGTGGGATGAGCATCCCCTCCCTCCGTATGTGGCAGATATTTGCACCTCTTTAAAGCTGTTGATAGGGATGCTACTAATTTGGGAACTTCCCATGTGGATGTTGCTGACCGGTTCGTTGTACATGCCGACGTAGAGGTTGAGGCGTTTAAGGGAAAGGGTGAGGGGGGGTGAGAGGCTACTTTCATCGAACTTATTTGCACCGCTAAACCCCCCGGACGAAGGCACGAAGTAGATCCTCTTCCTGTTCACCTCTACGATTTTCAACTCATCGGCGTAGAGACAAATCAGCGTGTGGCACGTGACGACAATTTCGTTGTTCCTTTTGATAACATTAGCATAGTAGTGAGTCACATCCTCTTGACGTTGCTTCCCCGAGTTAAATCCTTCCAGTTGCGCGGAGCTTCTTTGCGAAGACAATTCCCTCTTTGTGTGTTTCTCCTCCGTTACACTGTTGTGTGGTTTCTTCTTTCCAGTGGGACAAGCGCATGGATCCCCCAGGGGGGAGAAACCTAACCGGTTGTCATAGTTTATGTTCAGCTTTGTGCCCCTGACAGTGTTGCAACGTACGTTCAGATCCAACTCGCTGGAGAAAATTTCCTTCGATGAAAAAGCTCCTACGCTGCATGAGGTGTTTCCACTCCTGTAGTGCACCCTAATAGGGAGGGTGTTTCTCATCTTTGCCACCAGGCCAATATGAAGGTATAGCGACCTCTCCTCTGTCTTCTTATTTTGGATAACGGTCAGGTTGGTCCAGATGCGGTGGTCACCGCTGCTCCGGATTGGGTCATCACTTCCGCTCCAGTTGTCGGACGGCCACTCCTCGTTTAGAATCATCTTAGCGATTTTTCTCTTCATGCAGTTGTGCAAGCTGTACTGGTTTGTGAGGTCCCTAGGGGGGATTTCCTGAGTGAGCTGCTTACTAGGCGCGCCTGAATCGGCTCCCCCATTAGCACAATTTCTCTCCTCATCTGTGCAAAAGAAATGGCCACTATGGCGTACTCTTCGCAGGGGGGCCATCTTGACGGATGCGCTGCAGAGCAGGCTGCCCCTACGGCGATCCGGATTTAACCTACACGAAAAGTACTCCTTATGGGCCATAAACTGGTGCAGTTTTTCCTTTCCCACTATATTGGCACTCTTAAATTCTTTCACAGATAGCTTTCTCGAAATGAACAAGCCCTTTTTGTAAAAAAGAACCAACATGAAATGATCCCGTTTTATGTCACATCTGTGTGTATTCAAGTAAGTGTGTCTCTTTGCAAATAGGACGATTCTTTGGCTGTTAATCAGGAGGAGCATGTCGTGATTTGTGTCATTGTAGATGCACACAGTGGAGGAGACGATGTAGAGGGAGTGATCACATGAGAGAACAAGTTCCCCTCTGGCACTCCACTTTGACGTCAGTGATGGGAATACAAAGCTTTCCATTCGTCGCACGTAGAGCATGTGCACCGGGTTGCTTCTATCAAACGGGGAGTGACTTATTTCGCTGCTTCGGTAAGTCGCCACTCGTTCGTACGTCCTATTCACCACTGCGTAATCGTCGTGGGGGACGTTGAAGTGTTTTCTTCGCAGGAGGGCCCGCAGCTTCGGACTTGTTCTTCTGACCAAGGTGGACCCACCCGCCTTGTCTTCCCCTTCTGCACAATTGTGTCTACCCCCCTCTTTTTCATAATTTCTCCTGCTCCTTTGGATTCGCCTGGACTGCACCAGGCTGGCCTCGTTGTGCGCTTCGAAGCGGCGGTTTTCGACACGGCTACTAACCCTTTTGGTGTCCTTCATCTGGTCTGCTCCTCCATCGGGACTGCAACCCCGGTGGGCCACTTCCCTGGCGCGATAATTCCTCCAGTCGTTGGACTCCTCATAAAGCCGGAGAACACTCCTAAATGCATTCTTCGTGAGGAAAATATTCACTCCTCCGTTTTCGTCCAACATTACGATGAGGTTGCTTTGGTTCCGCGTCCTAACGCAAATAACCTTCAGTTGCATCCCCCGAGTGAACTCCTCATAGATGTTGTTTTTTGCAAAATCTATCTGCAGGGACAGATCTGATTCGTGTCTTTTCAGAAGAGTCTCCTCCTTCCTGTGGCACGTAAGATACTCGTAATTTGCCTGAACATGTACATGCAAAATTTTGCTCTTTTTGCATTTCTTCAATTTTCCGTAATAAACACTTTCGAATAGGTGAAGATCCAAACTGGAGAGAATGACCCTCACGATAAAGATGGAATAATTCATAACCTTCATTCTTCCTATTTTGCACTTATGTCTGTTCTTTCGCTTCGAAGATGCCTCGCTCAATCGGAAGAGGCACACGTTCACCTCCTCGTGTCTGCTTATTATATGAAGCAACTCGTGTAGCTTACTGTACAGGTAGAACAGGTCTGCTAACTTGATCACAACGTTGGCTTGTTTTATCTGCACGTCGATGTACTTTGGCTTCGTGCAGGGTTTTTCCATGCGAATGGAGTTCTGGCCAGCGCCCACACTGGTGCTGGTTGGAGGGGGAGAGGTGAAGTTGATATGATGTCTGGATCCCCCCTCTTTTGGTTCTACGCCTATAAGCCCTTCCCATCGAAGCGAATCGTCTCTCTGTTCCCACTCAGCAGGAACAGCACCGTTCGAATCGTTCACACCGTTCGAATCATTCACACCGTCCGAGTTGCCTTTCCTTATGTCCACCCCGTCTTGATCCACCAACTGCACATCGAATATGATTTTTCTTTTCTGTGCCGCCTTTTCGTCTCCCCCCCCAAAGGGAGAACTGCTCCCGAACAACTTATCGAGAAACACCTCCCTGTAATTTAGTCTCTCCATTTTAACACTCTTCTCATCGCGATTAAAATAAATCACCTTGTCATTCCGGGCACTGACACACAGATTGATATTCCTACTTATGCAGTAGGACCCTCCTCGGTTAGTCAAATATAGGAAGTTCTTCCTTCTTATGTTACATTTGAAGTACACGTGTTCTTCCATTTCATCCCCGATGTGATCCACTGTGTGTAAAACAAAATTTGCCAATTCACCTGACCTATTCAGGCGATTTTGCAAAAAATTCTCCACCACGTGATTGTTAAAAAATATGTACTTGGCCTTTTTTGCAAATTTCTGAACGAGACTTTTGCGCAGATTGAATGACAAGCGGAAGTTGAGGCTTCCCCGGTAGGTCAGTCCGAACGGATGCGACTCTCCGTCTGCTGATTGCTTCGTTCCCCCGATTGGTAGTCTCCTCAAACCAAGTACATTCTCGTAAAAAAGAAAGTTGAAGCTGAGGCGCGCGTGCCTGATTTGTACGCGCACTGCGTACACGTTGTTGCTTCTAACGATGCTGTTGTAATTGGAGAAGTCGGAAGGGGTCAATTTGGATAGCATCCTTTGGTACGCTGTGAGGATGCGTCTGTCTAGTGGTTCCTCTGGAGGAGCGTTTTTTATGCTTTCCAGTTTGAGGGTTCGCATGCTCGTTTGGTGGGGCGGCGACGTGTGAGCGGAATGCCTCTTCTGGGGGAGTTCCTCCTCATCGAATTGCTGATCTGAGGAGGGCGTCCTTGGGCACAACTTCGCGCGGCCCCGACGGCGGAACACCTTTTCGACCCTACTGAGATGGACATTCCGGTCATCCACAAAGTAGAAGGTATACAAATTGAACAACTGCAACACGTCCGTGTTCAGATAGATCCTCTCAATTTTGATATCCACATTGTTTGTTACGTGACAACCCAGGTCATCTCGTCTAACCCGCTTGTACACAAGGTGGAATGTTGTTCTTTGTCTCTTTTTTACACGTCCATATTTTCTCCACTTCATCCTTATGAGCGAATTGAATGACTGCTTGTCGTGTTCTACATCTGACTGGTTCTTACGAGCTAGCCATTTGGCATACTTTCTTGGGTTTAATTTCCTGTGGCACATCAGAATGTCGTAGGGATACTCATAAAACGTGTTCATCACGAGGGGAACAATCCCCTTAACGTACGTTACGATCTGTTCCTCCCGCGAGTATCTCACCGTTCTTGCGAATACGAACTTGCTATAGAGGTAATTCATTCTGCTGTCCAAGGGGTCATTTTGGAGTTCCACGTGCAAGTGGAAGAGATACAGACGCACATCCAGATCTTTGACTCGTCGTCCTCGATTGGTACTTCCCTCGTGCTTAGTCGGAACTTCTCCGTGTAATTCTTTTCCATTGTGAGGAGCTCTCCCTTTGTAGTGCCTCCCCTGGACATATTCAAAATGATTGCCCAAGATATTCTCCAACAAGATGTCCTGAAGCAGTTTGTAGCTACTGGGAGAGATGCGCACGACGCCAGAGGCATGAACAGAAAGAGTGAATGGCATAGGCAGTCTGCACAAAATGCTCCTGCTGTGCATTATCATCAGGTTGATATTTCTCGCGACGAGGGATCCATCCATAGAATGCACATGCATGTTTAGAAAGTAGACGTATGTTTTGTCCAAAATTTCGATCTTTTCTCTTTTTCTCTTTTTGAGCTTAATGTGGTTTCTTACGATTACGTCATTTTGCGCAACTAGGAAATTCCTGTTGTTCGTCATGGATGGAACGAACAGAATGACTTTGTTGAGGAGAAGTTCGTATTTGTTGAGGCTGACTGGGAGGTTCTTCAATTCGCTTCGTCTGACTCTGTACCCGAGGTAGTGCTCCTCTCCACTGGGGTGTGTCTGCATCTTCTTCGTTTCTGGGACGCCGCTCCAAACTTGTCTCTTCCGTGCAATGCTGTTTCGGAGGGCAAACGGGTCTGCCACCTCTGCTTCGCGGAATTGCAGGTATTCACTGTGGGGACAGCCCTCCGCGCTTCTTTGCGCCTCCTCCATGGCGCGCCTGGCCGAGAAGAGGTAACACACATCGGTTAGCAGGTACTTGTTCAGGAAGAAGAAAAAGTCGCTCGTTTTGTAAATCATCCGCAGGCCCCTTCCTCGGATGACCGTTTCGGAGTTGTACTTTCTGGACCCCCCATGGGGGCGGTCCACCGTGTGGTGCATCATTTGGTTCGCCGTTTCTTCTATCACTTTGTCTGCCGCTTCTCTCATCACTTTCTTCTCCATATCGTCCATATTCCTTAAGGTGGCTTCCACGGTGAAGTATCGTCCCGCGCCGCCCCCCCAAGGATGGCCCCCTTTTCCAGCGCGAAAAATCTTGTAAAACGAGTTGGAGAAAACGTCCGGCATGGGGGGACTACTCCCCTGAGGGGAGAATCTCTTCTCAAAATGGAAGAGCTTAAAAGTTCTGTTTGAATGGGTCCTCTTCCTGACCTTCACTTTGTGTGCATCTAAATGCAGCTGCAGAAAGTTGCAGCGTTTTATATTCTCCCTTTGGAGGGGATCAAAGTAGAGGAGAGACAACCGGCCAGCCAGACATAACGTGTGTTCACTTCTCTTCAGTTCTTCATTTGTAACTTGTTTCAACTCATGGAGAGAGCGCACCTGGTCGGCCCACACGAATGCTACTTCGCTCTTTATGTCGACTTGTACCTGATACTTCACTAGATTGCGCTTTTTACGCATGGGCTGAATCACTTTTTTAATTCCGTTTTGGTGAAAGGGGATGGGCTGCTTAGCTGACTCTCCCTCTGTAAGTTCCTCTTCCTTGTCTTGGCAGTTGCACCGCTTGGGAGAGTCTTCTCCGAGGCAACTTCCCCTTATCGGAGTGGTGTCTCTTCCCCTTCGCACGAAATGGTACACACTTCGCCTGCCGCGAGGTTTCTTCATCCGGATTTGCACCGATCTGTCTGATTTTGCCCCTGGCTCTGCTTGTGGATTTGCGAGTGACTCTGCTGGTGACTCTCCGCATTGTTCGCCGCTCACCCCTCCCCACTGGTAGACTCCGTTCACCATCCTAAGTACAGAGGTGTAAAGCTCGTACATAACAAGACTGCAGAAAGTCACCCGCGCTATATTACGCATTTCCACGTGCACCTTCTTATCTCTGACTCGGATGACGACGTCGTAGGGGGTATTTGGACAGCGCGGCTCTTCCCTCCTTCCCCTTCGAAATCGTACGGTGTGTGCATCCACCCTGTCCCTCTTAAAGGAGCACACCTGACTTAGCCGGTTGGAGAGTTCGCTCATCTGGATGCCCACGTTGCTCAGATACAAGTGGCTGCAATAAGTCCTACTTCGCTTCCAGGAGGATTCCCCCTTCCACGCGAAATTTAGGAAGTACACAAAATTGCAGGTCGCACTGATCCTGGCTAGGGGAGGAGTCTCTTTGGTGGCCCCCCTTGGTGGCTTCATATCTCCATGGCCGACCAATTTACTGACTCTCCAAAACACGTCAAAGTTGCGCGAAATACAGAAGAGATGGACTTGGCAGTTTTTAAGGGAGACAATTATGTAACTGTTGGGGTGGATGGTTCTCCCACTGGTGTCATCACGTCTTTTCTTGTGCCTGCTGATTAATGTGCTCCTCAGAGGGAAGTGGTTTCTCCTTCCGTGTTGACAATACAGCGTATACAAGTCGTGTAAAAAGATAACATGCTCTGGTAGGAGGTACCATGTGGACATTCCTACATAGGCGAGGATCACTGAGGAGAGGCTTCCCCCCTCCTGCTTTGTCTTTCCCGTGTCTCTTTCTTGCATCTCCTCTTTCTTCTCTCTCTTCAAGGTGACATCCATGGGGTCACTTATGGCGTACTCGTAAAGTACCCCCTGTTGAGAATACACCCATTTTAGTATGACTCTGTTCAGGTGGAAGTGAGGATTCCCCTTATGCGTTCTTCCCACATGCGTCTGTTCCTGCGCATCTCTGTTGGACGTTCCTCCCTGGTTACTCTCACATCGATCGTCGCTAACTTCACCATTTCTCACTTCCCGCACCTCCAGTTTTAGTACGCCTTCATTTCGCTCCTGGGTGGACATGCCGTAGGGTAGCTTCTCCTCTCGAGGTCTGCCAAGTGGAGCACTCCCTAACAGGAGGGATTTACTCATATGTCTATTGAAATAAACGGTGAAGCTACGAAGTGACATAAGGATTGCTTCAGCTGAGAAGTTGCATCTGTGGGGTGTGTCCTCTGATGGGGAGGCAATCACATCAGTGGGAATCTCCTGAACATGCCCCACTCGTAACCCTATCCCGAAAAGATGGGTTAACCTCCCCTGCAAGGTTAGTAACTCCTCAATGTGGATTACTACACATGAGTTTTCCAGACCGAGTCGGTACCTGTTTAATCCCTCCCGAAGGAAGAAGTTTTCTCTATGTCTTCTTTCATTCAGGGGGAAGATTTTACATCGCACCGCTCCGACATGGTTTCCATCGTATTTGTCTTGACATTTGTCCAAATCATCCTCGAGGGGGAGATCACAAAGCAACTTGTCAGCGTTCTTCTCACTGATGCAAATTGCATTTTTTTCTGTCCAGATGAGGAGGGATTTTATCGATATGGAAAACATCTCCCATGGGTGAGTACCTCTGCTTCGGTTGGCATCCCCCAGGGGGGTCTCAAATGATAACTTCCGCCCCCGGGTACACACCTCGGTATCGCCCCCCAAATGGAGCTTAACAAGAAGAGTGTCCAGGAAGAGGAAAAAATTTGGAAAAAATTCTGCGCCAAGATTGGCCCATAAATTTGGCGCAATTGGGGCTGCCAGGGAGAAAGCCATGCTGGCCTGCCTCTTCCGGAAGAAGCTCCACAGAGGGGGGCGTACACTGTTCCTCTGGAAGACCTTTATCAAGTCTTTCATAAAGTGGTCCCTTGGCTTCCTCTTCCTCGTCCATCTGTAAAAAATTTCCTTCAATTCGCACACTTGGCCGTTAAAGTAACAGAGGGAAACAAAGACCCTCTTCTCGTTCACAAAAAAGAAAACATTTTTCACCAGGATTGTGTCTTCTCGCTCGCTTTCCTTTCGCAGGGAGATTTTTCTGCAGCGGAGGTGGCTCGGGGGGGGGAAAGACAGATGGTCCTTCCGTTTGTCCGGAGTGGCTTCGTCGTGTTTCCTCTCCTCAATTCCCCCATTTGTAGTCCCCCCATAGTGGTCCAGAAAAAGGCAAACGTCGCAGAGAGTCAAGTGGTAGGTGGTGCTCCTTCTGGTGTGGGAGTTACCACCATCCCCGCACAGCTCCCCATGTGTGTGTGCATGTCGGAGGCGAATCTTCACGCAGAGCTTCCGCACGCGTAAAAAGTAGTGCTTAAAAATGGCGTCCAAAAAAAGGCGTAGCAATTTAATCCAGATGGAATGGAAAAACTGCCGCTCAAGCGATAGTTGTAGTAACCTCGCATAGGTGTTGTGGTCGGAGTTGTGATTTTCGTATTCTCTCCAGTCGAGGGTGCAGCTTATGGATTCGACGTGGATCTCCTTCTTCGTCCATGGTGTTTCCTTCTTTCTTTTTTTTTTTCCTCTTGAGAAGAATGTGATTATTCTTTTTATGAAGTCGAATTGGAAGGAGATATTTTTCACCTGGACGTTTTTCAGTGGAATGTTAATGAGAAGGAGGTTGGAAAAGAAGAGGAAGGCTACTATGGCTCTGTCGATGTGGAACTTGGTGTTTGCCAGTAGGTTGAGCAGCCATCCGCTCATCTTCTTGGAGGCGTGGCATAACTGTCTCTTAAATGGGTTCCTTTTCGGAGGCCTTGGGATGCTCCATCGATCGCTGTCCCCTTTTGGCGACCCCTTTTTCGAGTACCTCCTTTTCGAGACTCCGCCTTAAGCAGGTTTCGTTTTGTCCTTTTTGCGATTTTGTTCAGCTCTTCTGGCGTTTCATTGGAGCTGCATGTTGCACCTCATCTGCGTTTTGGTTTTTATTCGCGTTTTTTTTTTATGTTTCTATATTTTTTTTGTTTTTTTTTTTCCGCTTTACGATTACCTGTTTTCCGCCTTTTTTTTGCGGCACAGTCATTTACGACCGATTTGCACTTCCGCTGACCTACGCCTGTACTGTGCAGGCAATGCGCACCCGAAAGGAAACTCAGGATGGAGTAGGACGCACAATGGTCACCACAGTGGGGTGCGCTGTTAACTCGCAGCACCAGCAGCGGCAGGGGTGTGACGAAACGGCTACGGACACTACAGGTGAACAAAATGGCGCTGCCGCAAATTTTGAGCTGTAGGGAATAAAAAAAAAGGGCCCACATGGACAGGACTCCGCCAAATTAACCAAGTTCGAACGCGCAAGAAAACACTTTCCCAATAAGAACTGCTTCTATTGCGTAAAGGAAAAAAAAAAAATGCGAGACAGTAGTAACCATGTCAAGAGGTGACATTAGACGCGTGTGGACCACGCGAAGGGGAAAGACTACACGGGCCGAGTGGAAATACCAGCACGACGGGGTGACGAAACAGGTGAAGAGCTTCCACACACTGCCCCCTGCTTATAGCGTATCACAACATCACTTTGGAAAAAAAAAAAAAAAACATGTGACCATTTAATTTAAAAGGGCTACTTGAAAAAAAAAAAGACTCTTTCCTTCTTAAAGGGGTTAACAGAAAAGGGGAAAAGAACAACCGCGGATGGAAAGTGTGCAGGAAGACAGAGTGAGTCGACACCGCGACCCAGTGGGCAACGTCATCCAGCGTGACTTTATGCACAAGGGGGGGAACACAGCATCTGGGGGAGAGACCCCTTCTGTTGATTAAAGATATCGACGGCGATCCTCTATGCACAGGATTAGGCGATCCCTCCGTCGGAGAAAACAGAAAGATCCTTTCATGCACGCACGTAGGGTTTCATATGTTATGGACATGCGGAGGGGCAACAAGTCGGTATGCCCGCATGGGAGTGTAGGTCATGGTCAGCATTGATCCTTGGCAGACCCAACGGAAAAAAAAGCAGAAAAGAAACGTACGAAAAAAAAGCAGAAAAGAAACGTACAAAAAAAAAGCAGAAAAGAAACGTACAAAAAAAAAGCAGAAAAGAAACGTACAAAAAAAACGCAGGAAAAAAACGCAGAAAAACAACTCGGAAAAAAACGCAGAAAAAAAATGCAGAAACAGAACGCGGAAAAAAAATGCAGGAAGAGAACGAGGAAAAAGAACGCAGAAAAAATAACACAGAAAAAAAAAAAAAGCAAACAAGTGAACATCGCTGTAAATCAAAAAAGGAAGAAGCAAAAAACGGTGACATTTTCGCCCCCTGAATTGCCAAAGCTGCTTGTTCACAGGGTGGAAGATTTTCCTACGCTTCGGTTCGTGCTCCTTGCAACGCTTTATTTTCCCCATGAGGATGAAAGAAGCACCTGCGCATGCACAATGAGCGGACAGTGAGTGTTATGCCCCTTTGGAAGTTAATATCCCCTTTTTCATTGCGCTAGCTCGAAGTGGTAACTTTTTTGACTGGAAGAAAAAGGCAGTGACATGTAGTGTAACTCCCCTGGGTGTAATATGCCGCTCTGGGGTGTCCCTTCTTTTATTGTTTCAATTTGCGTGGCGTGCCCTGGAGGCACTCTCCTAAGAGGTCCGCTCATCTGGATGCCCCATTAATTCTTTTTCCCACCTGCCACTCTCCACTGCGCAACGAGATGAAGCTGTTTGAACAAGAGCATCTGTATCAATACGACTGGGGAACCGTCACGGTAATGATGCGCCTGCGGGGGAGCGGTACATTGAAGACTTCTATTGTCCGCGCTTCCCCCCGAAGGAAAACAGAATGATGTGTAATACAGACTCTGCAAAAGGAAGAAGCTCTACGGTGCAACCCTCATCCGGCGTTACGTAAAAAGGTTGATCGCCCAACATGCCTCTTTTTTCCTATTTCCCTATTTTTCCCTCCTTTACCCAGTCGGCCTTCCTGCAGAAATACCCGAACAGCGTGCAAAGCCACATAAAGAGCATCGACGTCATTGACAGATGCATCGACACGAAGGAACAGACGCTCCAGATGAGGAGGATCGTCCACCTGCAGTACTTCATTCCGAAGCTCTTCCGTGAGTTACCCCCCCTCCTTCACCCCAAATGGGTCGACTCATCCGAGGAGAAAGATAACATGCACATTGATACCTTCCCCATTGTGCGACGGTCCCCCTTTTTCACTGGTGCCTTCTAAGTGCTGCCTGCTAACCGTTGCATCCTCTCCCCCCACACAGTGCCAACCACACCGCTTCCCCACTTCAGGCAATCTCCTCAACATAGACGGGCGAGGCGTAGGAATCGAAGACATAAGCATAAACCTGAGGGAGAAGAAATTAACAGTGAGCACCGTCAACTACACGATGACTCCTTTGGTAAACTTTACGGAGAAGTGTGTGTACCTTCAGAAGGACGACGATGGTAAGTGTGTGCGTAAAAGAAGCGGCTGCGGGAAGCGGCTGCGAAGGAGTTTTTTTCATTCTTCGCTTCCTCCGAATTGGCCTGTCCTTCATATTCCCCCTGTTGTCTTTCCCCCCTGCAGATAATCAAACCCACTACAAGCAGACCACCACCCTGGACATTAACGGATTCGGCTACATGAAGAGCCTCTTGGAGCGGGTGAGGCAGAGCGGCAGAGGTGCGACCACATTTGCATCGCTCTCCTTCTGCATTTCTGGTCGGTTCCATGCCATTCCTTCTGTTTCCCCCCCTTCAGGCCATGATCAACACGGTGCGCGAGAAGAGCAATCAAGGAATCAACATCATGAACGAGACGATCAAGCGAGTCATTAATGACAGCGTTCATATGAATAGTAGAGACGTTTACGTGGATGCACTGGAGAAAGGGAAAAAGTAGAGCCATGCTGCAGCGACTCCCTGTGCCTGTGTTATTTTTTCTCTCTCTCTCCACCGTCGAAATGAAAAGAGAAGAAAAGGAATTCCTTCTACCTTTTTGTTGCTAGCGGTGCACTACATCGGTTAAAATCCGTCTAGGTTAAACAACCGCTATTTCTTTTTTTTTTTTCCTTTCCTCGTCTGGGGCATCTGCCCCCTTTTTTTTGTTCTTGTTCAATTTGTCTCTTACCTTTTTCAGCGTTTGTCCAGGTGCCGCCAGCGGCCGAGCTGCTTAGCGGTCCCACTCTCCCTTTTTTTCAGTGCTCAGCTGGTGTGTACTCTTCCTTCTTAATCTGCCACTTTCGGGGGGCACAGCTAAACCGCCGCCACGGAGCAGTGCTAACACAGCGCTGACACAGTGCTAATACACCACTAACCCAGCGTTAACCGATCGGCTGACCTCCCCGCGTGAAACTCGCGCAGAAGGAAAACGTCCCGCGCGAAGTTGCCCCAATGGCCCTCGTTGTGCTCCGCGAAGGGGATATCGGGAAAGGCCCTGCTGTAGTGACGCTTCAAATCTTCGAAAACATCTGTCAGTTTTGTTTTCTCCTCCAAGAAGATGCCTCCCTTTTGGTGCTGCAGAGAGGAATCAACCTTCGTAGCAGCCAAGTGGGCTCCGATGAACGAGGGAAAGAGGTCCAAAAACTCTTTGTTGGCGAATCGATAGTCCAGGAAAAAGAAGGAGGAATAGTCGTCCACGTGGCGAAGGCTTCTTCCTATGCACTGGTTTACTATCTTCATGGCAAACTTGAGCTCATACGTCCTGCACATGTCGCCTATTTGGTGTTCTGAGGGGAAGGGGCAGCAGGGAGGCACATAATGGGCGGCAACAAAGCCGCAAGGAAGCGGCACGTACTAAGGCAGAAGCTCTGGCAGCCCTGCATTCTTGCGCCACGTAACACATGGGGCCACTTGGCTTACCCAACTGCGACGAGGGGAGGGCTGAGCCTCCATCCCCTCGTGCCACGTCCGCGGAGAAGGCCCGGTAGTAATCCAAACGAAGGGAGTTCCTATCCAGGGGAAGATCCCCAGTGGAGGAAGAGCCCCCCTTCTCGTGTTTGAAGAAGGGAATGCCCACAAGCAAAACGTTGCGACAGAAGTCGTCGTAAAAGTTAATCCCTTCACTGAGTTTTGCATTCATTACACAGAAAAGGACGCAACCGTTTTTTAAACAAGCACCTTCCTCCTCCTGATCTCGTATCCGTTGGACACTTTGCATATATTCCCTAAGGACGTCGCTGTGTCCATTTTTCTCCTCGAAGAAGACTTTTTTTTTTTTCTTCATTTCGGTTAAGACGTAGTGCCCTTCATTTTGTAGGAAGGTGAAGAACTCTCGTAAGAATTTGTACGACGAGAAGAAGACAATGTTTCCGAAGCGAACATATAATGTGAGGAGGTGAATCTGAATGGCTAAGTTGAGGAGGTGTGTCTTCTTATGTCTCATTTTGAAAGTGTTGTCTATAGGTTCGTAGGTCACTAGATTCGTACTGACGATTCTACAGAACACGTTACTCTTCTTGAAAATGTAATCTGATAAAAACAGCTTAACAGATTTTTCTTTCTCTTTTCGACTCATGAAGAGTAGGAGGAACTCTTCGATCGGCTGCAGAGTTCCTCCGATTAGAATGACGTTGCTGCAGTCGTTGGTGATTTTCTCAAAGTTGGTACACGAGCTCACACTGACGATTTCGATTCTTTGTATCATTCCGGGGTTCCTGCGCGTGATTAGGTCTTCTATCAGGGTGGTCATCATCTCATCGGCGTGGCCATCCGGACACGTTTTCGAATCATCACTCTTGTGAGTTTCATCCGGTATATTTTGCTGGATCTTCCCAGAGTCCCCGTTCCTCACTCGTTTGATTCTTTTTTCCATGTGTGTCGCCCCCTCTTCGAGGGAAAAAACACTCCGTTTATTCGATCCCCCCTTTGGAGCTACTCCGCTAGGCGTTTCCTCCTCCCTGGTTTTGCCTCCCCTGTTTAGGAACACATAGTCGTACCGATTAGACCGCATCATTTTATTGGTGTAATCGCTGAGCAGATAAATGGACGACGTGTTGACACTTCGGGAGGCGGTGTTAGCATACTGAGGGAAGCTCTTTCTCAGGTAGGATTCTGCAAAGATTTTAATTCGTCTGCAAAAGGTGGAGTTACTAAGAACATTGGAAATATGATTCAGGTTCAGTGCATCTAACTTAGATGTCAAAATATAGTTGGTGACTTTTACGAGGCTCTCTTTAACGTCTCTGAAGGAGGACAGAAGCAGATCGCAGTATATGACGACCTGCTTAATCGAAACCAAGTTGCTATTTGTTAAGACCTGTTGGTATTTCTTAGCATACTCTTCCAAGATGAATTTGCAAAAAAGGATGTCACCATAAGCTATGGCTGCCGAATTGGAGTCATTGATGCTATCGATGATGTTCTGTGCCTCGTCAAAGATGACTATGTTGTTTTTAATGGAGATTTTTAAGCCCCTCCTCACATGTTCATTCAGAATGCACACATACGGTAGGAGGATTATGTCTGCGTTTTTTACGTTTTCCCTGCTCAGGTAGTAAGGACACACCTCTATCTGATCCATCATGCATATATCCTTCACCTGGTTGATTCTTAAATTTTTGCAGTTTATCAGTTTTGACACTAGGCTGTAGTTGTCCATGACTGGATTCTCATGACTCGCATCGCCCGCTCTGCCACTGCTGTCACTGGTACTTCCACTCGATGACGACGAGTCGTAAAAGATTTTGTTTTTTTTCTTTTCCTTCCTTTGCCTCCTCTTCAGCATGTTATCCTTGAATATTTTCTTGTACTTGCAATCGCTGTTCCGACAGCAGTCGTTAAGCTCGTTCACACTTTTGTGTTTCTGCAAGAAGGGCTGCGTAGGGTGTGAGGGGTGTGAGGGGTGTGAGGAGTTTAGAGTTGCTTGTTCATTGTTGATTGGCGCTCTTAGTAGTTCAAGATGTTTTAGTATGTTGTGTGGTGGGACTTCACGAGGGGGTGCTCAGCGTCCAGAAGGGCGACATGCCCTTCAGGAGGGCTTCCCTCTTCCTGCTTCCCCCCTCCACTAACCTCATTCACGCAGAGATGCTTCCTACTACCCAGGATGACCATATTGATGGGTAGGTCCCTCCCCACTGTCTGCTCAATCTTTTTCAGCTCTGAGAAATACTGATTCAGTTGTGACTGCGTTCGACTGCAAATGAAGATCTGCCAGGGGAGGGGGTGACAATTGGAGGAGGGGTGGGGTATCTGTTCAGCATTGCCGACCCGCCGCTCACAAAGAGTGAGGTTGTAACAATGCCATCCCATGGAATCACTCCAGATGTACCCCTCCTTACCTGTTTCTTGGACGGGCCCTCCACAGAGCAATCGCTCAGAGTCTCCTCCTCTGGTGAGGAAAAAAGAATATGTAGGCAACACCATGTGAGGAAAGTTTCGATTTGTGAGTCGGTACACTTCTGAGCGCTCATCCATCGCGTTCATCCTTTGCACTCAACTTTGTCCCTCTGTTTACCCCCGTGTGTGTCGAAGCGGTCCTCCCCTGGTTTGTGCGTCTCCACTTGGGACTTCTTTTTTTCCACTCTTAAATTTTCCTTCAACGTTACTTTGTCATCAGAGATGGAAAAGTAGCGGTTCAGGATGGTCAAGTCTGCTTCCTTCCTCTTTTTCTGCACTCTTTGGGCTCGCGTGAACTTCCGCAGGAGGTTCTCCGTCACGGATTCTTTCACCCAATCGGGTTCTGTGGAGTGAGAAATGAGAAAAGTGAAATGAGACGTAAGAGGCTGTGAGATTGAAGGTCCTCTTCGGGCCGGTGTATTAGCCACTTGGTGCCGCGCTGAACAACAACAAGTTAATTTTGAGTTACCCTCCTTTCGCAGATGTGTGTCTTCCATCAAGAGGAAGAAATCAAATTTGTGTTTGAGCAACCTAGAGGGGGGGGAAGAGGACGAGAGATGATACAATGACGAAGTGGAGAAGTGGCCACGTGGTAACATGATAGGATGGAAAAATGGACAGGTATATAAAAATTGCTAGTAGGTTGGGGAGGTTTCCAGGCAATGGGAGAGAGGCACATGCAGATGACGGTACTTGGCAGGGGAGCAGCACGTGTACCTTGTCGACTGGACTTACCAATAAACCAGTGGTGTCAACAGACTGAGGGATTTCCCAGAACCGGTCTTCATTTCGCAGATGATATGGTCTTGGGGGGTGTTTCCATCTTCCTCGCACACGTGAGTACTCCCCCCACCTAGCTTAGCATCAAAGATTTCCAGCCCGCTCCCCACCTCTTCCACCACTATCTTCTGCAGGCTTTCGTTTCTCTGAATAATCTCATAGACCGGCCGGACCTCCTCGCCAAATGTTAGGTTTGATTTTTTCAATACATTGTAGAGGGTTTTCATGAAGTCCAGCTGAATCTGCAGTGGTGCACAGATGGGGTGGAAGAAGAAAAAAAAAATCGGAACAAGGAAGATTACAATTGGTGACCATCGGTGTGGGTCCCACTCCACTGGAAAAACGGGACCATGCGTATGGTGTAGATACTCCACCGATCACACTCATACTTCCAGACATGAATTCACACAAGAGAAGCAGCTCCATCTCCCTCGGTCAAAAGATTAGTTCAAAGAACATTTCGTATTTTCCCATTTTGATGTTACCTTGTATGGGGGGAAGGGAAAGAACTGCTTGATCTCTTCATCGAACTGGGTTGCCATGGTGGATAGCTTCGCTAGAAGAAAGAAAAAAAAGGAAAAGGAGGAAGGAACTTTCACGTGTGTTTATGAGCTCCAACTTGTGCAGCGCTGGGATATATTGTCCTGTGTCCTCTGCAGGACTGCGCTTTTACACCACGCTTATGATGATGAACTTGGCCGTCCCCTCTAGGGGAAAATGGAAAATTAAAGCGGTATTTGTCACGATCGGAGGAAACACAAAAAGGATTGGCCAATCTGAGGGGGTCGTGTGCAGGAAAAGCAACTCAATAAAAGAGAATGTACATCGTAGTGGTAGCTTCAACCAAGATTGCCATCGTGATTTTTTTTTTTTTTTTTTTTTCACTGAGCAGTTACACAGTTATACACCTGAATTGTGCATGCAAACTGTGTATTCGTACATTTCGGCCTCGAACTTTGGGATGTGCTGACTGCTCATGGGGCTGATCACCTTCGTTAAAGGGATGCGGTTAGAAGGTGGGTTTAACCATTTACCAGCAGGGCGGGGACACGTGTCGTTAAGCATGCCACGAATGATGCCGCGAATGATGCCGTTAGCCACGCCGATTACCACGCGCACCCCCGCGGAGGAGAAAAATGAACAGCTACAGGAGACACTCCGCGTCGTTCTACGTCCTGGACGCTGCTGCATGCGGCGGAGACTTCTGCGCGTTGTGGAGAGACCTAGAGTTTGCGCCTACGGAGGATATCGTCATAATAAGGTAGGGGTTGGTCGAGAATGTGTGCCACGATGCACAGCGCAGGGTTTCCCTTGTTCTCAGCTTCTCCATCACCTGAGTGGATATACCGTTGCGAGTGTCACTGTCCCTTCCTCATTCGATTGCCAAACGGAACATAGCAGTCGGCAATTTACCCTCACACACACCACCACTACCTCCCGGATGCAGCATAAAGAATGACTCGAGGAGGGACAACCATCTTAGGACGGCAATCAAAGCAAAGTTAGAACAACGCGCATGTCCAGATGGTGAGCACATGTGTGGTGAGAAGGACCAGTACGAACTGGTGGATCCCAACTTCCAATTTGAAGGAAACTCATTTATCCTTATGGTCAGAGCAAAACTGCGCAAGGACATCTGCCAGGTGCACTGCAAAAATGTTAAGTTGCGGGTGAGGAGATGTTATGGGAAAAGCTACAGAAGGACGATGCGGCACTACTTTAACCATTTCATGACGCGGACGCCCGCACTTGGGGGGGACAGCCCTGAGCAAGTGGGGGTGGAGCAGCTGGAGACAGAGCGCATGGGACAGCGGATGACGGAACGGATAATACGGCGGATGACAGAGCAGATGGCCAAGCCGAGCAGAGCGAGTCAGTCACCCACCCGCCCCCCCCGCAGATGCGCCCGGCGCCGCAGTGAAGGGACGAATGGATGTGCCAAGATCGAAGCGGAGGGAGACACAGATGCGAGAGCAAAAAGGCACGACGAGAACGTTGTTACCTGCGTCACGTTTATGTTTAAAGGTGTCACTCTCTGCGTTTGTCTGTCCAACTTTGATATGGAGAAGCATGTGGAGCGGGGCGAGTACTACAGATGTTTGCTCGGCGGAGGGAGGCGGCGCGGCAGTGGAGAAAATAGACCCGGAAGTGCTCCGATGCAACGCGAGTGCCGCCCAGCCGACCCAAGAAGCAACTACGCTGAGGTGTACCTGGAAAACTACTTCCTCTGTTACAAGCAGATGTATAATCATTTCACAAGCAGCATGTCTTTCGAGACAGACAAAGACGACCTTCACTTGTTTAGCATGGACATAGTAGTGCTACAGGGTTTCAACCCCTTGCTTCTTTTTAACCACTTAGTGGAGAGCAACCTACATAACGACTCCCTCATTTGGGGAAACAATGTTTCCATTTTAAATAAGAGTGAAAAGAACCTGTTGCAGAAAAGGTCCTATTTTACCTTAACATGCTCAGGAAAAAATGCCGAATTTGTTTCCTTTGGCTTTAAATTTTGCTGTGATTTGTTTTTCCAAGTGGAGGTTAGCATTGTTGATGATTTCTTTTTGTCGCACGTTGGGGAGGCCAGGCGGGGGGAAGGAGAACACCTGCACATCGGGGTGAAACCCGAAGTTTTGGAGTTAGGCTCCGTCTATACGTACCAAGTGTTTCAGGCGAGCTTCCAATTGGATTATGTGAACGCAGGGGGTGATATCGGCCAGGTTTGCGAGAAGGGGGGGCACCTCGAAGGATTAAGCAATGGACAGCCGGATGAGCAGAGACACCTCGAAGGATCAGAAAATCAACAGCCGCATAACCGGGGACACCTCTCCTTCTCGATCCTCTGCTTCGACTCAAAGAGGCAGTCCACCATCCCAATCAATCTCTACTCGTATCTCCACTTGAAGAAGAATTCCATTTTTAAGTACCTGGAGGAAAACGTCCGTTTTGGAAGCAGCCAATCGAGCGGAAAGCGAAAGGAATGTCGCCCCGCTCCTGCTGACCAACAGAACAATGTCGACATGCTGAGACACATTTACGTGCATCCCCACAAAGGGATTGTAAAGCAGAATGAACAGAAGAAAATTCAGCTGAACATTTATGTAGACCACATGCTAAAAAGGGAAGAAGTTGTAGAAGGCTCTTTCATTTTAATCATTCGGATCCACAGGTTTGGGAAGGACATTAAACAGATCTTTCTGACGTGTAGGTATTCCCTTCAGGACAACATCGTGAGTACACTTCTTCGGGACGATCGCCCATTGGTGAGAACACACAGGAGTAATCACGCCGCAATGAGGGGGAGGAGGGGGCCCAGGAAAACAACCACCGTGAAGACAAACTTGAGCTTGCACAGTAGGAGCAGAAGAAGCGGCTTCGGGACCTGCAATCGTACGAAACGGTTGGACGAGGCAAAAGGGAGACCTTTCCTTCCAGTGAACATCACCAAGTTTGTTTTGTATTCCTTCTTTGCGATCGATCGGTATGAGCAGGAGTTAGTCAGTGGGGTGGAAACTTCCCCAGAGGAAGTTCCCTCCAAGGAAGCAGATCAACCGTTGCATCTTCTGGGTTTGTCTAACCTACGCACGGACCATCTGGTGTACTGCTTCAGTCCGACCTCTTCCTCCTCCACCGAAGGAGAAGACAAAAAAGCGGTTGAGTGCAACCTTAATTATCACTGGAAGAAGCATTTTTTTTGTGTACAGTACCCACAGGAAAAACACATCGATGAGAATTTTTTCCTCCAAAATGATATCATGCAGAGCAATGTGAAGAGACAAAGTGGGAATGTGCCATTGGAGGTCCATTATTTAGTGAGCCAACTTCAAAGCAGCGGCAAAGTGGACCGATCCATCTGTGTGGGCACCATTCTGTTCCTGTGGGAGGAACTCTTCAGGGTGTTAACCCCTCCATTGGGAACCTTTGCAAAGGTCACCCAAATGGTTACTCGTATCTATAACCATCCCAGATTAAGACGGCAAAGAAAAATGCACTTGATATTTCGCGTCATTGTAAAAAAATCTCCGTCTGTGCTGTACAAGAATATATTTTTGATCCTCCTATCCTTCCTGAAGAAGCTCTTTTTCTACTTCGCCTGTGTGTGTTTACACCGTCTTGGAGTCTCCTTGGGGGGGGGACAGATTGAGCCGGGCGGGATCAGCGGTGGTTCCTTTGGTACACATTCCCCACTTGGCGCGCCCCGCCAGGTGGGGCCGACACTCTCCTTTCCGTTTTTCCTGCGCGCCTTCCACTTCTTTCACGTTTCCTTCCTCAGCTACGTCAGCACCTTCTTCCTCAGTTTTCTCGACCACCAAATCGGCCTCTACTTGGCGCACTACCTACTATTCTACGTGTAGGGCTGGAGGGCGCCTCTGCATGGTTCAGCGAGCTGCTACTCATCTGCTCTGTGTTTTGCTCCTTACTTCGCCCATACCTATGCTGTCCATCCCATCTGCTTGTGCGGGGCTGGGGAGAGATGGCCATTTCCGAATGTGCACAACAAAAACGAATCAACTGAATGGGAAAAACCTTCGGATTTTACATGGTACAGTTCGGGGCGAGCTTAATGGCTACCCTCGGGAGCTACTCCATGGTTAGAAGTGGACAACGGAAATCGATGGACTGCACTGGGTACTTTTCCCATGGCGTACTCTCTCCACCGTGTCTTGGTGGGTTAATTTTGCAAAAGCGTCTCTACACAGCTGTTGCTCTCTCTTTGGCGTTTACTCGAGGTGGAAAGAATGTCATGTGGTTGAAGGGTAGGGGGCGACGGTACTATCGATGCGCAGCGGGGGAGCATCGCAAGTGGCATCTTCAGAATGACTTAGGCAAAGATATCAAAAAGGTGGGAAGTTTTCACAGATTCAATATAAAAAAATGCCAGTCCATCCTCCATTTTGCGACCCTGCCACCCCGGGGGATCGGTACTACTTCACCTCCTTTTTTTTGTTTTGTTTGGCCATTTGAGTGCTTCCTTCCTAGGCAGTGTGACACTAAACTCGTATGCTCCTGGTGCGACGTGGCGATCTTCACCCTCAGCCAAATCAGCATTGGCTGCCACTCCGTCACGACACCCTCCAGGGGAATTGCCCAATTGGGGGGCAGTATAAATCTGTTTTATTTTATTATTTTTTATTTTTTTTATTTTATCTTTTTCATTCCATTTGGTCCATTCCGGTAAACTCACGCAGGTCGTTTCTTTTTTTTTTTTTTTATTTTTCACCGCATCAACGTGCCTCTTGATTGCCCACTTAATGTGCCGAAACGGAAGAGCTGCCAGAGCGCGTATGAAGCGTACAGTTGAGCTTCCTTACGCCGACTAAGCATATAAAATATGCGCGGCTCCCGTCCGCAGATTGGCAGACTAGCAGTTTACGAGATCTGCAGATGATCGCTCGTCTGTGACTCCCCCCCTCCACCGCCACCGTCCGCGTGATATACATCCCAAGCCGTCGAGGCGAGGACCACTTCCCGCCGCTGCCATTTTTTTCCGCCGCCGCTATTTCTTCTCACTGCTGCCATTTCTTCCTCCGCTTCTTTGACGCCTTCCCCGATGAACGACTTCCCAGGCGCCCTGCCCAGCAGCGAGCGGTCGAGCAAAGTTGCGCTGTACGCGATCCTGATTTATAAGCACGATGCGTCCAAACCAGTGTTCCTCTCCGCGGCAGTGGACTTGTCGTCCTTCCCCTTCTTTCATCGCTCCTCGCTGAAGGAGCACATATTTTTCCACTCGAGGTTGGTATGCAGCAGGACCCCCAAAGGTAACAGAGAAGTCATCGAACTGGAGTCAGGAATAGGACATCTCCATGTCTACACCAATAAGGATACCAATGTCAGCGTGCTAGTCCTGTCGACAAAGACATATCCCCTACGAATAGCATTTGGCCTCATTGACACAGCGCACCGAATCTTCCAGCAAAAGTGTAGGACTAAATATGAGCATGTAACGCAGGATTTAACGGAGGGGGCTCTATTCTCCACCGAATTGCTGGACCTTTTAAGAAAGTATCAAAATCCGTCGGAGGCGGACAAATTGTCCAGGGTACAGAAAGATCTGGATGAAGTAAAAGACGTGATGTTGAAAAACATTGACGATTTATTACAGCGGGGGGAGAAGCTGGATGATCTCATGAAGAAAAGTCAGGACTTGTCCAATTCTTCCTATCAGTTTTACAGGTGCGTCCGGCCGGGAGAGAGGGAAAGGACACGTCTCGGTGGCTCCTACTGAGCTACCATGTGTATAATTTGTTTTGTGAACCTAAACCTAAGCCTAAACCACACACACACTTCCCCCTCTTTGCAGGCAAGCTAAGAAGAACAACCAATGCTGCAAACTATACTGACGAGGACCTCCCCGTTTTTGCTACCCAGTTGGAGACAAGTCATCATAAAAAGGGGAACATAATGTAAATACAACCCTGTGAAGTTCTTATGCGCGGCCACGCCATCAACGTGTTACTATACCATCTCCGTCTGCAGGACCGATGGAGCAATTCCTTGTGATGTATGAAGATTTTTTCTTAACTTAAGTAGCTTATATATGTCCACCTTCCACTGCAGAGGATTCGTTTTTTTTTTTTTTTTTTTTTTTTTTGTTACGTTTTATCCATTTTAAAGCGCACAACTGTGTGCCTACCTTCGTGTTGACTGTTTGCATGCCCGACCCAATTATCATCACCACGCCCATCCTCATCGTACGTTGCTGAGGGAGGAGCTCGTTTAACTTTTATTTCCGAAATTAAGGATCCCTTCGCGGTTTTGCCCCGCGAGCTACCTGCGTTAGAAGTTGACGGGGGAACAATGGGCAGCAGTAGGTCTGTCTCTGTTCCTGTCCCTGTCCCTCGCGTTGCGATTGTCTGGGCTATTCTGGTCTGGTTCGCCCTGCACTCAGTGAGGCAGCAAATCTTTGCAGCTCCTTGTTGGGTCATCCCCCTCAGATAGCCCTCAAATGTAGGATGGTTCGTTCATCGAAATGGGGTCCTGCAGATCTAATGGGGGGAATGAGAAATTGGCAAGCGGTGGAGTAGCGAAATGGAGGAGGAACAACCAAAAGAGGTCCCCAAACTTAGCCACCAAGGAAGACAAGAACAGGAGGCCTACCCGAGTGAATATCAAAAGCGGGCAGAACTTCATCAAACATGAAAAAGGTCCCGCAGATAAGTAAAATGGAGTTGTCCTTGCAGCATTCTAGGAAGGCATTCTTCACAATCAGGGGGATGGTGCCTTGGAGGGGGAGGAAACGCGAAGAGAGTGCATCAGGGGTTAGTGGACACATGTAAACACGCTTAGGGGGTCGAGGCCCTTATGGATACGCTTCAGGGCATGTTTATGGACCCCCTTGTGGAGAGCCCTTCTTGTGCGCGCCCTTCCCCAGCCTTACCACGCGTGTAGAGATTGTCTCCAGGTGAGCCCCCCTTGCCAGTGCCTTCCAACCATGAAGTCACCTTCTCGGCGCTGCGCAATAGGACCCCCCGCAGCTCGCCACTTATCTGCTCGTCGCTGTTGAGCATGTCAGCAACTTCGCCGAAGTCGTACGTTCGGTCGTTCACAGACGGGAGGTACAGAACGTCCTGGGGGAGGGGGGAAGTGGAAAAATGGGTAGAGGTGTACATGGGAATAGAAATAAGAATACGCAATAAAGGGCGTCCAAAAGGCAACAACGCGTAGGGGGATGAACCGCGCTTCTGTTTATCCAGCGCACTGGGCTCCACAACGTGACGCTTCACGTCGTTGCGTTTCGTTGCGTTCTGTTCCGTCTCGTTCCGCTCCGTTTCGCTGCTTCTCGTTGCTTTCGGCGCGCGCACCTGGAGGAGCCCCTGGAAATGCGCCACGAGGGGCTGAAAAATGGCCAAGCTTCGCGGGCGGGTCGCAGAGACACAGACCCGTATGGGTTTGCCCTTGTGCAAGCAGTTGATGTTTTGGCAGAGCCGATCGACGGCTGTTTCGTTGTGGCCAACGTCAAGGATGACTGCCAGGGGGACACCGATCCCATTGGTCATTGCAGTGGTCATTCCACTGCTCATCGCATTGGTCATTGCACTCCCGTTAGTGAAACTTCCGGAGGGAGACGAAATCTTCTTCTTCACATGTTGGATCTGTTCAGTAGCAAGGTACTGCATCCTTAGTGGAGGCTTAACACAGATAACTGATTTCAGGATGGGATCTGAGGAAACCTGCACCTTTAGGATCTTCAGTGCCTCTTCTGCTATTCTTGTGTTTTCTTCGTCAAAGGACTCTCCACGAGGTTCTGGTGGCACGACCTTAACGACGCAGTTTAAGTCCTTAGCTCTGTTGAAGACATTTTTATAGATTGACACAGACGGACCGATCACTACATTTGTGCCCTCCTTCATTATCCCAATTTTTTCATCGCAAATGGAACTCAGCTGAGCTCCTAACAGTTCCTGGTGATCGTAACCGATGGACGTGATGACAACTACCTCGGGTTTCCTTAGAATGTTCGTTGCATCGAGGCGACCTCCAATCCCAGTCTCTACAACGGCATAATCCACCTTCTTTGATTTAAAGAACAAATATGCAACGATTGTTACGATTTCGAAGAATGTTGGCTTCAAATCCAATTCATCTGCTTTCCTCCAAACTTCATTGACGAGACGGACAAAATCCTCTTCACTTATACACTCATCATTGACTCTGATTCTTTCTCGAATGGAGAATATGTGTGGCGATGTAAAGAGGCCCACTCTATAGTTACGCACTTTTAAGCACATACTTATTTTGTACGATACGGATCCTTTTCCATTCGTGCCAGCCACATGAACCGTCTTGTACGTGTCCCCTGGGTTGTTGAAGCACTCGCTTAGCATTTTCGTTCTTTCCAGTCCCAGCTTTAGCGAGTGCGTCCGATATAGCTTTCCCAGACACTCTGCGTAGCTTTCTTTTGCTATTACGTCTTTTCCGATTCCCATTTTGTATTTTTTTCCACTTTCAGGAAGTGATAGTGGTTACATGGAGAAGAAATTACAGACTTTAGAAACGTGTGCGAATTCACAGAGGAATTACAACTAACGCTAAGTTTCGCTTCCCGTCTCTATGTTGGATGAACGAGGGAAGGGAACACACAAAAACGGTTCACCAAGAAAAAGTTTCCACAAAAAAAAAAAATGAGACAAATCGTTACCTGTGGATGGATACCAATTTTACCCCTTTCACCCCTTTTATTTTTGTAGCGTATTTTGGGGAGGGTTGTCTCTCGTAACAAGAAAGGGGCCGTGTAAATCACGCGATTTGGGCGTACCGCCCGGCTACGGTCAAGGGGTCAAAACATGGGGCGTGTCGATGGCTTCCCCTCGTTCGCCGCCTCTGTCATGGCACAGTATACATACCGTGGGGAAGAAGCACATTGTACAGAATCCCCAATTGGGCAGTGAAACAGTTGTGATGCTAACTTGTTGGGAGAGAAGCAGTTACCTCACCAATATGTGGTCGCGACGCCTTCCTGTAGACTTTACCAACGGGGAGAGGCCAACACAACTGCGCCCATCGTGTGTTTCACATGGTACGGGGGGCAATGTGCGCAGTCAAGCGATAAATTGTGAACCCACCACAAGGGGTGTGACTTTTTTTTTTTTTTTTTCTCACAGATGAGCCGCTGTACTTATTTACATCCATCTGTGGGACCCCCGCGTAACATGAGGGCTATGGAAGCTTTCTGGAAAAATTTGCCTCGGTGGACGTTTCTCGTAAGCTCTATCAGGAGAGAACCCCCCCATGCACCAATCTTGGGAGAGGAAACGGAATGAGTAAATGGGCCCGTTTGGGGGCTCGTGTGCAGGGAATACGCGGAAAAGCGAAGTAGTGGAGCTGCGACGTAGGGAGTATAACCAAGCAGAGGTCATTCGAAGAAGAGGAGATCCAAGCTGTGGGGATGACCAGCCGGTTCGTACGAACCCCCTAGGCACCATCCGCATATATAGGAAGCTACCAAGGTAACTGCCCCCTGAACAAAGGGGCGCATGTGAAGCGGCGAGTTCAAAGCGGACTACACGTGTGTGGCCCCATCCATAGAGAGTAGGTACGCGCCAATGTCGCAAGCTTCATTCCAGCTGGATGGGTTTCTCTTCGCCATTGAGGGGTGCTCTCGTGGAGGAAGCCTCTCTCTTGAGGGCACCCTCCCCCTGGACCCTCACACCGACACGGATTGCACCGCTGAGTATGCCGCTGAGTGCGCTGGCGTCGCGGGGAGGTGACACGAAGCCACCTCTCCTGGCACTACGCCGCCCGAATGACCCCTTATTTCCCCCTCCCCGGGGTGCATACGAATGCAGTGGTCCCAGAGGGGCGCTGCCGCGCCTCTGCTGCAGGGCTGGAACTAGCCAATTTTGGCCCCCTCGTTAGCGGCGTGAAAAAATGGGTTCAACGCATGGCAGCACTGCGATGGTGGGTTGAAAAAAAAATTAAAAAAAAAAATATCAAAATGAAATTGACAGAAAAAAAAGTAAACATGCAGAATATCAAAACCATTGCGAAATAATTTTCTCCAAATGTACTCTCACTAAACATTTTCACAAACACGCCTGCGTATCAACCACAATATGCTTGTTCCCTCTACATGAGAAATACGCAAACATTCCCCCTCCTGAAGAAATATACCTCTACGCTATTTTGCCAAGAAACTTTTGGCCCACAGGCGCATCTCCCAATTGATATAATTTTATAAGCTGTAGGTAGTTCAACATTCTCCTTCCCGCTTTACTTTCATTTTCCTTCCCTGGAACAAGAAGGCATAAAGGAAGCTTTGTCCCCCTGCTAAACCTTGCAGTTGCGCTCTTTTTTTTCCCACTCTTCTTCGTCCCTCGCCGCACTTTTTCTTTCCAAAATGACACCTAAACCCAAGATCGTTCTTGTCGGATCTGGCATGATTGGAGGTGTGATGGCGACCCTGATTGTACAGAAGAATCTTGGTGATGTGGTCATGTTTGATGTTGTGAAGAACATGCCCCAAGGAAAAGCACTTGATACGTCCCACTCCAATGTTATGGCGTATTCCAATTGCAAAGTGACTGGATCGAACTCCTACGACGACCTGAAGGGAGCCGACGTGGTAATCGTCACTGCAGGTTTTGCTAAGGTCCCTGGAAAGAGCGAGAAGGAATGGAACCGAGATGATCTCCTTCCACTTAACAACAAAATTATGCTTGAAATTGGAGGACATATTAAGAACCTATGCCCCAATGCCTTCATCATAGTCGTGACGAACCCTGTCGATGTTATGGTGCAGTTACTTTTCCAACATTCCGGAGTGCCAAAGAATAAAATCATCGGACTAGGTGGAGTGTTGGATACCTCAAGGCTGAAGTACTATCTGTCGCAGAAGTTGAATGTGTGCCCAAGAGACGTTAATGCACATATTGTCGGTGCACACGGAAATAAAATGGTCCTTCTAAAAAGGTATATCACTGTTGGAGGTATTCCACTGCAAGAGTTCATTAACAACAAAAAAATTACTGATGCCGAAGTCGAAGCCATATTTGATAAAACCGTCAACACCGCTTTGGAGATTGTTAACCTGCATGCCTCTCCCTACGTTGCCCCTGCTGCTGCCATTATCGAAATGGCCGAGTCGTATCTGAAAGACTTAAAGAAGGTCCTTGTGTGTTCCACTTTACTCGAGGGACAATATGGACACAGCAATATCTTCGGTGGTACTCCTCTCGTTATCGGCGGCACCGGAGTTGAGCAGGTCATCGAGTTGCAACTGAATGCAGAGGAGAAGGCCAAGTTTGACGAAGCCATAGCGGAGACCAAAAGAATGAAGGCGCTCATTTAAGAGACTCTTCGACCCCCTTCTTAATGAGAGAGAGTTATTTTCTTCCCCGGCGTGCATGGTTTGTGCATCTTGTAAATGGGCCAAAGTGAACTGGAGCATGGTGGGAGAGAGAAAGAGAGACCGAGAAACAGAAAGAGACGAAGTAGTGATCCCGAGTTTATCGGTTAACTATCACTTTCTTCTTCTCCCCCCACTTGGTGTGTATGTGTGCCCTCCTCGAGGGTGCCTTCACTCCATGTCCCCTTTGTTATTTCCCCCTCCCGCACATAATTCATTTTTCTAGAGAATTATATTTCTGCCCGGAGTTAAGCGTGGCCCTATATTCTTTACTGATCTGGTGTTGTCCCTTTTTTTAAAAACTGTGTATGTTTTACTTATTATGGGGACACCCCCTTCGCCGATAACCTCTGTGCGTATGCTTCCCGCGTCGCACCCAACTTGAACAAAGGTGCAAAGTGAGATGCCCACGCCAGAACGACTTGATAAGCGGTTAGGTTAGCCGTTATGCGTTATCCATTATCAGTTATGCGTTATCAGTCATGCGTCAACCTTTACCCGTTACTGCTGGGGGCGGGATGACTGCCGCCTTGCCTGCTTCTGTGCGCGGGATGCATGGGGAGAAGCCGCAACGAGATGGGCATGGCGCCCTTCATCGTCAACAGAACAAAGATGTTCCCTATGTTCGGGTTACACAGATCACATCGCTTATGCAGAACGTCTCCCACTAACTACAACTACACCCGTGTAGTCAGCCTTCGCCCACCCTCGCACCTTCACTGCAGAGCAAAAGGAACCCTTTCAACCATTTAAAGTTCAGCATAACAAAAAAGCTATTCACGCCGATGGCTACTACAGTTAACAATTGGTCTGTCACTTATGTTAAAGCAAAAAAAAAAAGGGGATGCACATAAAAAAGGAAAAAAAAGAAAAAAAACAACGTTCCGCTTCGGTACGGTGTATGCGTGCCGTCTGGACGTGTGGCTACTCATCACTCAGGAATAGTTTTCCGCTTCCGTCATGTGCATTGGGGGGTTATTACCTGCACATGCAGAGCTTCCGCTTCACCTTACTCATCGTCGATGGCTCGTATGTAAAACACGTTGTTGCCGCGAATGAAGGCATCGTAGTAGCTCTCAATAAATTCGCCTTCGAAGAACTCCTCGGTCTGCTCCAGCGCGACGTTCATGCGTTCATCCAGGCATGCCAGAATCCCCTTGAAGTCAGACCCGTTGTTCAGTCGCACTATGACGACTCGTCCCTTTAGGCTCTCAACAAAGTCTTTGGGGGAGTTGGAGCTCATGTTTGGCTGGTCTGGTGTCCTACATCAGTATGTGTGTGTGTGGGGGGAGTGAATGAGGAGAAGAGAAAATTGGATGTGCTCGGGTGATACTCACGTACGTATTTGTTCATTAATTCGTTTACTCCTCGGAGGAGCCATCCTTTAAATCCCTAAACTGGAAAGGATTCACAAGGGAGGGGCGGCAAGAAGAAGAGGCTCGCCCAAGCGCAGGATCGACTTCTCTTTGGAAGAAGCTTACAGGAAATAACAGTGCGGTTTGTTCCCTTGGCTGGGTTTGCGGCGTGGAGGCAGCTTGGGAAGGATCCTTGTTGGAGCCTCTCCAAAGGGAACGAGTGGCTGAGCAGTGTTCCACGTGTACGTGATTATCATGCATCCCGCACTTTGGCGGTTCCAATTAGTAAAACAACCCGCGAGTGGTCGCAGGGGCCTGCTGATGGATAAAGTCGCACTCGTGACAGTTGGGCTTCGATTGAAGAGTAGTCGGCTTCTCGCGTGGAGAAAAAAAAAAAAACAGCTAAAAATGAAGATAGTATTTTTTGTTTTCTTCATTCTACTTATTTTTTAATTTTTTCTTTTCCTCTCGGGCCCACGTGGCAGCCGACGTTGACGCCGCTTAATCAATTGGAACGTCTCCATTAAAGGCAACCGCTTTACCCCCCTCTTGGTGAAAGAACTTTGAACAGATCGGAACAGACGATGGGGATGGCAATCGGTCAACAAATGGATAGCAAGAAATTATATAGCTTGTCAAAAAAAAAAAAAAGAAAAAGAAAAAATTGCTGCAATTTTTCGTACACCCCTTATTGATAAACTGATAGAGACCTCGCCCCTTTCAGGTGGGTCCCTTTTTCCCACTTTTGGAAATACACTTGCCGTTCCGTTGTACGTAATCCCATGGGGAGAGGAAGAAAAGTACTGCACTCTTCCCTGGTTAACACATGCGTTTCTTTTTTTTAAAATGACATACTTGGGGCGAACAAGTTGGAAGGCGATGCACAACACAGTGAAACGGATGAATACGCAAAAAGGAAGGAATGAATAACAAACGCGGCTGCCTGGTGTTGTTTTTGCAGAGCGGCGGTGGGGAGAGGTATTCACCCTCAAATGCGTGTGTGCAGAAAAACTGCATTCACTTGGCAGCCACGGCACGCGTGGGGACTCCCCTACCAAGCCGTCACTTGGTTATTACTTTGTTTGGATTTTTTGTTTCATTTTTTCATTTTATTATTATTTTTTTTTTCCGTGATTGCACCACCACCCCAGGAGCTACCTTCCCTTAAAGAGCCAGCCTGGGATGTGGTCCACGTGACGACCGCTTCGTGACGCCTAAAAAAATCAACACGGTAGAGTACAAAACAGACAAGGGATGCAACGCATTTTTTTTTTGCTTGCACTCTGCGAGAACGAGCAATCCAGTGCGGGTGGGCACCTCCACCGCTTCGAAGTTCCTACCCCTTCATGTTGAAGAGATCATTGAGTGACTCCTTCTGGTGAATGCGCCTAATGGCGTCGGCCACGAGGACAGAGACACTCAACTTGGTGATCTTCTTACAGCTGTCGATGTTCTTATTTGACTTCACTGTGTCCGTGACGACGACCTCCTCGAGGGGGGAGTTCTCAATCCGGTCAATAGCAGGTCCGGAAAAGAGTCCATGCGTAGCAAAGGCAAAGACCCTCCTCGCGCCATGTTTCTTCAGCTGCTTGGCAGCTTCACACAAAGTTCCAGAGGTATCGATCATATCATCCACAATGATAACATCAGAGTCGTATACATTGCCAACTAGATCCATTTTCTCAATTTCATTCGGCTTGGTCCTCTGTTTGATTAACATAGCAATCCCACATTCACTTACCCCTCTATGATTTAGTCCATCTTGGAACTTCCTTGCTCGATATACTCCTCCCGCATCAGGGGAAACAATGACGGGCTTATAGAGGTCCTTCTTTGTGAAGTAATCCAATCCTATCAGTTGAGCTTCCAAATTGTCTACTGGTACTCTCGGTCCAAAGAATCCTTGTATTTGCCCCGAGTGTAAATCGATGGCAACAACACGATCGACTCCCATGGCTTCTATCATTCTAGCAACATCCGCTGCTGATATGGGTACTCTGGAACTTAATTTCCTGTCCTGTCTTGCATAACCATAGTACGGGATCACCGCAGTGATCTTCTTCGCGGAAGCTCTCCTACACGTGGAGATCATTAATAACAACTCAATCAAATTTTCGTTGACTGGAGGACATGTTGGCTGTATGATGTAGACATCCTTCCCCCGGATACTCTCCAAGAATTGCATGGACACTTCCCCATCTGCGAATCTCTTCAGGTGCACTCTCCCTAGTGTAGTACCCAGGTGATCTGCTATATTTTTACTCAACAATGGATTCGAGGAACCACTAAAGAGAATGGCGTTTTCCATTTTTTCGATGGGCCTTTTCTCTTCTGATCTCCACAAGGGGTGACGGAATCCTTTCTTATTGTTATCGCAGAAGGATATAGTTTTACTTCTGAATAGGCCTTCATTTCCATTGTTGGTGTGCCTCCATAGGAGGAGTGTACTTAGATCCCTCTTTACATTTTTCACGTGTGATTTGAATTCCCTTCTCTTCTCTTCATTTCTCAGTGTGCAGTAGTACACCACGCTACTGCTCAAGAGGGCAGCTACTATCCTTTCGTAATTGCCCTGACCGAAAAAGTTACTTCTCTTGTACCAATTTGTTGTGCTGCATCTTCTGGGGAAAAAAAAAGTCATCTTGCAAGCCTCTGTGTATGGGTAACGACAGATGTGCTTGCACAATGAGCGATTAACACGTAGAGGACGAACATGCGAAGTGCTAGAAGCGGCTAAAAAATGCTAAAAAAGGCTACAAGCTGCTAACAACTGCCAAGCGCACGAACTGCTGAACACGCGGGATGGGGATTTTCTCGCAATTTCATACAGCCACCGCAGCAGGGGCAAAGCGGCGTGGCTTTAATGGAAGGTGCGATTATGCGATGTGGGGAAGGGGGCGCGGGAAGTATTTCCAAGTCAGCGAAAGGGCAGAAAAAAAAAAAAAAAAAAAAAACGGACAAACTGGTGATGCAGCAAAATACCCATCTACTTAACCACGAAGGTGCGAAAAATTAGCCATGCCATCCATCAACCAGTCTCACTGCAGAAGGAAACAGCAATTCAAAATGTTGAACGGCAGAGGCAGAAAAATGTGCGTGCCGTGGAAGGGCAAAGGTGAGGGAAGCTTCACGAGGTAGCCTCATCTACGTGCACGCACGAACGGATACAGAAAGAGGTATACAGAAAGGTATGCACAGAGGCATAGATGCCGCTTCCCCTCTCACCGGCGCGCGCGGGTGGAGCTATGCAAAAAAAACGCTGTTCACCTCTTGAGGTGCGGTCGACACGAAATTGTTACCCAACTTCCGCGCTCTTTTCAGTATGAATGCAAAGGAGTAAGAAAAATATATAACAGCACAACTCATAGCGTAGTGCTGGGAAGCAGCAGTTCTCGTATTGGAGGCCAACATAGTAAAGAATTCAAAGTTGAAGTTTTGCCAAAGATATACCATTAAATGAATCAAAATAGGGGTAACAAATTTCGCTCTTTTTGTTCAGACCCTGCTCTGTTGCTTTTTTTTTTCTTTTTTCTTTGATGTTCACTGTTGCTGATTATTTTGTTTTGTATTATTTGTTTTTCCTTCCTCATTTTAAGCCCTCGGATATATCGATTGAAGGAATAATGTTCCCATTGGCACATTTCTTTTTTTAAGATGTGCGTCGGGGGCTACTTTCCTAACACTTTAACATTCATGTTAACATAGAAAATTTTAACAGGGAACGAGTACATTTAACAATGGGGGTGGGGTGGGAGGAAGAAGCAATAGCGTAAGAGTAATGAGTCTGCTCGTTGGCTCCTTTTTTTGCTGTCCCGTCCACATTTCCCGGATGAAGGAGAAGACATCGGAAAATTTTACACTTAGGTGTAGTACTAAATGTGAACAACGCTCTCTCTTATATTTTTACTAATGCGTGGGTGTTACACAGGGTGTTATACCAGCACTGTGCGGTGATGGATCTCAGACGCATCCCAAATGTGCAAACGAGACGGTAACGAGAGAGACACAGTGGGAGTGCTGAATCATTAGCTGTAAATGTTAATTAAAATTGGGTGTTACTGTTATTGTGGATTGAAGTCAACCTGATCAATCATATGGTCCCTGATGCCCCTATTTTTTGATACCCGACTTCCTAGAGAACACCACAACGAGATAGGAGTGAATCCTTTCCTTCACCAATTAATCATCTTCTCTTGTGCGCGTTATTGGGGCGCTTATTACATTTTCTTTTCATAAGTAGGACAAAGTATGTGGAAGTAGCGAGGTCCCATTGAATGTGTTGCACCTGTACTTTCAGCTCCTCCTGAAGATGGCGTCCGCATATAGCACCTCATGTGAATAACACGGGAGCATTAAACTGAAAACAGGGAGGGGTTATGTCTCCACTAATAGATGAGGTATATTATTCTTCTCATAATGGTAAAATTCGCAGAACCCGTAGAATAGGGGTAAGAAGCTGTAACGACATAGACTGGCCATTGAATGCAGGTGTCAGTAGAGTATTATCGCATTTTTAAGATATAACCGTATTGGTTTATGCGCAGGCCTTATGTTGTGCACAAAACGAACAATGGAAGTTACGACCGTAATGTCTCTCCAGTGCTACGGAATCCGTGTTAATGTTTCCTGAAGGATTAGACGTTTTATTTTGCTTTTAAAATGGGATGTGTGTTTAAACAAGGGGAGAGGATGCTCCCCTTTAATTCAAGGGTACATCTCTGAGGGATGTAATTACTTCCTCATCGCAATATACCTTTTTAGGGGTTACTGATGAAAGGAAGCTTCCAGAATCAGGAGCTCTCACTAGAAATAATAATGAATTAACATCCTTTTACACCCAAATTATGTTTAAACGGCAGTAACATTTGGGGTATAGTATCCATAAGTATTAGCCTAAGAAAGAAGCTGCTTACATAGGACACTCGCATCTTTTTAATTTACTCGCACCCGATGAGAATACGGAGTGTTCACTTGTCAACATGCATAACTGTGGAATCCAACCAGCACTTAGAGGCACACATTTCTTATTAAGAAGTATACGCCCTTTAAAATGAGAATAGAAGAAGTAAAGATTAAGAGGGTTTCGTTAATTAAAAATTATAAAAAGAAAAAAAAAAAGGAAAAGAGAAAGAAAAAAAAGGAAAAGAAAAAAAAAAGCTGGCATGAATCAACCCGGCAGTAGCATCATTTATTTTGTTGCATCTATCGGACGCGGATATTCTCAAGAGCCATTGTTTAATTCACTCCGAATAGAAGGATCACATACAAAGATGCCTGTATAAGTCCTTTTTTATGAAATGTGTATTAGTCTTGTAATCGAGGAAGATTGTGTGCTCCATAACATTGTCATCCTCCATTACGCTTTACAAGTCTGCTACAAGATGATATCACTTTCTTTGCGAATATTAAGGACACAAGAAGTCTGCGCTGCTATTTTGGAGTTGCATTTCAGCATGAAGAGGGTTCAGATTAGCCGTATTATTCAGTAAATAGTTTAGTACCGCGTCCATGTTGCTGCAGTAGCTGGCGCACATACCGAATTGTTTCTCCTTGGAATAATATTGCTTGAGTTGTCCATGTGCCTTTATTTTGCTATGTCCTCCTATTTCTTGTCTATAATAGGATATACTAAGCAATGTATATTTATGGAAAGTTCACTCTCTGCACAATGAAGACAAATAAAATTAATCCATGACTCATTTCAGTAGTGCGTGGCCCCACAATCAGCTCAGGATGAAATGAGATAAGTGTCCGTCCCTAATATTTGTTTCTGAGAATGTAATGATGTCATCCTTATCTCTCCTACGGCTCCTTATGTCAGTGTTTATATTTTGATAAATACAAGGCCTCATCGTTCGTACTATATTCTCTGTTTCTTACTCCTCCTCTTTTACTTACACTGGGATAGTTTTACATAACATCCTTTAAGAACGCACTATAAAGGGGCGTACAAACACATAATATTCCATGAAGAGACACGGAGTTTTGTTTATTGAATTGCCAGGTTATTATCTTGAAGTACCTTGTCAATATTCTACATGCCCATTCAGAATGTTTTGTTAAGAACCTTTGGGCGGAATACCCAAAGGTTATTCTTTCTAGTGCTGATTCGTATGCCAAGGTGGAGTAAGTAAATCTGAGGGTTCCACAATTAAGCCATGTTGTTAATTGTAGACTTACATAGGAAATATCAAGAAAGACTTTACAAAAATACAGGAATCCAGAATAATGCCGTGATTATTATACGCCTCACGTCAGGCTACGAGAGGATTTCTTCGTGAGCCATAAATGAGGAAATTGGTTTAGGATTGTGGTGCAGAGGGAAAGCAATTTTAACAGCGAAGCTCTGTCTATGTACATATGCTTCCTGTCCCGGGCTCACAGATATTTAGGTAGCATAAGGTTTAAATATCCCTGAAGGCACGCATGTAACATATCGTTAATGACATCATACAGAAGTAATGAGTCCCAGTACTGTGCACGGTTCTCAAGTCACCTCACTGATACATGGATAAAACATAACAAATACCCTTGCGATGGCATTGTGCAAGGAAATAGACGTTTTGGTTCATTTATGGGTAGGTAAGAATTAATGTGGAAAGTAAGAAAGAAAACATACTTAAGAGGGATGCACAGACAAACCTCCCGTAATGGGATAAGATAGACTTCGAATGCTTGGTTTCTGTTAGGTACAATAGGAATCTGCTATTTCACCAAGGGTGCTGTAGTTAATCTGTATAAAATCCCAAAGTAATGTATATCCCATAGGGTCCCAATATACCAGACGCGTTCTCTATTATGTAGTAGGTTCTCACTGCAAAACTAGATTACTTACAATGGGCTTAATGTCTGGCTACTTTTGAAAATCCTAACTTGGCTGCTCATGTGTTATGTCGGGACATTTACACTTATTACGTCTATATTAGATATGGATGGAGTTAAAAGTAATGATTGTGTCTTTGAATCTATATGTGGAAATGCACATATTATAGAAAAAAGTACATGTATAAATGAGTGGATCGAGGAAACAAGAATGATATTTGTCCTCTCTGTGTGCTCCGAGACAATATAATTGAATCGTTTCAAAGATGGAATCATGATTACAGAAGTCTGTAATGCTGCCCGCACTTTTAGACGGTATCAGGTGCAGTAGGACACTAAGGCAAGAGAAGTAAGTCGTGGTAGCGATAACACCGTAACGATATTGCACATATGTAACCGGAGATTCTCTTTCCAAGTCGTGTAATGTTGATATATTCGTCTTATTGTAATACAGTGCTCAGCGATATCAAGGAAATTGCTCTTTTGCGGTTAGCAACTTTATGACTGGTATGAAAGGAGCGGCAGGACAGACTTGTTTATGAAATATAAAAAAGGAAAGGAGAGAATAAATAAATTTCCTATGAAAATGCTTAGGAAGTGTGCATGGATAATCTTATCATTTATCGAATAATGTATATAATTCAAACAGTAGTGGTAACAATAAGGGAAGTACTGTCTGATGTCCATGTTTCATTTGAGAAATATTATTGAAATCGACAGATGTCAGAAAATGTATGTAGATATAATCCAAATGAATAGATATTCAGCTCACTACCTCTTTGTATGAAGATAAAAGGTTTTTATATACAAAAGGGAATTATTGCTGGTGTCCGTAATATAGGGGTGTAATATTATTCGATAGGAACAGAAGAATTAATTCGTAAGATACAGTAGTACTGTTATTTCAGATGTAGTTGATAGAGAAGGCAAAGTAATGGATAAGCAGTATATGATTATTATGTATATGCGGCCTGAATGGAAGAGGGTTATTAACATTTGTGAGTGTATATATTATTGTCACGCGGCAATGGTTTACCCCAACAGTGTTTTATATTTTTTGTCTGTATAATAAAATTACTGTAAAGTACGGAAGAGTACGAATAAATACATGCAGACACTTTAGGAAGGTAGTGTTTTTTTTAATTCGGTTTCTAAGGATCAATAGAAGTGCGGAGCGACGGTTGAGACAGGAATATACAACTGTGGAATGCCTAACCTATATCCTATGGTGGCATTTTACTATGAGGAATAATACCCAATAAGAATAAGAATAGTGCAAGGAAAGCGAGAGGATAGAGGGAAAAAATCTTAATAATATAAGAACATCAGGGATAGAGAAAGTATTAAATAAACAAAAGAGGCAGGGAAGCCAGAGAAGAAAGTGTCCATGGGAAAACTAGCACTAAATATAGAACCAAAGATATTGGAGACATGAGTGTTGGTGGAATATGTCACTAGAAGAATGAGGCAAATTTAGGAATGCCAAAATAATTCTACCCCATACAATATCCATGTCATCTACGTCAAATGGTATACAACACATCGGAATATGTCCTATCAGTGAAGATGTCTATGTTAAGAGTCATGTGATCTCTCATCCATATACAACTTGTAAGAGTGTTAGTACCAGTCCGAAGTGCATTGTGAGATATACATGTTGAAGGGTATTTTTTGCTCCGCCTGTTACATCCGATAGATGGTTATATTACTTGTGTATATTATGAAATATGACGCTAATTAACAAAATGAGGAATAGATCCTTAAAGAGAGAGAAGAAATTAAGATTAAAAGTTTTAAGAGACCGTTGGCATATGTATTAAACTAAAAAGAGTTAATGCTGATTGGATTATATAAAGCATAAGTGCAAATTTCAGCACGTCACAAATATGGATGGATACATATACAAGAGTAGACAATATAAGAATCGCATGTTATAGGAACAGGAGGACCGAAAAATGTCATATATTACGGAGATGGTTCACATATGAACCAGTGTATAGGCACTGTACAAATAAACACTGAGGAAATATTCAGCCATGGTTAGAGCCGTTTTATATTAGGAAAGAGACACTACTAGTCCCAGAAGAGCGAAATTATTACGAGCAGTGTAGGGTATGTATTTCTGGCAAGTGAGTACGTATGATGTGAACCCATTATTATGTAGACTGCTTATAAAAGAAATTGCGGGATTCATAGGTGGGGTCTCATAAAAGGGGGGCGGCACTAGTGAGAGATACCGCAGGAAGGAAATAACAAAGGCTGTTATGACGCGAGATGAGTTTGGAGTTATTAGCTGATGATAACAGGAAGAAAAGAGAATTTTGGATTCCATTTTGACTGTAGACGAAATGAAGAAACCGGGGCTGAATATATGCCTTTTCTAATGTTAGGAGGATTCCTTCCTTATCAAGATATTCTATTGTTATATTGGTACTTACACATACGTCTTTTGTGATTCCTGTTGCCACTGTTCTCTCACTGTAGCGTCCATTATGGAAATAATTATTAGCATGTAACGGTAAAGATAGGAATCATAAGTGACTCAAGGTATTTTAGTGCATCATTAGTATCTTGAATTATTATAGATTGCTGGTCCACCGGTGGGATCGTTCCATTATCACCTCTTGTAGATATGGATAGGGCAATATGAATCCATTGCCTGCTATTTCATTTTGTATATTCAGGGGCGGTAGGATATTTTCCTGTAATAATTATTTCCGGGCTTAAAAATCCTGCATCAAAGAGGGAACTGGGAAATCTCATTCGCCAGGAGAGCCATGTTGCAGTGTATAAATTAAAGGCAAAGGATTTTATAATTAACAGGAGGCCTCAACAGACGACAAGGTACCTGTCACTACTTCTTGCGTTATGTGAGGAGTGACCCCCTCTGCTATTCCTCGTCCTTCAGGCAAGAGTAGTTTTACCCTATCGTGACGAATTATTTCTCTTTATCTTTTGTGTCAATTAGGGGTATTCTGGCTTATTCCGTTATATTCTCTAATAAAATCCTTTTCTTCAGTAGCAGCTCCGCCCGCTCCTTTGATTTGAGTTTTCATGCTGAAATAATAATAACTGCTATGTATGCAGCTGTCAGGTTAGAGCTGCGCGTTGTTTTTTCTCAACTTCTCGTGCGGGTATTGGGTTATCTCATAATCCTTCCCGTCCTCATGTTATGATATCTCCTTTCAAACATTGCTGATACTCTAGCTTTGCGAAAGTGTCGTGCTGTTATGTCATTACTGGGCACTTCTCTTCTTCATATAGTGGCTACAGTTGCTTCCTTTTTAGTATATTAGCATATTCCATATCTCATTCTTTAGTCTCATGCATTCTTCTATAGCCTTTTTAGACACAGAAATTCCTTCGAGTCCATCACCATCGCTGTTGCACTCTTATACCTAATGGTAAACAACAAAAGTACCCTAATAACCCCCATCTGGCGGCCCCCCAGGTATAGTGTCAGCAATGCGGTTCCGTGTAATGGGGCTTATGACGATAATGAATCGTATGATTCCGATTCAATAATGCTGACTTCTCTTTTTGTTCGGTGTTAGATGTTCACAGTGATGAGACAATTCCTACAAGCCCAATATAGAGAGAATGAAGCTTATGATGAAGGTGAAGAGGAGGATAAGAGGATACACCCATACGGATGCTGTGATGATGATGGCCCGGGCCACATGCAGAGATCCTGGCTGTTTCGTAACATAATCGTTCTCGTATGCCTTGGTTTACGACACGCCATCATGTGATTTTCGATTCTCCACCATCATGTATTCTTCGGGAGGTTTTTTTCTTAAAAAGGACGGGTGTCATATAGTATTGCCCCTTCCCGTGTCTAATGAGAGACACTAATTTCTCTTTCTAGTTCCTCCCAATAGTTTATTGCTGTCATGATGCTATGAAAGGAATATACGGGACAGAACCGTCGCAAATACTGTTCCATAGCGTCCAGGGGTGTATATTACCTGTTGTTATTCTTATCAATGCTCGTGTGGTTTAATAGGTAGTATGTCTTATCAGCACGGAAGGCCTAAATCGGTGAAGTTATTACTAAAAATAATTCTCTGTCATCAATTGCTTAGAGGTAGTATTCACCACCCTCAGAATCTCGAACCCGATGTCTATTCCCTCTAACAGCGCCTCATCTTAGTATCTAAGTCTGATTAATGGAGATATATTCCTCAATATACCGGGAGCGGGCTCGATCTTTTATACAAAAGGGGTTATTCACGGAAAATGAATGTGTAAGTGCCTGCTTCTGAAGAGCCTATGTAGCATCCAGGGAGAGGGGCGCATCATGAGGACCCATTATACGATAAATCTTTTATCATGTTTATATCGGACGATGGTGTTGCACTTCTAGCCACTTTTTGCTATTAAGCCCCTTCAAATGCGAATCAATCTAGATGCTTCATGGAAGTACGTACCCATTTTGTGCATTATGCGAGTTGACATCTATACTGCCATGACTGCCGTATATGTGTGTGCATGGTTACGATTCTCATTAACATACTTCGATTTACTATAACATACAGGAACAGGTTCTGTATATATTCAGTTTGGACAGTCTGTACTCGTCACTGAAGAAGGCAGCAGAATGGCCCCATAAATCGATTCGTTCTCACTGTAAAACCATCAATACGGGATTTAATGAATATGACCTTGTCGCAGAGGAACTGTGTAGGAAACTACCAAATGTGATTACTATAGTGTCCGCTTTCAAGGACAACGAATATGACAACCAAGAGGGAGATGCAACTCCCTGTAGTTATCTGAAATGGTGGATTCTGAAAGTGTTTGAAGAGAACTAGATGACTAGACAAGCATCATCAGACTTCTTATGGGCATGGAACATGATGCATGCCGATCCTGAAACTTCCGCCTGGATGCCCTGTCAGAGTGTGAATTATACTACTATCGACTGGGGACAACAGAGGAGACGACTGGAAAATGAAATACGGAACAAGATCCTCCTTGCTATGACTGCGACGGATCAAGTTTCCCTAGCAAAGAAATACTGCTCAATTTTGAATCTGATGCCGGATTGGAATATTTCGGACGGTCTAACAGCAGGGTGGAGTGAGGACGCTCTGAATTGGCTGCCATCCGATGCCCGACCTGAAGCTGTATATAATTCGAAGAATACCTCCAGGAAGGCAGGATTACTGCAAGTGCCTGGAAGTGCTGGGGTCCTAGAGTCATCCTCAAGAGAGAACCCTGATAATAGGAACAAGCGAAAGCTGAATAGGGGCTTCCCCGGTATACAGAATCTTAGCTCATCGTCTCCTGCAGCAACTGAATTCAGTAGACTGGCTGCCACAGGAGATTGTGTCAGGATAGAAGAATCTACTGTTGGAACTCTCAGCCCTCACAGGCTTACTGACTCCCTGGTAAAGACTGAGGAGGCTCTTACTCCCCAGAAATTTGACGAAAACACCCACATAGAATATAATGATTCTGATGATACCTCACGTCGAGGTATGGTTTATGGAATCCCCTGTCGTATTGGAATCTGTTCGTCCGTGCTATTCTTGATTTGGAAGGTATGACTGAATTGTAATATGCCATGAAGATGAAGCGTCACTTTAACTGGTGCAGTTTCGTAATATTCCTGGAGCACCTATGTGAAACCATTTATGCGCCGTTTATTTGTAGTTTAGTCCATGGAGGAGGTATCTAAGAAGAGGAACGTCCTTTGCGAATATTCAGGGATTTCCCAGATATTCGGAAGAGCCAAATGAGTTTCACACAATAGACAAAGGGAAGTGTGGATGTAGTGATTACAGGGTTGCATATAGTTCTTATGATCCGTAGGGAGTAGATGTAATGTTGTACTAATATACGGGTCGAAACTTTCCGTTTTTATATGTAACGTATTGAGAGGACAGGATATTATAGACTCCTTAGAATACACTATCCGGCAGCCAACGACGCTTGCCTGCTGGCGGGAGATTCGGCGTTTACTTTGACAATTCCTTTCTTGGTTATTGTTTCAGGCTTACGTTTGGGGGGTTACGCCCCCGGGTACACCCTGAATGTTTGGATTTCTTTATGACTGTGCTCACGTGTCCTGCTTCATCTGAGGGGTACAAGAAGTGAGGTTTCATGGCATTCGTGTTATGGTTCCTCTTTCACATCCTGAAATCCTATATTCGTTGTTTTACTTTTCAAGCTTCATATCTCCAAACTTTACATCTTAGTCTGAGCTTAAGAACTAAGGACTTATAGCTTCTATGTTCTCAGTATGGAGAGAACAATCAAAGATTATTATTGACGTGTTCAGAGATTACACTGATGTTGCATGATTTCTGGTTGCATATGCCCTACCTACCTTAGCGATGGAGAATGTCTCATTCTATGAGCCTCCATATGACATTCCCTTCTCTGGAAGGCCACGGTAACAATTTCGAGCCCCTGTTTATCTGACATCTGTTTATGCCCACAGGTTTTTTTTTTCTGTTGCAGGATTGGTCAGATATTATCTTTCATTTGAGTAATGATGTATATATGGTAACTCTCTCTATATGGGAGCATGTTCCACTTTATTTCACATTCTTAGGTAGAATATGCAAATATGAAATCATTTCTAGGGATGTGCGTTCATAAGTACTGATGTATCTATGCGTGGTATTTGTGTATTCCAACATCCATAGAATTCAATAAAACCTAAGGTGGGTAGCATGGGTTTTCTGGGTCATGAGATAGGTAGTCTGGGTTTTATGAGTGCTTCACTTCTTTAGGTCAATGAATAGTGTGCTAACCATATACATGCATATATGAATAATACAGAGGAGACAGGATTTCCCTGAAACTTTTCGGGAACATATCATTCTTCCTTAAGGAGCCCTCCCAGCAGTAGCAATACCTTAATTACGTCTGAAAGGAGGAAGGCAGCTCCTAAGATATAAGGCGAAGGAAACAGCAGGAACAGGAAAACGAGGATAAAAGGGAACAAAGGAGGAACATTCAGCCTCCTTCATTTCTTTAATAGACTGTCTTATCCGAGAATAGGTGTGTAGAACACTACACTCATGATGCCGATGTATATGTGAGGAAATCTCTATTTCCCATATTGATCAGAAGAGGTTATAGCTATTAGGTGTGTTATCTTAGAATAGAGTGATCACACTAAATCCCTCCCAGTTATGGCACGCGTTCCTGAGAACATCCTCAGCTATTCCTTATGGGTTCACGATGGTTTAAGTTTTAAAACCGTCCGAATATATACTTTCAGTGATACTACTACATACATTTCATATATAGGGGCGCACAGTTCCTGCCCTCATTGTTTCTGTTACTACTTATATTTTTTCTGATATATACCGCATCCGTGTTATAGATGAACACATATACAAGGTCTCCTCATAAGATAAAAACTCTTGAATATGAGTACTCCTCCTTTCATAACCTATACAATGGGAGGGCCAATATTAGTATCCTGTGTGTAAAGGGCATAAAATAATATCTGTAAACACAGATAGTCAAACGGAGAATCGAAATCCTTGAGAAATAACTGAGTCTCTGAACATCTCTGTGTGCAAATACGAGAAAAATATGCATAATGTTCATATGTGACAGAAACCCTAAGACAAGTCGATATTTATGCCAGGACTATTCAAAGTCAAAAGACGAATATAAAGATATCTACGAAGCGTTACTATGATTCCACATAAAGAGAGTGTACATTATTACGGGCACTTAAGAACGGAACACTACAGATAACAGTAAGTATTATTTATAGGAGTGTATCAAAATATCCTGATGTGTATTTTCCAGCGTATGTAATATCATTTAAAGAATGTTTAGGAGGAGTACTGTTCTGGTGAGTTCTAATGCCAATAAAGATAATGTAGACTCACATAAATCACAGGGGTCATATCATTTAAGGAGCTGCCTGTGTAGAGAGAACAGTGTGCAACAGATACATTCAAGCCTTCCAATTGCCCTCATGGGTTTTTGGCTACATTAACTTTATCGTTTTAGAAGCAATGATGGGCCTTACACCCACTTAATAGCATATATTATGAGAATAATAAGATAAGATTAGCAATAAATCATATAAACAGGCGGGTAAATAGGGAGGAAACCCATAGATTCAAATAATCACACGGCATCAGTAGCTCGAGAATTATATTCCAATAAGGAATACCAATAGATGGAAAACACGCGGGGAGGGAAGAGTGTTTCTTATTAAGAGGAGTGTTTCTACTGCCATGATTAGACACCTTTTCGTATGGATATCACAAGGACACCTATATCCTTCATCATATCCGTCTAGGAAGTAATACATAAGATAATAGAGATTTACATATATCCTCCAATGATTGCCTACTATCTCAGGAAGCGCTGGATACAGTGGCGGCGAGGACTTCCTTTATTCAACGCCTCCGGAAGGTAGATATTTCATAAGTGATATTCCCGATTTAATGAAGACTGGTTCCAGTTTTATCATGTTGGTGTCCTGAATCTATCGGATACCTTGTCACCTCTGTATACTCACTTCCTATGTATTGTTATATCACCGTAGGAAAGGATATTCCTGATAAGTAAGGAGGGAATTAGCAATAAAAGGCTCGCTCATGACAGAATGAATGACCATTCAACATGTTCAATAACAGTGATACAGACATGTTAATAAAACGGACCGACCCTGTGCTGTCTGGTAATTAAACAGGAATGAACACGGGAATATTATAGTGAGAACGAATAAAGACATATGACTGGATGCTGTAGGATCCCATAAGTATCTTATTATTACGTCGCTCTAAATCCGTATGAACCCCAATACGCCGAACGACGTCTGTATACGTGGCTACCGACTTAACAATTGATTTACATTCGATTTTAACAATATCACAGAGGATTTACTAAGTGTTCATTAGTATATATTATTCCCATACGGTAAAATAATTATTAAGAAACATATTTACAATAATGGATACTAAATCACTGTGCATGAGTCCCTGCTCGCAATATTCAACATCGGCTTTATGAAACATGAAGAATGAAGTGATTCCTTCTATGAAGTATACTTTACGGAAATATCGAGATTTCTAAGCACCCAGGAAAGTGCGTAACTCCATGTACATACGGTAGCATATTGCTCGTGCTGCTAATGTGTTAATAAATCAGCAAATTATAGAAAAGGTAATAACAATTTTTATGCATCAGAGTGCGAAATATTAAAGATGGCTTAAGAATAGGTCTCACTCCTGCAATCGTATTGTCTCAAAAGGGGGCATTAGTAATGTAGTATAATCATATTGCAAAAGTAACAGTGTATATATATGCATTTAATTTGGGGGCGACACGGCATATGCAATATTAGTGCAGAGAATTGTAAACGTTTGTTTGTACACATCGCGGCTGTAATAGCTAAGAGTACCATTTTACACTCTTGTATCCGTAAGAGCCACTGCTATTACTGCTGGATTAAAATATTGTCTTTTATCCTGTATTACCCCCAACGGAGGATGAGTAACGTGTTCAGAATATATATAAGAGTTAATCGAAGAATTAGGCCCTAAAGATCAGAAGATAGATAATTCTTATAACCCACCTTCAGATGAAAGTATGCTCAGAATCAGAGTGAATTAGACATGGTTTTGGTATTTAAATTAAGCGCTAAGCTATCCAAAGTGAACCCAGATATGTTTTATGTCAATTTCAAACAGGAGTCGAATAGACAGCACTGAGGGCATGCAATCACAGTTCATGAGCCATGGCATAGAAATGCTCCCTCCAGGATAAAGGCCCAATAATTGCAGAGGAATAATTACAGACATTTAGTTTAATGATGCGGAATTATACCAAACATTGTGGTTCATTAAATGCATGATAATTAGAAGGACTTAGAATGTGGGGTTTTCATTTGATGACTGCAGCACGAGAGGTGTGTAATTTGAGAGTGTAAGAATATACTCACATAAGTGTGATGAAATAAGACGTTATCACTTCTTCCCTTGACAATAGCTGAACAGGGACTAAAGAAGATACTCAACGATACAAAACATAAAAAAGAGGTCTACAGGAGTATCCGGAGGAGAATAGGATACCGCAGAATAAGAGTATGTGAAGCGGAACAGAAATGACAGCGATGGACAAGCACAACATGAATGATGCACCAATTGATTGTGATTACCAGCAGATACATATAATACCAGAAGGAACAAAGATAATGAAGGAATTGTCGAGGTTGTTATAATATATTACAGGGAATACCTCATAAGGATTAAGGGGAAACTCAAGTATTAAATCATGAAGGGAAACTGACAATAACAGATATGTGTGAGTATAACGCAGTTTTCCATTCTGTATATCATGAATTGTAGTAAACTAGAAAAGAACATACGGCATTCGTCATTTGGAAGTGTTAAGCCAATTTACATTATGGGTATGAACTGGGGATGCATCAATTCCGAGAGGCATAAAGAGCATATTGACCGAAGGAATACAGGTAATTTACGTGCCTCTATACAGTGCTATCATTTATTGATAACAGCCTAGGTGTTGTTGACCTCTTTACACCTTACCATGGAACATATACCGA